CTCCAGGTTGGCCAATAGTATCGTGTTTTGATGAGCTGTTGGGTTTTTGTTCTTCCTGGGTGTGCAGTTGATACTTGTGTATGCACTTCATCAAGCAGACGGGTGCGGAGTTCAGGGTTATCATCAGGAACAAACAGTCGGTTTCCTTTCAGTAGTAGACCATCTTGCAGATTCCAATCATCCTTTCCTGCCCGAGCTCTCTCACGATGTTCCTCTGCTGTGGTAGAGTTCCGGTTTGCACTGAGCACTCGGTCCACAACTTGTAGAGTGGGCTCAAGCGCATTGATAGCATGGGCTTCAGCAAATTCGTTGACCTGGTTGGTTTCCATTCGCTGTTCAATGGATTCTGGTTTTAACAAAATCTGTTGGCGATAATCATCCTTTTTCTGCACTTCCGTGCTGGGTCGACTTAGGGCATCAGCCAAGGTATTCTCTCGGCCGGGACGGTAGCGGATTAGGAAGTAAAACCGGGAAAGGAACTCAGCCCACCGGGCTTGTCGTGCATTCAACTTCTTAGTAGTCATGAAGTATTCCAGGGCGCGATGGTCAGTATATATGTTGAAACGCTCTCGGAGTTGCAGTCCTTCTAGCTCAGCTCGCCACTCCTGCAATGCACGAATGATGGCCAGCATCTCCTTATCATGGATCTCATAGTTGCGCTCCGCGTCGGACATGTTCTTGGAATAGTAAGCCACTGGGTGCCAGAGATCTCCGTGCTTCTGGGAGAGTATCCCAGCTACCACCCCATCTGATGCGTCAGTTTCTAACTTCGTTTCCAGTTCAGGATGATAATGTCGCAGTATTGGGGCATCAGTTAATCGTCTCTTCAGCTCCTCAAAGGCCTCCTGGTGCTGCCTAGTCCAGGTGAAAGGCACGTCCCTCCTTGTTAGGTGATTTAGTGGCTTTGCAACACGGCTATAGTCCTTGATGAATCTTCGGTAAAAGTTGCAGAACCCAAGGAATGACTGTATACCTCGGACAGTGTTTGGCACAGCCCAATTGCAGATCACCGCTGTCTTCTCTGGGTCGACTTCAATTCCATCAGTCGTCAGAATGAATCCAAGATACTTTGTCCGAGTGACATGAAATTCGCACTTCTTGATGCTAGCTTGGAGCCCCGCAGCACGCAACCGTTCAAGCACCTTCTTGACATGAAGTTCATGCTCATTGGTGTTCTTTGAATAGATAAGCAAGTCATCCACGAATGCTGTTACAAAGTCATCCAAATAGTCCATGAGGGTATCATTGATGAAGCGCTGGAATACTGCCGGTCCATTGGTGAGTCCAAAGGGAACCACATGGTATTTGTATGTCCCATATCGTGTCCGGAAGGTAGTCAGGTCCTCTGACATCGGGTCAAGCCGAATTCGGTGAAATCCTTGTCGTATATCTAATTTTGTGAAGATCTTCGCACCACTGATTCTCTCCATCAATTCATCGACCAGGGGTATGGGGTAGCGATCTTTCCGTGTGATGGCATTCAACTTCCGATAGTCCACACAGAATCGCAAGCCACCCCCAGGCTTCCTGGCCATCAGAATGGGAGATGCGAAAGGTGCGGCACTAGGTCCAATGAACCCCTTATTGAGGTTGTCCACAATATAGTCTCGTGCAGCTTCTAGTTCCTCTGCAGTCTGCTTGTATAAAGGACTATAGCCCACTTCGCTTTCTGCAGTCTTCCCATCTTCGAGCTTGATTTGGTAATCATTCGTCCGTCGGGGGGGCAGCTCGTCGGAAGCTGCCTTGGAGAAGACATCCGCATATTCCTGATACTGTTTGGGTAGTAGTTTCTGCACTAGTTCTTGCTCATAGTGATCTTCTTTCTGGCGATCCTTCTCGCGTTTCTCTTCAATGATACGGTCAATTTCAGACAAGCTGGCAACGAAGACTTCAACATCCTTCTTTTTCAGGTGCCGTCGGAATGGTACAGCTCCAATCGCTGCAATATCAATTTGGACTGCCTGATGAGATGTCGTCGCCCTTCGTGATTTCTGGTTGGCTATGACTAATCCAGAGATGTTTTCTGATTCTGCTGATTGGTCAGTTAGAAGTGACTGGCTCCTGAGAGCACGTGACATCTTCGCCATATTTATTCGCCGGTCTGATTCCTCCTTCCGGGGAGCTCGGTATCGCTCCCTTCGTTCCTCCTTTTCGATCCGTTGATCACGTCGCTCCATATCGGCTTGGTGTACGGGATCAGGCTCAGAACGCTGAAGGATCTCTTTCGGAACCTCCAAGTACTGATTGCGCAAGATGTCATCCAGGTAGTTCCGCTGTTCAGGCCAGACCAACTTCCGGTGTCGTACATTCAGCCAGACATCATGATAGCCAAACCATTTCTGCCCCACAATTATATCATGCTGTCCCAGGTCAGCGATCAAGAAGGGTTGGTTCAAGAGTCTCCGTCCGCCAATGATGAGGTGACAGATAATAGCATGGGTAATTGGTGATCCCTCCCGACCATCATACCCTTTTGTCTTAATGGTCTTGCTAAGCCGTCGTGTGGGAATCCCAAAGAACCTTGATAATCCAATCGCTTGTCGGGTGTTCATGAAAAGATAACCATTTGCTCCAGTGTCGGCCAATGTGGTCAAAGGGATACTGATTCCGTTGTAAGCTACTTGACTGCTCACATTACAATTCTGTCCCCCAATCAATTGACTAAGATCCAATTCTAATTCATCTAGGTCGACACTATCTAACCCCAGGTCGGAGACTTTATCCTGGGCTAGGCTTTTCCCGCATTGTTGTCCAGTTCATTCTCAGACACTTTCTGTTCCAGCTCCTTCAATTCGGGGGCTGAGGACTTGGCAGGACAGTCTCGAGCAAGATGTCCATGTTCCTGGCAGTGGAAACATCTACCTTCCTTCATCAGTCTGTCACGTCCGACACCGCTAGTCTGTGAGGCGGTAGGACTAGAGCTTCGGGATGGAGTTGGTTCCTTCTTGACAGTGGTACCAGATCGGTTAACTCCCTTGCTTGTTGTATCCTTGTTGGGGGTGAACCCTCGGTTCTTCTGGTTTCGGTGATGGATAGCTTCGAGTCGACTTGCAGTCTGAGATACTGCATCCGAGAAATCCTGGAATGGCCCATCCTGGTAGCTCGCTGAGATACACAGTTCTTGGAGCTTGGTCGTCAACTTGTGGTAGAGCTCATCCTTCCAATCATCCTCTGCAACACCTGCTTCCGCAGCAAGGTACAGGAATTCAGACAGGAAGTCATGGAACTTGTCACTTGTCTTCATGTACAACTGTCGAAATTGGTGCTTTGCAGTGGTGATGCGGTTCGGGTCATTGTAGATCATCTTTAGGTGGTCCAGCATGTCCTTTGAATCGACATAAGGGTTCAAAACATCATCCCTCATACGTGGTGTGATGTGCTTTCGGGCCTTGCCCTCGCAGCGGCTGGCAATGTATGCCATGCGAAGTTGAGGGGTATCAAAGTGGTCTGCATTGGCGGCTAGCTTCTGGGATAACAGAAGCAACCAATCTTCAAATCGAGGCTCCTTACCATCAGTCAACATAGGGGGATCAGGAATCTTAGTTGACTTTCGGACAGTAGGTGCAGAGGAAGTCTGTCGGCCATCATTGACAGTATTCATCATCAACCGGGCAATCTGGGTGGCAAAGGCATCTCGCTCTGTTCTAGCCTCAGCCAGCTCCCGACGCAGGATTGCGATCTGTCCATCCTTGGTCTGACCATGAAGCTCCTCTCCTGCAAGCTGAGCCTCACGATCCTCCAGGCACTCCTCATATCGCTGGTGGACTTGTTGGAGCTTCTCATAGAACCACTCAGGCTTGTCAGTGACAAACTGTAAGAATTCCTCCAAAGTCACCATGCGTCGTTCTTCATTCTCATCTCCATCAATAAAGATAGAGGATCGTCGATTCTCTTGGTTGATATCATCGTCGTTCGTCTCGTTCTGGTTGGCCCTAGGAGGGACAACGGTGCTGTTCTGTCGAGCCATACTGGCCAGGATCGTCGTATTAGTCGATTGTCGGTATCAATCTGATTCGTTCGGTGGGTCGGTCAGATAGTTGGGAGACGCACTACTATGGCTCCACGATCGCTGGATCGAACCAATGAAGTAGGCGTGTTGAGAAAAAAAGGCGAGATTCGATATTATGTCACGGACTCGGACCAGTAGATACTAATGAAATGATATTCCTATCTAACCAGTGTAGCCATCGACTAGAATATCGAATCTGGAGAAGAAAAGAGAAGAGGCAAATCTATTTACATGAAGAAGTCCTATATGTTTGTGTGTGGTCTCGCTAAGCAGCTTGTTTGTCTTGGTTGCTTCCATGACATTGTTTGCCGTGTTGATGATGTTTGCTGATGAAGGCGCTGAGCTGAGCCGTTACAGATTGGAAACACCAGCGACAAAATATTTGAGTTCGGCATTTTCCTGGAAGTATTGTTTGAGGGCATCCAACATGAATGTCTTGCCTTTGACTGCCTTTCTGGACTCGTCGGTGGTGCCGATTAAGTCGACTGATGCCTTCTGAAAGGTAATACAGACGCCCTGCGATACGTCTTTCTCGTCTGGATTGATGGGAACTGTCTTGTTTGCCGGTGCGGCTTTCGCGCCTTTCCCTGCGAACCCGTCTTTGCTCTGACTGGAGTCCACGGTACCAGTCACATTGCTAAGCGTGGTCTTGAAACTTAGCACCATTCCGGAGGGTAATGTTATAGTTCTGTTATGACCTATAACATCATAGTGTGCTTTCTGGATGTCGAATGTCAGTGTGATGTTTCCGTGTTCGTCCTCGAACTGAATGAGAGGATGTTCCAGAGTCATGAAAACGTCAAGTTCGACATCCTCATCTGTTACGGGGTCGGAATAGGATGTCTTTAATGGGCCAAAATTCAGGATTGATTTCATCTCTTGGGAGCGCGCCCGGAGAAGTTGATTGATTTTCTCTTCAGAGTAAGACACCAGAACGTCGAACCCTTCGGTTGTCCTTATACCCTTTATCTCTTTCCCAAGCGCGAGGAAATCAAGTTGTTTTGCCATTTTGCGACGTAAATCTGAGGCTGTTCAGGCGAAAAGAACTCAAAGATGATTGTGAAATTCAAAGATCGTTTTGTTGGAAGACCTGCCCAGGTTATATGATAAATGGCCCTATCACAGTCCTTGAACTCGAACTTCCTGTATTGGTATGAGGGAAATAACATGGCTGGCTGAACTTGTTGGAAAGAAATATTCAGCTGAGCTGAGCTGAGTTGTCTGATAGCAATCATCATTTATTGGGTGATGATCTACATATCCACACTTCCCCCTCCGCGTTTATAGCGCCATGATTGGGCCAGTACGCGTGACAATGCAGCCTATCCTAGTCCAAGCAGCACAGCCCAAAATGTACCCCACAGAGTACGAACAATGACATACTAATGCGCATGGTGGGAGTTTCTTTTATTTTTTCGTGAATTTAAAGCAACGCTTCAGCTCGCTTGACTTGCTGTCAGTTTAGAAAGAGAAGGAAACCCGAAGTGCCGGTATCTTTGACCTGGAGGCCTCGCTCGACCTGAAAAGGGTTCGTCTGCTGTTCAGAGAAGTGATCCCTTCACCAGATTCCATCCACCATGGCTTCTGTTTTGCCAAATAACAACTATGCTTATCATAGCAACGACAAAGCCACGATTATCCTGAGCACGGAGAAATACACCATCAAAAAAGAGTTCAATTTCTCCACAGGTACCTGCCTGATCTACGCAGAGACAATCGAACTTACCTCCGACATCACTGCCCACGGCAAGAGCATTGGTCTCTTTTGCCATACACTCAAACTCTCAAGTCATGTCACCATTGATGTCTCGGGCGATAAAGGTAAGGCAGGCGACAATCATGTTGATAAGGATGGTGAACGGGGAGGAGACGGCAAAAATGCTGGAAATGTTTGGATCTGCGTCCAATCCCTTCCAAGAGAAAATGCTTTCCATAACCTGGAGATCAAGGCGTATGGAGGAGATGGTGGCAGTGGTGGCGACAGCACTTCATCTCAAGACGATTCAAAAAAAACCAGAACTGGTGGAGCTGGCGGGAACGGTGGAAATGCAGGTAGGCATGCATGTTCGGGTTCTCTCACGAATAGGCATAATGACCTGGTCTAGGTGACATCGAATTGCTGTTTGGAACAGCAGATATGGACGCTGCTCGTGCTCTGGTGAAAGTCCAAAAGCGACCGTGGCCGGAGCAGGCTTTGTGTCTGACAGAGCCAGTGCTGTCAGACAGTCTCCCTGGTTATCTCTCAGAAGAGCAAAAACAGCCCCTTGAGCTTCTCAAGAGCCTTAGTGGTGTGATTCAATCCCTGGCCCGCCAGCTCGAGACCCTGTCGAGAGCAGGCGACAGCAAGGAGATTCAAGCCATTGCTTCTTCCCTCATGCAGGAAGCGTATACCAACCTCGCGCTAGAGAGTAAGGCACCGAAGAATATCACCATTGAAACAGTCAATTCCCTTCAAGTGGTACTAGACTCGATTCGTTCTCTGAACCAAAAGACGCCAGACCTTGATGCAACTCGAATCCTTACCGATGCCAAACAAACCATCGGAACCGTCGTTCCTCGAGAGGATTCTGAGATGATCTCTCTCATGGAAGATCTTGAGAATCGGCTTCGTGAAAGTATTTCAGACATGGAGGGTTCTGCTTACGAAATGGCCAAGTTGAACTATAGAGGTGAGTATCTGAATCAACCAGTTTAGCTTGCTCTCCAGCTGACAATCTTAGGTGCCGGGGGCTTTGGTGGCATTGGATCCAAAAACGGTGCCAGCGGCAAAGATGGACAGAAAATTGGCCGCAGCCGTGCTAAAAACTTGCATTTCGAAGGCACAAAGAGAGACGTTGATGTCTTGCAAGCTTATATTTTCCCCGAACATTGTCAAATGCTTTTGAACAAGGCGGACGATTTGTTCTTCAGCAGTAATACCGAGAACTGGAAGAGCGCATATACTCTCTACAACACTTTACTCGACCGTCTCCAAGTGCTAGATGGCTTCCAGGGCGGAGACTCATCCGGTTTATTCAATGCCCTGAAAAACCTGGAAACTGAGCTTAATGTAACAAACAATCCCGTCGTGCAATTAAAATCAGTATATGAGCAGGCCAATAGCCGACGCAATCGGTTGCTGTTGGGCCAGGATATGTTTGGACACGTCGATAGTTGGGTACCCCGCCTGTCATTTAGTTTCTATGCTCAGTCTGTTAAAGAGCGATTCGGGGTGCTCGAATCGGTAGAGGATCTCACAGCAGCATACGAAGAAGCCTTTCAGAAAGAAACCGACACTCATACCATGATCAACCAAGGCATTAGCAAGATGGTGTATGCCCAGAAAGAAGCCCAGGACAAGATCGACCTTCTCACTTCCCCTAATGGTCCGCTGGTCAGTGGCGTCCATAAGATCTCCTTTCTGACCAAGGATATGAAGGCGAAGCGGCAGCTACTCACGAAGAAGTTGGAAAACATTCAGTTTACTCGAAAGGATTTCGACTGGACCATTATTCTTGACGCTGGATCTTTGCTTCTCTCGACTAGTCTGAGTCTGAAATCTTTTCTCGATGGGATGAAAAAAGGCTACGAGATATATCAAAAAGCAACGGATGACTCAACGGCCAAGAACCTTGGAGGTGATGCAGTGAAGAAAGAGTACATCATCGACCAGTTCTCACAATGTTACGAAACGTTTGAGTCACTGGAAAAAGCCTTCAAGACTAGAAAAAACAATCAGATCGAGATTGATGACCCTGGGGCCTTGAAGATTATAGCTACCAAGGACGATATTAAGAAGATTCTTCGCGAGTTCAAGAATGCGATTGTGGAGGAAAGCAGAAAGGCTATAGAAAGCGCATTGGATGACTTTATTACTGTTACTCTAGATCGTAACAGCGCCGTTGTGGAATACAACGCCTCCATCCAGCTGCTGCTTGAAGCAAGCAATATTCTAGAATATAGCAAGAGTCAGGGCGAGTCACTGGGCCAGAGGATGCACACCCTTGATCCGAACACTCCAGCGATTTTATTCTGGCTACGCAAGACACGCGATAACATGCGACTAGAGCTCATGCAGCGCTTGAACTACGAAAGCCGTGCTATCAGATTCTGGGGACTGAGAAAACAACTCGAGTATTTCAGCCCAGGTCCCCTTCGTTCTGTAACAGAACTACGACAAGGTCAATCAAATCTGAATGCGGCCTATGAGAATAGCCTCAACGGCTACGCTAATAATATTCGCGTCACATGGCCGCGTAATGACAACGAGAAGGGCCTGTTTTACATGTTGAGCAATGCAGAGTTGGAAGCTTTCAAGCAGCGCCAGCTACTCACCACTTCCAAGGGTGACGATGGAGTCTACAACGCATCTATCCGGTTGAACCCAGGTGCATCCCCGTTTGGCCCTGGCGTGCAGATGTCAGGATTAACCAGGTGCGCTTGTGGCTTCTCGGGGTCAAAGTGGAAGCCGACATTGCCGGTCGTAAGCCACTGATGGTGAAAATTGCCCATACCGGAAATGAAACCTTGGAAAGCACCGAGGGACAGGGACTTGAGTTCTCCCATGATACCGTCAATATTCAATTCGAATACAATACGGCCAATGTCCACACGCCAGACGACTTTAGCACCAGTGTCGTGTTCGATAGGCAAGGACTTGAGAATGATTGGAGTGGTGGTGACACTAAACCGACTGCATCGACGTTTGCTGCGATAGGACCCTTTACTGGGTGGCGTTTCTCTATTCGCGAGTCAGAGAACGTCGGCTTAGATATGGGATCAATTACAGCTGCATATGTTGAATTTCGGGGAGCCAATCGGCCTTTCTCGGTGGATTATCAAAAGGCGTAAATGAAGGGCCTCCGGTGATATTGAAATGTGTACCTATTGACGCTGATAGTGTGATTCACATGGAATTGGAATCGTCAGATTGGATTTATATCAACCCGCCACTATCATTATCTGATATCAGAACTCCAGAATGTTAAAGACAAACCAAATCATGGCACCCTCCAGCGGCAAAGGATCGAGAATATTCTCGACATATTCCGGCCAGTCGTCAATCCACTGCAACAGGGGAAATATATGAGTGTATTCCCAGTACGAAGGATACCATCCAGCCGTTTCCCAGTCCACGAGAGCAGCTACTTCATACTCTTCTTCATTTGTAAAAATCACAACCTTCCTAACAAGAACATTCTCTCTCCAGAGATCTCCATGTGTAAACATAGGCGGATAATTGCCAAGCGCCGATGGGAGATGTCGAGCCAGATAGTCACAGTGAAAACTGTCATTATTCATTTCGCTGAACATAGTCTTTGAGCAAAGAGCGATCCCTTTTGTGAATTCCTCAGCTGTCTGAAAAGGACCGGTAATGGCTGGGTCTTTCTCAAGAGACCAGAAATATCTATGCGGAACAGGTCCCCGGTCAACACTGCCGTCGAATCCAGGCGATGTGGGCGGGCCTGGGCATGTCAATGTCTAGATCTGCCCGTCATTATTTTCTACCTGCGGAAATTTAAATTTAAACGCAAGTAACATCAAGACATCTAACAGCAACTTGTCGTCACGTTTTCCCTTTATTGCTACATTAGTTTAGATGGGAATATCAATGTCAATTTCTGCTAATCCGAGCCCGTGACATAAAGTAAGTCTATCAACCCCAGGAATAAGCCAAGCCGCTCTCCGTTTGTGTTATTATATGACGCTTTCTATAGTCAAGCACGTCCACAGGAATCCTGTAGCAATCAAACAGCTTGGAGAGAGAACCCTCTTCTTCCATTTATCTTCGTTTGTACCGTAAAGCGCTTTTTGTCCGGATGTCTGTCACAACCTGGCTTCTCTCGTATCGTACCTAGGGTTCTACTTAGTTGTATTTCGAGACAGGACACTTACCTGTCACAACCTGGCTCCTCTCGTATCGTACCTAGGGTTCTAGTTAGTTGTATTTCGAGACAGGACACTTACCCTAAGTGTCTTCCAAGTAATCGTATGCTCGACGACCATCTAGGTCCTCTGTATATCACGTCGCAGGTATCTCACCCCCCTCCAGGCTCCGTAAGATAATCAACAAGTAGAAACGGTAAAGGTAACGAATAGAGAAACAAGGCCAACTGAGCACGTATGCTGGGTTGTTGGTTAAGTGCGGACGAGTCAGAAACTAGAAGGTACCAATGCTTGATTAACTAGATTGATTGCGAAGAACTAAACTAAGTACATGAATGTGTGTCCTTATATATCCTCCATGTCTTCCTGGTACATTGCTGCCGTATGGTAGATGTATACCGGATAGTATACATATACCAAACGGTATATATCTATCGTTGCCAAGACATATATCATCACGTGATTTGGTTTGCGGCATATTATCTGATCCCTGTATTGTCCTGCATTTTACCGTCAAATATCATCCAGTGATTCTGCCTTGACTCCCCGCATAATCACGTGAGGTTGATGTGGTTAGGTCTGTAACAATGTCTTGCTCTCCACGAACGGCATGTGCCTTGGCATCTGGTCCAAAATATCAACTAATAGATGAATCGATACTGATGAAAGTCGAGATGGATTAATAGTTAGTCCGATTACCGAGGCCGACAGATCCCTCATATACGGACACACTCGTCTAGATAGCCAAGCACTCATTCTACCATCTATGGCGTCTATCAATGTCACCCTCCGCGTAATTTAAATTTCCTCTTCCTATATAGCCTCGTGCAGTCCGGCTAATCGACTCCCTGACTTTCCCGACTCGGAGTTTACCGCCTCATTGGTTTATCTGTTTCAGATACCTAAGACGGCCCGACGGTTCCCCGAGCCCGAGGCTACGACCGCACTTAGTGAAGTGCGGTGGGCTCAATAGAATACCCAACCTAAGTTCTTGGCTGGGGCTGGCAAACAATCAATGGTGTGTTTGTCGGTCAGACCGATTTCGAGAATAACTGTACCAGGTTAGACAATGTATTAAGCCACTGGTTTCGCGAAGATGAATCAAGAATATACATTTGCCCAGTCTTCCGGATTCGAACAGCCACCAGAACATCAGACTCGCATTCGAGGTAGAGTTCTGCTGCCTTTTTAGCAAAAGCCTCTCTTACGTCTGAGCCGCTGTTGCGCCTTTGCTCGAGCGTGGCCCGCACGATATATCTTATCCTCCAGTATTCAACCAAGACTTAGATCGGGAGATTGAGATCTGTGGAGCGAGCGGATAATATTCCGTGGAATGCCAAACTGCGGCGGGGCCTGGTTATTGATTTCCGTTCGGCTAAATTGGACCGTCAACCAAAGAAAGCGGATGCCTTCATGCCGGCAGAGGCGCAGAAGTCAAAACGACTTCATACCCTTTGATAATGAGAACCGACTTTATCGGGGTATTTAGAAGGCACAATGTAAGAACGAATCAAACAAAGGAATAAGTGTTCAAACAAAGATTTGTGAGGCTTTCTTACATCTTCTTGAACTCGAGGAGTACTGTACTGTAGAGTTCGACGACTTTAATAACCTTACGCTGCTTTTAGGAGAGCGAAGAACGTAAGTCGTCTTGCGAAATTGGGCTTTTTCCCATGCCAGATATTGATGTGCTTTGACAATTAAATGAAAAGCGATAAAAAAGCCAAGACTACTTGAGCAGGCGGACATACATAAATCCGGACACCGAGGTCGCGTGATCAGACTACTAAATTTGCCGAGCCCCAGCCTCCCCCTTTTCTCTTCTCCCCTATCTCTACTCCCCTTCTCGCTGGCCAACGCTCCTTCACCTTCTCCCTACAACATTATCATTCCGTAAAGAAAGTATTTGCTCTTTACTGATCTCGCCGCCAGTCCCGCCATTCCTGTGTTTTCATAGGACTCTCTGATTTCACTTGATGATTTCGGATTGGGCGTGTGCTCGTGACCAGGCCGTAAAAGCTTCTACTACTTTACTCTCATCTTGTTGTTATTCCTCATCTGACATATTACCCGAGTCGGGGCTGCTCAACGCTGTTTCAAAGCCCGGGTGGGCGGGCTACTCGATATATCAAGGGTCTTTCTTTTCGAATCCAGCAATTATTGCAACAAGACAATGGCCACATCTCCAGACCCGCCCTGGGTCATGAGGAAGGCGGTTCTTGTTTCTATACCTGATTCTGAAGTTGCTTGTTCTGCAAGGCTTCGTATCTTCCATGATATAAATACTAACAAAGGATCCATCTCCCTCAAGATTAAAGCAGATCTTGCTAACCTGGGATTACAGGACCTGACATTGAGTATCCTTCCAAAAAGAGTCGAAGAATGTGCGCTATCCTTGACAAACAACAACGGCCTCTGTTCTCCTCGATTGGTTTCCATGCTCCCGGCGTCTGCGCAATATAATCGGGCCGTCTCAACACTGAGTCTGACACTCGGTATGACCGGCTTTGTTCTTTGTCCACGTGGGATGAAACATTTAAGCCCAGCCAATCCAGAGGACAAGAATTTTTACGCCTTTGCAAAGATCTGTCAATCCAAATCTCTACGTCTACATTTTTCTAATCGACAATTTGTGAACGACCAACTTGACCGGTTGAAGACTTTCTCCTTAGCTCTGAACAGAAAAGATTTTGACGCAGAGTCTTTTCAACGCCAGAGAGAGGACGTGGACGAGCCGGATTGGACTCTGTCACCCGATCCACCCCCATATTATGAGGAGCCTGTGTCCGAGCAGGTGAAGCAAGTGGGTCCACCCTTATATTCTGAGGAGTCTGAGTCCGAGCAGGTGATTGGAAAACGGTACAGAGGTATCTTGTTATATACTTTGACCTTTAAATAGCTTGTTAATAGTATTTAGACCAAATGCCACCCGATGATAATAGAAGACGAAAACGACTGCTCCTCTCATCCCCGCAACCGCCAGGCTCTGCCACCGAAGTTAATACACCGAGTACTTGCTCCCTGTCACCGTCATCAATACGCCCAACTTGCTTTACGCGTGCTTTCTCTCCTGGCCACGCAGACCGTAACATACTTGCACGTCTCGAACACGAGCTCCGTGGTGTTTCCGATGGCCTAATCTGTAAATTATTAATTCGAACAGGACGCCGACATCTACTAGCCCGCCCAGAAGAAGTAGACAGTGACCTGCCATCCAACTCTAAAAAAGTCAGCTTTGCCAAGGTCGAACGGATTGAAACCCCCCTCAAACAATATATCGACGAGATGATTGAGCGCCGCCTCACACCTGTTGTCAACGAGATCGTCGATAGTACTGTGAGCTACGGTCGTGACCAGATCTTCGACGAATGTAAAATAAACGAAGCCGGATTTCGCGAGCAGGTCGACGATGGCAACTATGAGGTACGCATAACGGCCAATGATTGTATGAAGGAAATACAAGAACTAGCACAAGAGTATGTGGATGAAATAAAAGAACAAGCACAAACTGGCAAGGATGGTATCGAGGATCAGAGAATCGAGGTTGAGATGTCTATGGAGAAAAAAGTTGCAAAGTTCGAGCGCTGGTTCAATGCTTCTGCACCGTCCTTACTTGATGGCAAGTCAAGCCCTACCCATGAGCTGGGCACTGATGCCAGACGCAGTTCCATTTAGATTTGGTACTAGGCTTAACATTGTCGTGTACATAGTTTATTTATGAGTTTGTCCCTTTCCCTTCTTGTCAAAGGCAAGCGCTAATCAAGTCGCAGTCCTTGATATATAGCTCAAGAAGCTTTTCAGCAACTTCTTTCGTCCGGGACCCAGAGGAAGCCCCGCGCCTTGGTGACTTCGCTGAGGCCGCCAGCTCGGATAAAAAAATGTAGGATTTTTGAAGGGTCATCAGTTGATACTTTACTTGTGCGCAGCCAGGGTTATACACTCACAGAAGTGGGGACAAAAACAAGGCAGTATCCAAGTAAAGCAGGAATCTACAGAAATAAGATATGTGTTGCTGTCTGATGGGACATAGGACATAGCTTATCGATTCGCGAAGAGCCAATTCGTTTCCAATGCCATGGTCAACTTAGGAAATTCAATGAGCAATCTGAATGTCACGGAGTACAGGCATTCACCAACAACGCAAGATGTTTGTATACTTTGGCCTGTTTGAATATAGGGCAGGAACCCCCTTCGCACACTAGATAGCGCAGCGCTGGCAGGCCCAGCTTCTTTCCTTCTCCATGTTAGTATTCCGATAGAGAGTCTACCAATAAATTTATATTGTTCGAGACTGTCACATATACCGAGCCCGTGACAACCTCCATCGACAATGTACAAAGCTCGGTAGAGTGTATTGATTAGCTGATCTATAAGCTAGTAAGGCTTGAGCGGAGACGAACGATCATACGAAAACAAACATTCTATCATTACCAAGTTGCAGAAGTTACTGGTTTCAGACCCTTCTGGCCCGCTCAATTGGCGCACAACCATTAGGTGACGTACACCAACTAGAAAGTATTAATTACTTTCAATGATCAGAGATGCGAACTAATTTAAATCAGAAATTCCAACTCAATTACAGATTATAGCTATACAAATAAATTTACGCCCATCCTTGAAGATGAAGCCTTGCCAATATCTTCATTATATTCCGTGTCTCGTCTCTGGTGTCCTTTCCCAACAACTAACCTACCAAAACACTACCGGTACACGGCTTCGTGTCGACAATGGGACATACGGTCCCCCAGTTGAAGAGGTACACTACTTTTACGACCAGTGGCCCGTTGGATTTGCTGTATCTAGCAAGGGCCGCATCTTTGCGAGCTACTTTCCAGGAAATTACACATACACTTTAGGCGAAGTAGTCAATGCGACAGCTGAGCGGCCATATCCTGGCCCTGAGTGGAACGTTCCGCCAAGCGAAATCAGTGAGGAATGGGATGGTATACTATTCGGTTCGAACAATGACACGGGTTTCATTGCTGTCCAGGCACTGTATGTAACACCGCAAACGGATAATCGGCCTGAGACATTATGGGTCTTGGATGTTGGGAGGCCAACTGTTGGAAATACAGGGCAGATGGCATATGCCAGGCCTGGTATGGAATTTCTTGTTCCTTTTTCGCTCTTGTATCCACCACGTTAAATGACTAATATTTTCCTGCAGGTGGGACAAAGCTTGTTGCCATTAGTCTCGATAATAACATTGTCACTGATGTGTACACTTTTCCATCAAGTGTCAACTACCCTGATGCGTCACTCAATGATTTCCGGTTTGATATACGAGAAAATGCGACAGAGGGTGGCCAAGGTATTGTTTATTTGAGTGATGAATCAGCTGAATGGCGGAATGGGATTGTGGTATTAGATCTAGGCACTGGCGAATCTTGGAGGCACCTGGATCTCCATCCTTCTACGCGTGGCACTTATGGTGTGGTCCCGAGCTATCAAGGACGTCATTCTACCAATGGACAGCAGGATCTCCATATAGTCATTTCACACAAGGTTGTGATGGCATACAACTTGATCCCACTGGCTCAATCCTGTATTTTTCGCCCATGACCTCTGACTATCTGTACTCCATTGAGACCAGATACCTCAAGGATCACTCGAGTGCAGTCTCATCCCAGGCCGCAAACAACAATGTCAAAAATCTGGGCCAGCGTGGTGGGAATGCAAATGGATTCGAAGCGGATTCGAACGGGTTGATATATCAAGGCATCCCAGAGCACAACGCAGTCTACGTCTATGACCCTGTGACACTCCGAACAGAAACCTTCATCAGGGATCCCAGGATTATCTGGCCTGATTGACTGTCCATCGGGGAAGATGGGTATCTCTATCTCATTATCAACCAACTTCCTTATCAGCCAATGTGGAATAACGGAACAGATCTCCGCCAGTACCCTGGGACGGTTCTAAGGGCGAAACTTCCAAATGGCGGCAAAAAGATCATTACTTTGTACTAGTTCATTGTATATCAATTGTGTGACGGCTGGGCATCTTAACGTCGCCCATACGGTTAGACGCTACGTGTAAGGCTAATAATGATAGACGACACCGACATAGGTAGAACCTTGTCGGATAATGGTTATAAAACCCCTTCATCCTCTGGGTTGCTTTCCTTTTCCTTTCTCTTTCCAGACTCGATGTTCTCATAGATGGCTACAATAGTTTAGATAGGAGAATTGTGTCATTATTAACTACTAGTTATCGAGCCGTGACAGATATTAGATTCTGCTGTAGTGCGTCATATACTACTTGAATCTGGGTAAATATGGGGTGTATCCCGATATGCAGGTGGCAATACACCCTCTTCTGCTGCCTTGATTTGAAGAGCCAGCGTGCGTGAGTGCCACCGGTGGTGCTGGGTATGGCCACCTGTAACCCAGAAGTTATCGAGTCGCAAATGGCGCTTCCACAGGCCGCGGATTTCACCCTCTGCGTCGATGCCCAAAGTTGCATCTAAGCGAGTTGCAATTGCGGCAGGGCCAATCATATCACCATCACTGCCGTTTATGTCTTCGTCACGAGAACGGCCGCCCAGGATCTGGACGGCAGAATCACGGATGTTCTTGTCCGCGTATCCTGTACACCATACAATGGCATCTGCGTCGATGGAGCTGCCATCTGATAACCGCAGCCCTGATGGCGTGTACGCAATGGGCTCAACACCAGACTTGATACTAGCCTTACCCTCTGTCAGCAACTTGGTACCGCCAACATCCACATAGTGCCCGCCCGAGCGCTCAATTAGATTATGCATCAACACGGCGTCTGGGTGAAGACTGTCATGGACAGGAAAACCAATTGATACAAGAGGTGCATAGCGATCTGGCTCCTGTGCAGCTAACATTGCCATCATGCTGCGGGTAAGGTGGCTGTCTACACAAGCTGGCAGTGTAAGGTAGAGTCGATCTGCAGCGGCCACATTTATATCATATAGACCAAGAACCTTTTTATCAGTTACATATTCTATTGGAACAATGTGTGTTGAAGACCGAACAACCATGGTGGTATGGAGACCCGCAGCATGGCAGTCTTCCAACACATCAAATGCGGTATTGGCGGATCCAATAACCAAAACAGACTGGAAATAGTTAGTTCGCTGCATCGACCAGGTGTCTATCATATCAAGAATGTCACTTACCTTAACTCCGTGGTCAGCGAGCTGTTTAGGATTCCGGTACTGTGCTGAGTGCATACTAAGCCCTTGATATAGATGACTATCTGCAATTGAAGGGATATTAGGCTTCTGGGATGCGATACCAGTCGCAAGGACGAGGTGTTTAGACACTGCAGTGCACTCTCCGGTAGAGCCCTGGAATTTGATTATCCATCTTTTTGTTGACAGATTATATTGCGTCAACTGAATCTGGGCTGAGGTGATCATATTGAGATTGAAGGACTTCACATATTGTCGTACATGTGAGGCCAGCTCATCTCTTGCTAGGAGGTGGTTATGTCGAAGCTCCGCAGCATAAGGCATGTAGGGCAAGTCGCTGTATGATGTTGGGACGTGAAACCTCATGCAATCGTATCGGAAAGTCCAATTATCGCCAGGTCGTGCATTCTGCTCAGCCATAACGCTTTCTACACCCAACGCTTTAAGCCGTGCAGCGAGGGTAATCGCTCTGTACAAAGCCACCAACAAAGTCAGCCAGGTGCTTGATGATAATATTGATTTCTGCTAATACTTACGCGTTTCCACCTCCAATAATGAAAACATCTGTTTCAAAGTCACCACACCCGTCATACTGTTTACTAGGAAGGCGAAGTAATGTTTCATCCTCCTCTTGTAGGTCCAGATTCTCTAGAATGGTACTCAGAACCCAGATCCTCCACTCAATTGCCTCATTGTCATCAATTCGACCTTTGACGGGCAAGAGGACCACTTTCCCAGTGCAAGTAGCGGCTGGAGAGGCAGTCCGAAACACAATCCCACAATCGATAAATTGCTGTGTGTACAGAAGCTCGTCAGCCACGTAACAGCATCTACGGCTTCAAGCACCTGCTTACTAGAGTCTGCGTGGCAGTTACAAACTGCGCGCTACCATCAATCGCAAGGCCCTCGGTAACTCCCCTCATCGACCTTGTTTCCAGGAGACTCGAGGCGATCACAGCAGCGGTAATGAATGTGCGCAGGTGATAAGTGAGTGCCAGTTGATCCTTCCAGTATGCTTGACTGGGAAAGAAGCAATCCTCAACTAACTTAGGGTCGTTAGAAGTAAATGCGGCATTCAAGCGATTGAGCACGGCTCGCGCCTGGTTAGTTGGCTCATCGCCGACCATAGACGCCGGGTTGAGCATTCCAGAAGGTATCATGGGGAGCGGATACTCCTTCATCATCTGACGCAAGTCTCCTTTTTGTGGATACTCCTTGTGAGACGAGATGCCATGGCCGTATGCATATTCTATATTGTTCTTTCCGTCAATTTCAAGAGTCCGAGGACCATCGCAAGGAACTGTACGGCAAACTTACCGGTAGTCATGGCTGCAACTTTGGGGGGAAATATGGATTGGTTTCACCTTTATCGATGATATATGGTCAAATCTGAGTTATAAAGTCGAAAATCTAGCTATATAGCCGGGATTAGCATTGAGGGGTTGTGTCGTAAGCTGACTCACCAAGTCGCAACGTGGCTATTATGGTCTACAATCGTTGGATCATTCTGCACTCAATAGAGCATTCAATTCAATTGTGCCACTGATTGATGGGCCTATAATCGACAACTGCACTGTAAAATGATAATAGCTAACGTCCTTTTGCCCGCAAATTAAAATGCATTGTATTCAGTCCTGGATTTTCCCGCAAAAGTGCCGCCTGTGATTAGGGATTATACGAGGCACATGGTTGGTCCAAATCCATGTTGATACGCTCGGATTTAAACAGAGCACAGCAATTTACCAGGCAGATAACGCAGATTTTGACAGCTTATCACGTTGCTGAGTCTCGTCGCGGGGATTCCGGAGCGGCAGTTTAACCACTCAAGCTCTCTTGCAACAGAATCAGTCACAATCAGTCGTTGTCAATCAGAGCGATCTTTGTCAGTCACAGTCCTTTTTCAGCTCCCTAGAATGTCTCAGCTGTCTGATTACCGTGTTTTGTGCTTCGACATCTACGGCACCCTGATAGACTGGGAAGGCGGCATCCTTGTGGCCCTCTTGCCGACGATTGAAACATGCAATATGAAATTCTCCCGTGAAGAAATACTCAACGTATACTATGAGCTTGAACGAGAGCAGCAGAGCAAGACTTCGGATTGCCATACCCCAAATTGTTGGCGACTGTGTATCCTACACTGATTTTACGCCTGGGTCTGGCCGCACCCTCACCCGATGAGCACATCAAATTCAGTGAGTCAATCGCACACTGGCCTGCTTTTCCTGACACTGTGGAGGCTCTCAAGTATTTGCGCAATTATTACAAGCTAGTTGTGCTGTCCAATGTGGATCGGGCTTCTTTCGCGAAAACAAATGCTGGCAGCCTGCAAGGATTCCAGTTTGATCTCGTCATCACAGCTGAGGACATCGGCTCATATAAGCCTGATCTGCGTAACTTTGTATACATGCTGGACTCTGTAAAGTCAGCGTTTGGTATTGATGCCGGTCAGGTGCTTCAGACGGCCCAGAGTCAATTCCATGACCACCATCCAGCGCGTGAAGTCGGTCTGAAATCTGTCTGGATTGAACGCCCTGGTGCCACTATTGGCTCTGTGTCCGAGAATGTCTTCAACTGGAAGTTTAATACTTTGGGAGACATGGCAGACGAGTTATGAGGGTGTTGCGGAGAGATTGCAGACAAGGGAAGCGGGGCTTAGGGCAAGAGTTCAGGGTAGCAGTCGACTCGTGACCCACTGATTTCGTAAATAGTTCAGTATGTTTTCTGTTGGCCAGTTTACTGATGTCTATGGACATTGTTGCTTGTTTAATCTATGGTTTTTGTATTTTGACTTGATCTCCATGAGTACTGCCTGGAGCGCTGTCTTGAATCGCAGCTCACATATATCTTTTTAACTTGAAGCTCTATGTATCCGTCTTACTGTGTCGTCATATAGTGAGGTCATGGCTGACTCGCTTACCATACTGTAGCTCATTCGGTACCATGGACGACTCCCATAGCCCGGGGCTGCGTTTTGCGGATGTAATAGGAATTTTAGTTATGTTCAGGAACTTTTGCTAATGCCATTACGACTAGGTTGCTGTCACATACACCGCTGATCAATTTCACGGCATCTACCGAGGGAAAAAATGTCATGAATCGGACTGGGCAGAAGTCCTGGATCGGGCTCGGCAATACGGATGCGAGAAGATGATGTTGAGAACTATGAATCTTGCCGGAGCCTATCAGAACCTCGAGGTCGTTAAACGGTACCCTGATATGTGTACAATGACCTTGGGTGTACATCCATACCATGCAGCAGAGATTTACAAAGAGGATGGCTACTTGGAGCGACTTCGAGAATTCGGTCAACAGGTCTTGGAAGAGCATCCCACGTGCTTGGCTGCGTTCGGCGAGATTGGCCTTGATTACGAGTACGTGGATCGAGCAAACAAAAAACACAGCAGCGTGCTTTCGAGGATCAGTTAGATCTGGCCGTACAAATGAAATTACCCCTGTTTCTCCATGTTCGCAGTTCTTGCTCGGAATTCATCGAGATTATCAAGCCATACTTGCCCAAGTTGCCACGCGGAGGCCTTGTGCACTCCTTTGCCGGTTCGAAAGATGAGATGTTACAGCTTGTGAGACTAGGGCTCGGAATTAGTGTGAACGGGGTATGCTTTCGGACTGATGAACAGCTTGAGATGATTCGCCATATCCCCTTAGATCGGCTACAATTAGAAACAGACGCGCCGTGGTGTGAGATTGTTATGTCGGACGCAATTTCGATGTATCTGGACAACGCCCGGCCACTTCCTGCATCACGGAAACATGGTAAATTTGTCTTTGGGCAAATGGTCAAGGGCCGCAATGAGAGCTGTACTATGGAGCGAGTAGCTATGGTTGTGGCTGGATTGAAGGGATTATCGGTCGGAAGGGTGGCAGATGCTGCTTGGAACAATAGCGTGCGCATGTTTGGATGATCCGATTTATCGAGGACCAACTAGAGAATATTCAAAACGACCATATACAGCTGGTGCGAGAACAGCGGACGACCAAGGGTCTACCAAAGATAACACTCAGAGCTTAAAAATGCGATAAGTCTTAGTTTCTGTCATTTATAAATGATAAACTTCTTGGCTGACACTCCCTCCTTCTGAATTTCCAAAGTGTGCTCCAGGTCAATTGAAGATGCCATAACTGAAGTATAAGAATTTCAGTAGTCTGGAAACGATTATGGGCTCGTTAATCGATCCGATCTTACCAAATCCAAAACTGAATCGTCCTGTACGCTGGCCGCCATACGGTAGCACGCTGGCAACGTGCACAGCTACGCCCAACCGATATAAAATCGACCGCATGGCAGTAAAGCCACTCTCTTCTGCGATTGCGCCATAGACTTCAATGAACCTATCGTCTGCCGACAGCATAGATGCAATGTCACCCGAGACGGCTGCAGATCGGTAGTCAAGGACGACATGATCACCGAGTGATTTGACAAAATCATGGTTGGGAGGGGACGCAGTATTGAAGACGGTAAGGCCGGAGGCAACGACTAGTTGAATTGCCGCTGTACCGACGGAAGACGCACCACCCCGTATTAGAATCGATAGCCCGGTTGGCGTGGCATCCGTCGCGGAGGGCAAAGGCAGGCTCAAGTAGTCCGGATGATATAGACCAGAACAAGCTGTAGAGAGGGCAAGTGGCAGGGCCGCTGCCTGCGCGAAGCTGAGAGAATCTGGGATCTCAGTAACGAGCACTTCAGACAACGTAGAAAATAACTGAGATGTAGGACGAGCCGGGTTCTTCGTCACGGGAAAGCTGCCGTGTCTGTTGCTAAGCCAGTGGTCTATCAATGTGTCGTCCAGCACGGAAATAAATACCAATACTCTCCGTCCTTTGGTGAATTGGGTTACCCCGGGACCAACTTCCTTGATTATCCCAGCAGCATCCTACCCAGGGATGAAGATGGTTTTTTTCAAGAACATGCCATAGGGCTTAGTGGATTAGCATAGATATATACATTTGGAAATGGCGCAAAGGACTCTTACTGAATATTCCAATCGAAGGGGTTCTGAAGATGAAGCTTCCAGTTACCAAGATAAAGAAGCTATGGTAGGGTATTAAATTATAATAGCAACATTAGCATTCTTCAATGCGGCTTATCCCGGTCCAGCTTTGGGGGTTGGGGCATCCTGAACGGTGTCACAGACTCGGACCAAAATACTAGTGAAATGGTATTCCTATCTAAACTAGTGTAGCCATCGAAGACTATCAAATCTAGAGAGAAAAGAAGAGGACTAATCTATCTACAGGAACAAAGGGCTTTGATCTATTGGTTGTGTGGCTGCGCTAGGCGCTTCCTTTGTTTGCTTGCTTGTATGGCGGCATTCAGCTGTTGAGCCGTCAGACGGTAAGCGGATATGCGTTGGGAGCAAAAATCCAAGCAGCACGGCTCTCAGCCATGATCAGGCAATTAGACTGATCGGTGGTTAATTACATTGCCGATAAACTGTGATATATACATATTCAACGGCTATATAACAGAGCAAGCTTCCATGTGTTATGCCCGAGCTGGAGGCCATAATCTCCGGGTGATTATCAATCCACGAACTGACTAAGGTTACACAAGCATATAATTCTGTGATCCCTGGTGGCTCTGATCCTTCGTAAGCCTGCTTCCTTCTCTGAGAGGCCAGGAGTTGCTCTTTGCAGCTCGTCAGCGTCTAATCACGTCTCCTTTTGATCCTACAACCCCGCTTCGGAAGTTACGCCATGGCTCCCATCAAAGAAACCAATATCCTTGTCGTTGGGGGGACTTCTGGCATTGGCTATGGCGTCGCCAGAAGATGCCTGGTCGAGGGGGCCAACGTCCACATCGCGTCGTCGAACGTTTCCCGGGTCAGCGAGAGTATCGACTCTCTCAAGCAACTGTTCCCGGATGCGCATGTTACCGGCCATGTCTGCGATCTAGGTGGTCAAGATGTCGAGAAGCGCCTTGAAAAGCTCCTTACTACCGTCCGCCCACTGGACCACCTTGTATTCACGGCAGGCGACAATATTTCCATAAAGTCGCTAAAGGATATTGACCTAGACACCATCCACCGCGCAGGTCACGTCCGATTCTTTGTTCCGCTCCTGCTAGGCAAGCTGGCTCCGCGATTCCTCAGGCCAGGATTCCGATCCTCTTTCACCTTGACCACCGGGTCTTTGTCGGAAAAACCACTGCCGAATTGGTCGTTGGTGGCTGGATACGCAACGGGGCTCCATGGCATGACACGCAGCATGGCTCTGGATTTGAAGCCATTGCGTGTTAATCTCGTCAGTCTGGGTGCGGTTGAAACTCCTCTCTGGGGACCGAAAGGCGTGCCGACCGGGGCCGAGAGGTCTACCACATTGGGCAAGGTCGGCACCATAGATGAGGTGGCAGAGGCATACGTTTATTTCATGAAGGACACCAATGCCACCGGCAGTGTTATCAGTACTAATGGCGGAGCTCTCTTGTTGTGAAGTTGGCCAGGCAAAGAGTGGAAATGTATGAATGGCTTGTTGAGCACTACCATTTGACTTTGCGGGTCTAGCAGCTTGAATGGATACAATTATCATACCTGTAACTATGTTCTGCGTAATACCATGGAAATAAACAGTGACCGTTGTGTCTTATAGAGTTTTTCATTAAACCCAACTTTCAAGCTAGAAAAATGAGAACGATGCTTTTAGACCATAGCGACAGGCCAAGGTGAATCTCTTAGAAAATGATACGCTGGGCCCATCGTTCAGTACACTAGCTGTGAAACCACTGGTATATGGTAGAGCCGAGGATTCGAGTCCACGCATTGAACGAGACAAGACTCACGAATGTCCAGTAGTTTAGGTTTGGAACCAGGCGATAAACGCCAATATGACTCGGCATCCACTGTAACCACCTAGATCAGGTGCGAAGTCAAGGTTAGAGCTCCCTCCAGCCAAGATGCAGGCAATAGTGCCCCGGCTCTGACATGGGGATCTTCTCGCTGCACGAATGACGGGACAGCAAGCATTGCGCCGATGGTTGGACTTCGGCTCATCCATGGTTTTGTCTCAGCTAGGATTATGTCCATACCGTCTAGTATCTCGTTCGAGAACTGCTATACCCGTATGATAGACTACATTACATACACATATAAATCGAGGTTAGTGGGCCGAGATCCAAGCCTGGATCTAATCGAAATGTACAGACCAAGTACGGCATGTATACAAGTACATTCGATTGTTGATATGGATGGGTGTACACTCCAAAGTTACCACCAGTTAATGTACAGATTGCCATTGTATTCTCGGAGCTTGTCCTTATCGGTACAGGGCTATTGAAGCCCTCTAGGACAGTTATTCCACTATATGTGCTAAGGAGAGCCGTTCATTGTGTGGTTTTCTACTCCATACGCAAAATATATATTTGAAACTTGCAAACCATAACTTAGATAAAGTAATTACAACGAAATTTAAAGATTGGGCCAAAGATACTACTAATCGAGCAATTTCCGCAACGGTGATCTTACTAGATATCATCATCGCCCGCGCTGCTTTCGTGATTGTCGCATACAATTTAATTGGGCAGGTCATTCTCCGATAGCCGCAACCCGGCCCGGGTATAAGGAGCAAAACATCGTCCATTTACACGGAAAGTACTATGAAGAAACCCTTTCTCTGCGAGCCTTTACTGAAATGGCTTCCCTCGCAAATGCAATCTCGGACGGTTTCAGGGGCCGCCGGTCCATCTATTCTCTGACAAATGAATCCACTATTTCCGACGAGCGTCTCGAAGAGCTGATCGCCGAGGTGGTCCAGCACACTCCGAGTTCGTTTAATAGTCAAACAACTCGTATTGTTGTGTTGCTCAAGGAGGAGAATCGGAAACTATGGGAGATTGCTCGTGAAGTTGCCAGCTCCAGCATCCCACCGGAGCTATATGAGAAGCTTTTTAAGAATCGCATTGGCATGTCTGGTGCCGCATATGGCTCGGTCAGTGTCTTGGTGAATAAGGTATTTATGAATTGATCGCTAAGACTTTGATAGGTACTTTTCTACGAGGATCCGGCACCGACTAAGGCCTTGTCGGAAAAGTTCTCAATATTGAAAGACCAGTTCCCGGAATGTATGCAGTATATATACAGAAAATCCACCCATAGAAATTAGGTGCTAATATATGCCAGGGGCAAGTCATTCCACAGGAATGCACCAATTTGCTAGTGAGTGACCGTCGGACTCTATCCCTGAAATACATCGTCGCTGATACCCTGAACAGCTTGGACACTCCTCGAGGCGGAAGGCCTTGGGTGCAATCTACAGCATTATAATGAGATATTGCAAGAGCGCGCTTCTCAGCAGTGGAGCATCCCACAGGAATGGCGCTTGACGGCCCAGCTGGTCTTTGGGAAGCCAGCCGGTCCACCACGGGACAAGACGTTTGAGCCGCTCGATCAAAGACTGTTCGTTTATGGAAAGTCGACTTAGGAGACCTCTCAGGTATTGGTGTTACCAGACCCTGTGATCCCCACGGAGCATTATGATCAGGACCCAGACAGAGAATTCCAATAGCACTTGCGAGATTAAAAATTGGTCAGATGCCTCAGGCGTATTTAACATTAATACATTCTAGTCTTATATACATTACAGCTGGTATTCGTTGATCAACTTCTCAGCGCAGGTTGCACCCGTCACATACGCGACGGCCTGGACGTGGCAGTTGGCCAGCACGGGGACAACACTCATGTCAGCCACCCGCAGGTTCTCGATACCCATGAGACGGAAGTCCGAGTCGACAGCCGCATCAGCGTCACCCGGCTTGCCCATCTTGAGCGTACCGGTCATGTGCCAACTAGACGAAATGTTCTGACGCCAGTATTCGAGCAGATCCTCATCGGAATCGGACTTCGGGCCAGCCAGCTCCTGCACGTTGTCCTTGACGTAATCCTCGTGACGAGCAATCCGGAAGGCATCGCGCAGGGCCTCGATGGCGGCGCGACGGTCGAAGGGGTGGGCAAGGAACTTGGGATCGAAGTGCAACGGCACGCTGGGATCGGCAGACTGCAGGGTCACCTCACCACGAGTCTGGGCGTTGAAGAGGAAGACAAGAAGGCAGGAATAGTCCAGCGCGCTCTGGGGGAAATCCGGAATGAACCAGTGGATGGGGAAATGCGTGAGGATCTCATAGTGCGGGACGGTCTCTTGCAGCAAGTACTTCTGCTCACTTTCGGGCAGCTCCTGGAACTCTTTCGAGGAAGTGAGCTTATCGAGCTTGAACCAACCGATGCCCAGTTCGCATGCAAACTTGGACCAGGGGCCGGTGCCATGCTTGTTCCACTGCTCAAGGGCCTCGTCCATGGCCTTCTTGTCGCCGTAGAAAGCCCGACGGTCGGTCGACTGCTCTTTGCGGACATTGACAAGGGGCACGAAGCAGTGATCCCGGAGACCCTTGCCCATGGCCGGCACAGGGTGGACGACGGGAATGTCGAATTTCTGCAGCTGGTCCTCAGGACCAATACCGGAGTGCATCAGGATCTTAGGGTCATTGAGCGAACCAGCCGACAAGATGACCTCCTTCGACGCCAGGTCTGTCCTCAATTAGCAAACATCTTCCTGGTCTGGGGAAATATGACTTACATTTCTGGCCCTTGGCCTCAACACCGACGACCTTCTTTCCTTCCAACACAACGCGCTGGACCGGCGCATCGGTCACTACCGTCAAATTGCCCGAACACAGAACCAGCTGGTCAGAGGCAGTCGACCGCACGCCCTTGTAGGACGAATTAATCATAACACTCATGCCAATTGGGTTACCCGAGTTGTGGTCCGGATTGAGAGGAAAGCCGGCCTGCTGGAAAACGTCCAGCAATGGAGGCAAGTCACGCTCCCACTCCGATGCGAATCCCACGTGCAGCGGACCAGCCGTGCCGTGATCATCTGCCTTTGGCGATGCGTATTTAGAGTCGACACCCTGAGGCAAGTCACCGTGGAAAGTCTCAAGGGCTTTCAAGCGGCGCTGGATGGGTTTCCAGGCATAGGCGTCGTCACCAACGATGCGAGCCCATTCCTCATAATCGTCACGCGCACCAACACTGTAGACACCAAAGTTGATCGCGCTGGAGCCGCCCATACCCAAGCCGCGAGAGTAATCGATCTCCCTGCCATTGCAGTCGGACTGGGCGCTGGTCTTGTATCCCCAGTTCATGTCCTTGTTCTGGAAAGTCAACCATCGCTGGCCGTCGACACGCAAACTGCGGTCCTCATTACGACCACCGGCTTCAAGGAGGAGAACTTTGGGTTTCTGGGAAGCCTTGGCGAGGTTGGCTGCGAGAGTACTACCGGCCGGACCACCTAAACACGAAAGTCAGATCAGTATTCCGTACCGGACTTGACTCGAGGTGTAAATTCAAATGGGTAGATCTTACTGCCAACGACGATAAAATCATAGGACTCCATATTGGTTTCTTCAAAGCAAGACTATAGAACACATACACCACGAAAGGGGAAGATGCTACTGCGGCATTATTATCCCCGCGGCCGGAGATGGCCTTTATACAACACCCCGTCAGGGGCTGTTTAGGTTCATTCTGTAGACCGGCATTTAGAGGAACACGGTGTTACCCAACAAGAAGGACTCCGTATTGGACCGTTTCTTTTCTGGCTCTCCGTTTACTCCGTACTCCGTAGTCTGTCATGTGTGGGATCGTCGTGTGGACCCATCAGGGAAGACATCCGGTTCCCCGCCAGGCATTGGCGCGCTCACTAAAAGGAAAGGCGCCACTATGTCAGTTGGCGGTGGGATCGTCTGGCATTATTGAGCATCCAGAGCACTACTTTACGCACATGGTTGATGGTGAGTGTACATCATTGATAGTAGTATCCGGGTACTGGGGAAGAGATGCTCACATTTTGACTAAGATCATGATCTCCAGAATCCGGAGCTGAATAAAATTCAACCAGGATCATGCATTCTCTCCCGGATACGAGTCCATACCTGTGCCGCCGGAACTTGCGAGTCAGAACGGCCTAAAACTGTGTGGGGTTGGCATCCACTTTGCCATGCTGTTTCAAGGACATTGTCAACCATTGTGGGCCCTTTTACTGGCTGCCGCACAGCTTCGACCATGGCTGTGGCTGCAGCGTATTGCCGCAGGAATGCGCCAAGCGGACTATCTTCAACCCCCCTATTCCGCATGGCAATGGTCCTTGCTTAACCGTTGACTCCCCTAGAAAGAAGTGCAGAGTAGAAAGCCGTAATTCAACATCCCCTGGTATATATTGCTTTTGTTCTCCACCTGTTGTGGTGCCCATCCCGAGTATTTCAAGACTCTCCATTACTCCACATGGCGTCTTCATATGCCGCGTCGTGTCGGACGGTGACCGATCAATCTCCGGCAGTTTGTTGATCGATTGCAGGATAGAGTTCTCAAAATGCGAATCCAGATGTACGTTTACTATTTTGTCTATTTCGTACGTATTAAGGAGGCTCTGCATCTTTTAGTATAGACTCTCGGAAGTGTCTCGACCCAAACCTTCCGGGTCATGATGTATACTACTACGTATTATCCCAGCCGGCAGGAACATTTCGGTTTAGTGAACCGTGCTGATCGTCGTCAGAGACTTTCAGAAATAAGAAAAGATATGGAAAAAGCAAGCAGGGTTTCTTAAAAAAAAAATAAAATAAAAAGGGAAGAGAGAAAAAAGGGTGGTTCCATACCGCCGGTCACTATATCTATTCTGGAATACCGCCAGACGCCCAGACACTTTACTGACATGGATGGGGCCCAGGGGACTTGAATTTTTCCATCCTTTGCTCCTTCAATATTCGTTCACTCTTTTTTTGCTCAACAACTTGCGGTCACTGTCGGAAACTTTGTCGCCATGTCGCCCGGGGACGCTTCCGTTGAGGGTTTCGTCCTCATGTCGCTCGGATTGGTCTTTATTATCATCCGGGTAGTGGTGCGCTGGACGTCCGTTGGGCCGGCTAATTTCCAGCTCGACGATTATTTGATGCCGCTGGCGGGGGTAAGTATTTCGGCAGATGTGCACGACTGATCTCGCTAACGGGCTCAGGTTATCTTCGTTCTCGAAACCGTGGCCGCGCATTTGGTCCTCGCCAAGTTCAATGGCCTCACAAACAGCTACATGACGCCCGAGCAACGGGCTGCCGTCGTCCCGTTCTCGGAGGAATACAATAGCCGTGTCTGGGGGTCCAAGATTCAAGTGATGGGATGGTCGTTTTACGCAATGATTCTGTGGCTGGTCAAGTTCAGTGTCGCCATCTTCTACTCACGCCTGACGTATGTCCATACCGCTCGACTTGGAACGGGAGTAATACTGAACCGAAATCAGGACTGGGCTGCAGCATCTGCCCACGCGAGTCCGTATCGCCTATGTTCTTTTGGGCGTGACCTATCTGGCTGCGGGCCTATCCATTGTCTTGGGCTGCCAGCCCATACATAAATACTGGCAGATCAATCCGGACCCTGGAAGTGAGTATTTTCAAACCATGAGGAACAGGGGATAAGTGCTGATAACTGTAGACATATGCCAGCCGACAAAGTCGCTGCTATATGTGTTGGTGGTGGTGATTCTGAACGTGATCACAGATCTATACCTTCTCTCCATTCCATTGCCGGTATGTCGATATCCCATCGTTTCCAAGAACATCATTGCTGACGATCCAGCTCTTGTGGACGGTCAATATCGGCCTGCGCCGCAAGCTCACGCTGATGGGCCTCTTCAGCGGTGCGGCCTTCGTGATTATGGCTTCCATCATTCGTGCTGTAGTTATCCTGACGGTAGGTTTCCGATCTTGATCCCAATGCGACGGATTATGCTAATCGGCACTTTAGGCTGGACCTGACGGTGCTATCTCTGGCAGCCGATGGGCCTGCCGTGAAACCTTTGTGTCCATCATTGTATCGAACCTTCCAATTATCCAGCCGATAATCCGCCGGGCCTTCAACAAGATAGGACTGGGCAGCGTCTTCTTCAGCAACTCCGGTCGACCAACCAACTCGAACACGTACCCGCTCTCGAGCCGCGGTCTCCAGACGACAAACAAGGACAAGAAGAAGAACAACAACCCTCCATACATTCCGGAAACCACGGCGTGGGGAAGTGATGAACATATTCTGGCCGTGGAAAGTGGCCAGGCACCATCCAAGGACATTACTGTCGTGTCGGAAACAGTTGTGCAGAGCGAGCCCTGGAACGATCCAGGACCAGCCACGACACCGCCGGACCACTGGGGATCGCCTCTGGGTCATCGTTGAACACATTTCATTCTTTTCAAAATCTCTCTTCTGTAGGCTTGTATTATATACATAATTTTTTGAACATGTCAGGAACTTGAATGTACATATAACGGGTATTTGGGTATTGGAACATATGGAAATAAATACATAATTTCTCGGTGGCATTACGACTGTTACATAAAATCTACATTGATTTGTAATCTGAGGCATAGCTCATGTACAGATCTACCGCTGATAACCTTCGATAAGGTGTTGGCTGCCGATTGGCTTGCACGGAATAAGGATAGACCGCGATCACGTGCGGTGACGCAAGAAGGAGCGGTGATTGTTGTTCTTCTGTTCTCTACAGAGTACAGAGTACCACCATACTCTGTACACACTCACAATGGTTTTGGCAAAGTTGACGGTTGCTCTTGCGCTCCTTGGGGAGGCGTCTGCTATTCAATTGCCCCTTTCCTTGCCAAAGATCCCACATATTCCAAATGCGGTGACCGAGCGGAAACTGGTTGACTCGGCCTCGCTCCAGGAACGGATCGATCCAGACAATCTGCTGGCCAGAGCCAAGGCGTTGTTTGAAGTCGCCGGAGCTTCCGTGGATGAATATAACCATCCTACGCGGGTTATTGGAAGTGAGGGTAAGCATTGACTGCTCGTCGTTTGTTGGGGATCTAGCTTATGGATCTGGTATAGGACACCGCGGAACACTTGACTACATCTACGAGACGATCCATGGCTTGGGTGATTACTACCACATCTCCAGACAGGACTTTCCGGCTGTTACTGGCAATGTCTATGAATCTCGCCTTGTCCTCGCCCACGATGTGCCCAAGTCCGCTCAACCCATGGGCTTGACGCCTCCAACCAAAGATCGTCAACCAGTGTACGGGTCTCTAGGTCTAGTCTCAAATTTCGGGTGTGCGGAGTCAGATTTCCCCGATCTTACGAATAAGATTGCGTTTATCAGCCGTGGAACCTGCCCCTTCGGTACCAAGTCCGAACTGGCGGGGAAGGCGGGTGCGGTCGCGGCGGTGGTCTACAATAATGAGGAGGGCCCGCTAAGTGGAACCTTGGGCACGCCTACTCCCGACCATGTGGCCACCTTCGGAATCTCCGATAAGGATGCTGCCCCATACCTCAAGCAGTTGAGACACGGGGAGAATGTCGACGGCATTGCCTATATGGATGCGGTCGTTAACACAATTACAACGACGAACATCATTGCCCAAACCACTGAGGGCGATTCGGAGAACTGTGTGATGCTGGGTGCCCACAGCGACAGCGTCGAGGCCGGCCCTGGAATCAACGATGACGGATCCGGCACTCTGAGTCTGTTGGAGGTTGCAACCCAGCTAACAAACTACCACGTTAACAACTGTGTTCGCTTCGCCTGGTGGGCAGGTGAGGAAGAGGGTCTCCTCGGCTCGGACTACTACGTCTCCGTCCTTCCTGCTGATGAGAACCGGAAGGTTCGTCTGTTCATGGACTACGATATGATGGCTGGTCCAAACTTTGCCTACCAGATCTACAACGCTACTAATGCTGCGAACCCGGTTGGATCAGAGGAACTACGAGATCTGTATATCGATTTCTACGAATCGAATGGGCTGAATTATATGTTCATTCCGTTCGACGGACGCAGTGACTATGACGCATTCATCAAGAACGGTATTCCTGGCGGTGGCATTGCAACTGGGGCGGAAGGGATCAAGTCCAAGGAGGAAGAGGAAATGTTTGGTGGACAAGCTGGTGTTGCATACGACCCATGCTATCACCAACTCTGTGATGATGTGAGCAATCTCAACCTGACCGCCTGGGAATGGAGTACAAAGCTCATTTCCCACTCCGTGGCTACCTATGCATTGTCTTTTGATGGTTTCCCCGAACGGACGGAGGTTGAGGGCAAGACCTTGCTGGGTGCGCCAACCAAATACCATGGACATTTGCTGCACATGTGAATAGGATAGTCCAAGTCGGCAGTGTGTTATCTTTAGCTACGCAATGAATATTATTACGAACCACTAACTCATTGTTTGGAGCAAACCACAAAGTAGTCGCTTCATTTCAGTAGGGTTCGTCTAGTTCCTGATCGTGAAGCTCGGTCAACTTTCGGCGCATCACTAACAGAAACTGCAAAAGGTACACTATGCTATCAGCTCTATCTCCGTGCAAAAAGGATAGCTTCAAGTATCTTGATCCAACGAGTCTAGCTTCTCGTTCTAGTGCACACAAACACCATGAACCTTTCTCTGCCTGGTCACCAACCGACTGCGCTTTTCCTTGTTCGCGCCCAGTCGAAAAGGCGGAAGGTGCAACAGTTCGATCAGATCCCATACAATGGCTGCGCTTCCTGGTGATTGTGTTCTCGTGCCAACATGGCCATCGTTATCAGGAAAGACTGGCAAAGGTTGATCCCAGTCATGCGAAGCATCCGAATCTGACGAGGTTTGAAAGGCCCTCTCCACATCATCCAAGCTGAGCTCGTGCAGGGAGGGGCTCTTTGCGGAATCTTTGACTCTGGTCTTCATATCGTCCAATATCATTGCTTTCGTCATATTGTTAACTGAACAGAAACTGGCCTAACATCATTTTCTTTTCAAGCCGTGCAAAGAACACTACTATGGCAAGAAGCGTAAACAAAGCCCGTTGATGAAGACTAATTTATAACTATGGTACTTTAGGAGTCGCCTAAAGGGCCAGGAACCTGTTCCACATACAACAAATACTAATCTTTCTTCATTGATGCCCAGAAAGTGAGGGCATATCTACGAAAGGAGGCCAGTTAGAGATCTATGCTTACCCACAAACCTCCAATGTCACATTTGGCTGTTATTAAAATATGGAGGCTGCACAAGGAGAGCTCTACCTTCACACAATTTGAGCTGAGTCTAAAACATGACTTCTTCCAACTAGATCACCTGGATACAGCAGTCAACAATAATGGATTTGCTGTGCTCATTCAAACACTATAGGCGCGAGCTTCGTGCGGTATGCGAGCTAGCAACTTCAACATGTCTTAATGACTCCGATGTGGTCAATTTTGTGACCGATCCGGGTTACTCAGGTTGCCTTCTAGCGCAGACAGGATCAGAGACTAGTTGGGGACTTTCGTGAACAAAGTCAAACTAGTTCGTGGACGTGTCCAAGAATCTATTTAGAGTGATTAGCCTGTTGAAAAGTGACTTTCTTCCGTCGGATCTCTGACGGATGGACGGCTTGCTCTTGCATTTTTTTTTTTTCTTACTAGGTGAGACATAAGTAGGCAGAGTAACTATATATCATATTTAAACTCATATCCGATCTTATACCCCATACCATCATCATACATCACCGTTCATTCCTAGCGGGAAACGACAACGGTCCCTTCTTAACCATCATGGTCATAATTTCATAAAGAACGTCCGCAGCAGCCCTATCAAGGCAGTTATCATTAGTCGACTATCAATCTCAATTTTAATGCAGGATGCAACTTACATGGTCGACAGCTCAGCATTCGTATCATACGCCGGAGAGACCTCGACGATGTCCGCACCGATGAGGTTGACTCCGTCCAGGCCGCGAACAATAGTACGCAGCTCGCGAGTGGTCCATCCACCTGTTTCCGGAGTTCCAGTACCAGGAGCGACTGCAAAGTATCAGTATATATTACCTCTGTGGACGCCATGGGGAATAACTCACAAGCAGGATCCAAAGTATCGATATCAATCGAGAGATACACGGGGTTCTCGGTACCGACTCGGTCCCTAATCTTCTTTATGATTCCCTCGATTCCTGCTCAATTAGAACATCATTTTCCTTTTTGGATGTGGGTCATACATACCAATGGTATCAATTTCCCTTGCCTCGACAATCTCAAATCCACAGTATCCGTCATTCTCGTAGTCCGACGGTCCCGACAATGTTGTCCGAATACCGGCATGGATGTTAGTATCGTTTCTCAACAAACCTTCCATGGCCGCATGGTAAAAGTAAGTGCCGTGGTTAATCGAGGCAACCTCACTAGGTGAGCCGCCGAAAACCTTCGGCTTCCACGAGTCACTATCACCACCGTTAGCTTGTCACCCTGGGTCGGGAGCCAGTGTACCCACAGATGACTATCGAAATGAATCACCGTAACTGGCCCGTAAGCCTTGTTAATACTCCGCAGCAAGGGTAGAGTGATTGTATGGTCGCCACCCATAGTGATGATGCGGGGGAGAGTCTTTCCCGCTCTCGAGAGACCGTACTCATCAGCGTTGGTGAAGGGCTTCCGCATGAGGAGGTTGTTGTGGCCATGTTCAATTTGTTGAATAGCCCAGCCGTTATCATAGCTGGTCATTTGTTAACCTTTGCTCATTTCAGTTTATGACGGAATACTGGGGAACATACGAGGTAACGGGGATGTCACCACAGTCCAGGATCCGGAGGTCACTGACGAATGGGTTCGCCTCGAGGGGGACGTTGTAACCACCACTACATCCGTCAGTATCTCACACACTGACATTCGCGTCGATAGACACTCACTAGAGGTTCAAACGCCGAGAACCTTGTCTAATGCCGCTAGGGCCGAATCTCGCACCGGGTCTATACGAAGTGCCCGTGTCAAATGGAGCGCCTAGTGTACATTAGCATACATATCACCCTGTTTTAGACAGATAGACTCAACATACCAATGAATGCAATGTCATATTTCTCTTCCTCACTCGCGAGACAAGGGAAGTATGGCAAGCGGCCGAAGGTCGAGATACCGGAGAAGACAGAGTCAGCCTGTACAGAGTTAAACACGGTCAATCAATCAACCAATCAACTGAATCATAGATGAGAGAAGGTGCATACCTGCGTCCCACCATCTCCAGGAATGGTATTATACCACAGCCCCTTATGAGGTCCGGCAAAAGGCTCCTGGCGGTGGTCACCGTGGGCCGCTGCGAGGGCAGCGAAGGCGAAAAGAGTCGTCTTCGAAATAAACATGGTGTCCTAGCTGAGAATGAGGACCGTCTGAGTGATTGCAGCTGTACATGGCGATATTTATCATGGCCGCAGACTACACCGGATGCTGGATACTATACGGATATCCTGCTCTACAACATACTCCGGAGTAGGACAAACGTCCCACTTCCTCCAACTTCCTAAAAGAGACGTTAAGTGTCAAAAACTTAACTATCCCTGCAGAATGACAAGAATCCAAGCACGTCACATATTATACAAAAAGAGAAGGTCGGGGAAGAAGAAAAGTAGTTGATAAGGCGATATCTATCAGTCCATCAGGGCTATCTTATCGCGGTGACAGGACGACCATCATATCTCCGGCAACGGGCTTTTTCCTCGGAGCTTTAACGGCTTCGACTGATAAGGCTACTCACTCAACTACTTCTTTGGGAAAGACTGTGGACACCAGATACAGTTGACAACTCGTATATTCATACTATCTACTGCGTACCTTCCATCCGCTTAAACGCCTTATCCACCTCGACATTCCAATTGCTCAAAGCAACTATCGCCCACTCCATCATCCCCACCAGATACAACGCGATACATTGTCCCGCCCATAGCCCCTGCAATCCCCATCCATGAAATGCCAGCCAGACTCCCAATGGCAACGCGCCGCAGTAGTAACTGACCAGGTTCACCAATGCGCCCACATGTTGCCGGCCCATTCCGCGAAGACTACCGCCGCAGCTTCCGTTAAGGCCGTCTGCGATCTGGAACATGGCCACTAGTGGTAACACTTCGGCCGTGAGACGGACCACCCGATCATCGTCGTTGAATAACTTCGCAAAGTGGTTCCGGGTGCCCATCAGCACGGCCAAAACCAAGCCCCCCAGGAACATGCTGAGCCATGCCGCTGTGTTCGCCGCTCGTGCTGCACCGGACATACTGCGAAGGCCAAGGAGATTGCCTACTCTTGCTGAGGTGGCTACCCCGACGCCGAATGGTATCGTGTTTAGGATTTGGTCTGCCGTCATGATTACGCTCTGTGCGGCCAGTGGGATCGTTCCCAGTCGTCCAGCTGCTAAGGCGACTATCTCAAAGGCCCACCATTCGCTCCCGACGTGCACTATTCCGAGACTTGCCAACTGGGCAAAGATACCCAAATTCTGAAAGGTCTCGCGGGACCATCCACCCCAGCATCTGGAGCCATCTATAAACCGTACATAGAGGACGAGCAGGAAGAAAGAGAGCCAGTATGAGATACTGGTCGCTAGGGGAGCTCCGAGCAGACCAATCTTGAAGGTATAGCACAATATGTAGTTCAAAGCTGCGTTGACTGGCGATGTGATCAAGAGCACATACGTCCCCGGCCGCATGATTCCTGATACCTGTCAACGAGACAAACAAGGACTTGTGCATTGGGCACCATACCTTGTGCCTGGAGATATTTCTTCATCAACTCGAAAAAGATATATCCGAGCCCTCCAGGGATCAAACACGTCAGAAACCTCGCGCTTTCTCTAGACAGAGCCGGATCCTGTCCCAGAAAGAGAAATACCGGCTCCGAACAAGCCCATAGAATAGCAACCGGAATGTAAAACAGCCCGAGCACAAAGAATCCTCGCTGCAACAATATACCCAGGTCATGTGTATTTGAACTGCCCGTGAAACTTGAAGAAGCCAACGTATCCACCGCTGTCGTTCCACCGAGGGCAATCATCCAGGCCGTGATCATGGCAAACATAAACGAAAAGGCACTGGTGGCAAGATCCTCCGGCGATATGCGGCCGACAACTAGTACGGAGACGGTTTGAAGGCTGTTTTGCAGCGTGTAGGCTAGAATAACCGGTATCGATCCCTTGAGCAGGATCCAAAATTCAGCGAGTATAAGACGACTCTGAGGAACGCTCTCATCTTCGCGGTAAACACTTCGGTCGTTACAGCTTTCCTCGTCGAGCGGTTTCGGCAAAAGTGATGTATATTCTGTGGGCGGCTCTTCACTCGTGATGGAAGTGCTGTCACTGCGTTCAAGAGGAAGACGGTCCATTGTCGAAGATGGGCAACAGGAAGTTGCTTTGGTAGTGAACTCTGACCTACAAATTTCCCGATATATAGCTTCAAGTGTCCTAATACATACCCATATTTCGCTCACTACCAATCGTATGTATATCCAGCTGTAAGGAGTTAGTGAGCGGCCGAAGTTGCATCTGTCCCAGAAAGGCAGGTAAGTGTAGAAAAGCTAATCTATCCTACATTGAGTCAGCCTGCATAGTCCGTAATTCTGCTGACATGTGGAGAAGGCTTATCGACAGTTCTAAATGGACGGCAAATTTATTTTTTTCCTGCCATTCGATCCACTCAAATCTTGTTATCTCTGACTTGAAATAAGTTCGACTGACTATTATAAAGTGATTCTGTTTGTAATTGAAATGCAAACGAAGCAACCGAGCTCGTGGTGGCGCTATTCATACATCATAGTTTATCTCTCCGGCCCTAACTCCGTTCTGCAAGACCATGCATGGTAAACTAGAGGCCCTTCATCCACCCCAGCCTGAAAATCCTGTTCATGTCAGCACTGTCCTTATCAATTGTATGTTGCGGCAGGCCTGTCCGTTACCCTGTAATGGTACTCTTCATCAACATCGCGGGGAAATCCCGGCTGGAGTAGGACAGATCTGTCTCGTACTTCGGACAGTGTCTGATAAGATATCGAGATCACAAAGCAGTTGGTTTCGAGATGAAAAAGACCATGAGCGCAACAGGACGACAGAGTGTCATTGCTAAAATCATCCTTCATATCGGGCTCGCCATTCTTGAAAACACGAAGTGTCAGCCATGAAATACCAGGCACCGAATGAGAAAGCGGATATATCGCTGGGTCAGGATGGAGACCCTGTCCATCCCCGGCCTACGTTGGACACTCTGGATCCATTGAATTGGTCTCGGCTCCAAAAGGGCACCATTCTCGGCATCGTGATGCTCAAGTACGTCTGTCCTCCTGCTGCAGAATAGGCAGTTGTCCATATATCAACGAGTGCAAAACAGATATTTCCTTTTTACCTACATAACCACCACTACCGTTCCTTCGTTCCCCGAAATCCAGTCTGCGTTTGCCATAAACTATGCCCAAGTTAATTGGACTGTCGCTATTCCAGCACTGGGGCTATCGGTAGGGCCGTTGTTCTGGTCTTCTCTCAGCGAGATATACGGCCGTCGAACTATCTTCATCGTCGGCACAACTATTGCATTAGTCTCAACGATTGGGGCGGCAGTAGCTGATCGGTATGACGGGTATATGACTGCTCGTTTTTTTCAGGGATTTGGTGCGAGTCCAGCGTCGACGGTTGGTATGGCAGTGGGTATGTTCAGATCTTGATGCTTCATCCTGGGCTCTGGTGCTAAGAATCACAAGTGAATGATTTGTTCTTCAATTACGAACGCGGGCAGAAACTCGGGTTATGGGTACTTGCCATTGATTCGGGCCTTCTGCTTGGTCCAGCCTGTAAGTCAGAGTTCACGGGATCATCTAAGTGATAACAAACTAACTTGGACAGTTGGTGGCTTCTTCAATCTTCTTAGTGCTGCATGGATTAACTGGTTTAATGCCATTCTTTTCGCCACCCTACTACTCCTCGAGCTCTTGTTCATGCCTGAGACCTTGTATCCACGTAATCGAATGCTGCAGTCGACATCAGGGTCGTCAACAGAAACAGGCATAACAGCAGCAGCAGCAGCAGACCCGGAGAAAGCACCCTATCCAACCGTATCCTCATTTAAATCTGAGATTCCCAGGACCAAGGGCCTGCTCTTCCTCAATTTTCACCCCTTACCAGGAATGCGCCATCCCAAGCCCTGGGACTCGGTTGTCCGATTCTTGCTCACATTCCGATTCCCTGTCGTCGTCATCGCAGTTCTTGGGTACTCATTTCTCTGGTATTGGTGGGTTTTATCCGTCATCACGATGGTACCTGCCGCATACGCATCGTATACCCCATTGGTCCAGGGATTGCTGTTCCTGGGGTTGTTTGTCGGGACGCTGGTATCTGAGATCTGCTGCTCAGGGAGATTGAGCGATTGGCTTGTTGGTTTGTTGGCGAGAAGAAATGGGAACGCTCGAGTGGCTGAGATGAGGCTTTGGCTGGCGTATCCTGCTATTTTAGTCACGGCTGGTGAGTTCTTTTCCATGAAAGTGGCAAGGAAAAAGAGAAGCTCATCTTGATGTAGTCGGTTTGATTGTTTGGGGCATTAGTATCGACAAGGACTACCACTGGATGGTTGGTCAGGTGGCTTTCTTTCTCTGTAAGCAAGGCCTCTTTTTCTCCTTCTCTTTCTTCCTTGGTCTATTTATTGACTTGCACAGTTGCCGCAGGAATTCAGGTCGGAAACACAGTGACGAGCAGCTACATCGTCGACAGCTATCCTCTTCAGTCCACCAGCGTTGTCACCTTTTACGCTGTGTTTCTCAATCTCAGTGCCTTTATCAATCCGGTATGCCCTTAAACAAGATATATTCCCAAGATGAAAAGTGACATCAGTACGATAGTTCTTCATTTCCTCTTGGCAAGCTTCATCCGGCTGGACCTGGACATTTACCGCGCAAGCACTCATCGTCGCTGGGGGGGGAACATTGGTCTTTGCCCTACTGCAGAGGTTCGGAGCGTTGATGCGGGCATCAGCGCCGTTGCCGTCGTGGGTCAATCCGGAATTTGATTCGAGTATGTAACTGTGCTTTGAGAACTAGAGAGATAATAAGCCATGCTTGCCATCAGATTGAATATCTTGGTATATCAACAAATTGGATGCTTTCACAAAGAACAAGATATACATTGGTCTACCAGACCTTTAACGCCGTTCACGATGCGACAAGTCAAAGAATGGACAAGAATCGAACAGCTTATTGCAAAACGCCTCAATCCACCATGCCACGCCTACCAAACGCCTTGCTAAAAAGAACAGCAACAAAAACAAAACAACAATTCTTCTTCACAAATGCCCGTATAACTTCAATCGATACATGCAGGTAGAATCAGAGCCCCAGTTAGACTTGACCCGAAATACCACGTGGTCCACCTTGATATCAGGCGAATCGATAACAGCTGCTAGGCTAGAATCTTGGACAAGCTCCGGGCTATTGATGTCATATATCCACCGCCCAATGCGGTAAAAGGTAGGACCCAAAAGCTCGTCGTCCGAGAAGGAAGCATCGGGCTCACCACGATATGCAATGCGGAGGGCTTCCATGATCTTCTCGCGTGGCAAAAACTGATCCGAGAATCCCGTAGACTCGGATCGCTCAGAGGTCGAGGACGAGACGAAAGACGGCACCCAAGACCGTTTTGCGGCGATACCTTCATTCCTTACAACGTAATGAGCCCATATCTCCATTTCTTTGGGTGCTGATCCAGGATCGGCGGTGGCACCTTTTGAAATGTGCTCCACAGCAACGTCCTCTGGTGTGATCGGCAAGCCTAGCATCACAGACAGTTGCGACACACCGGAATCTGGAGTACTACACCAGCAATCTCCCGCATCTTCCCAATGCGTCAGAGCCGCGAGAGGCCCCAATGGCTCTGGGAAGGAAAGAATCCATCTAACCAAACTCGTGGCTGGTTCCATTAAACGATGAGTAGCACGCTCGAAAAAGTTGGACGGTAAACCGACAGTCGGGCTGGTTTTTTGAGGATCGATTTTGACGCCCATGCTTTGCGTGAGGAAATTGATCTTAGGTGTGGGCGTTGCTTTCCAAACTGGCACGGGCTCTACCACAGTCGTTGGGGGTGGCATATTCTCGATCTCCGACCTGACAGTAGCCACCTCCCCAGATAGTGACAAAACACGGGTATCTATCCTTGCCACATGTTTGCTGAGACTGTGAATAGCATCCATGGCGGTGCCGTTCAATGGAATGTAAGGCGACTGTCTGCCGAATGGGAGACGTGACCTAATGCCGCTGGAGATATCGGCCAAATCTTCACTGAAAGTAAAGACAGTAAAGATAGACAGTATGGTGAAAATTATAATGGCGGCTATCCTAGTCATTTGGCTCTGGCGGAAAGATAAGGACGGTGTGGAAATGGATTGTACCCCGGATTTAACTGCGGCCTTGACGGACTGGACTGGCGACGGCGGACTAAATCCCAAAGACGAGGTTTCGCGCAGATTCGTTCTAGGTAGAATTGTCCTCGTAGGGGCTGTGGACGGCTCAGGCTCGGGGGCAGGCTCGGGGGCAGGCGCGGAGGCAGGCGCGGAGGCAGGCGCGGAGGCAGGCGCGGGTTCGTGATCTGGTTGAGGTTCTGACGGAGCCCTAGGTTGGGCATCACTTTGATCTTCCGGTTCTGGTACCAGTTCAGGTGCAGGTGAGTTCTCAACGGGTGCCTCAGACTCGGGCTCATCTTCCTCCTGGATAGTTTCGTTAGCGAAGGCAAGGCCCGAGAATCGTCGAGGCGGTGCTGTAAGGTTTTTGCCTTGTCGCTCCTCGCGAAACCTAGCAGGGCGGGTTCGTTGTAGATCATCTTCATGAATATCGCGTTCAACATTCCATGAAATAACAGACTCATTGTCAAGGTTGTCTTCTTGCTGGGGTGAACCTCCACGCGGGGCTCCTTGGCGGGCTGTAGAATCAAGTCGAAGAAGCGGAGAGGGATATAGAGGCTCGGTTGAAGGCAAAGTTGGGTATGGGGGAACAGGGGGGGGACTCGATTCTGTCGAGATGGCGTGTGGAATGGGAGGGGATGGTGTCGCGGTCGACAGGCCATCTCCCGCACGGGGGTTCGGGGAGACCGTAGATTCTCTCAGCGTACCAAGCAACTGCACCTGATCGGGAGTGGGCTCGCGTCTTCTCCGACGACGCGCTGGAGAGACACTGGCGGAGACCGATCGTCTTGTTTGTCGCGAATTTGCACGAGGCTTCGGATTTGCTTTCGGGGGGTTCTCTTGGCCGTTCTCATCGCGGTCTTGCGCACTCTTCACCCCAGATTCGATGCTTTCCGCCATATCATCCACGTTCATCCCCGACTTGATCGACAATTGGCGAGGGATGACCGGCGCTGTCGACGATCCGTAACCCCAGGAAGGTTTCGCCGGAATGTTTGGCAGGTTTGGATTCGTGGCTTGTGGGCCAGAGATCTCCGCGAGATATGAACGGGTTCCATTGTCGTTGGATCGCGCTACCGGGCCATCACGCCGGTTAACAGCGCGCTTAGGAGGCATGCTGTGTCCTAGGATAGGAGATTAGCAGAGCCTAAAGAGACAGTACTCTGCACTTACAAATCGCAGTCTCAAGCAGTTATTCGATTTGGTTCCGATAGGTTTGTTATCTGGCAGCAGGACGAGTAAAAAGAAAGCGCTGTTTGGCAAGGACAAGATAGGACGAGAGAAGCGACGAAATCTCGAGATTGAGGGAAACGGAGGGGTATTAATGCTGTCGTCGTCCGAAACGTGAATGTCTCGCTGGCCGCACGGAGCAACAAAGATCACTGCCTCGGTTTCTTTGTTGATATTCCCTTTCCGATGAAAGACACGAAAGCGATTGAACGAGCATGAAGCGCTTCTTTCTCTCTTTGGTGCTTTCTCCTGGTTGTCTTGGGCGCCGCAATGAGATCACAACACAGCGCGACGCGACACGGATCAACACCCGAGCAGCATTGGCGACACAGCGGGGAGGGCTTTGCTGGTAGAGATGTCTTTCCGTAGAGTCGCGATATCCAAAATATGAAAACAGACGTGTTTTTGGCAATAAATCGTGGTATTGCAGTTGTGGTGTGGTGCAGGTGGTGGAGGAGGGGAGTCTGCCATACGAAAGCAGCCTCCAATCTGCGGCTCATTGTTTCCTATTTAGGACTAGGCTTGGCATTCATTCATTCATTGTTCATTATTATTCATTGTGCAAGTCAACAAGTTGAGATGAAAGACGCATTGAGGTAAATCTCCTCATGCCTTTAATTCTAGGAAATGTTTTATCTTACGTTGGCATTGCTCTTTGTTAAAACGACAATAGTCTCCATTTCTCTACAACAATACAGACTCCTGCTTTTGTCACCGTACAGCTGGCTGGGTCAGTTGATTCGCTTCTATATTGGCTTCCAACAATAGTATACACAGTGGCTCCAAGCTGCGCGGATCAACGAATGCAAAAAAAAAAAAAAAAAAGAAAGAAACTGAAATTGACATAGCTACAATGTAATGGGCGGAACGTCGTAACAAGAAATCGTACTTCTCTCGGGCTTTCGTCGCTCAGCAAGTCCAGGCCCCGATAAAACCGTCCTTTCGGCCTTCAACGAGGTATCCATCCTTGAGTCGGACACGCTCGACATTGGGCGAAGATGGTCCTTGCTCATCATCAATGCCAACGCCGGGGCCGCAGTCCCAGTGGCGTCCATCAGCCTTGTCGTAAACCTTGACCACATTCTCTCCTGCTGCGGCAACAATCCGTCGAGCATCAAACATCATGCTTGTAATCGGTTTGTCATAGGCGTAGGCGTCAAAGATAGACCCAGTGCGAAGATCCCATATCTAGACACGAGTTAGTCGTCTGTGAAGCGAAATAGGAAAATGAAACATACCCGAATGCTGCGGTCAGAGCTACCAGTAACCAGGTGGACATCATCAAACTGTAGGCAAGTAACGGGTCCCGTATGACCCACAAGACTGCGGTGAACCTGCCCACTCCGAAGATCCCAGAGACGGATCATGCCGTCAGCAGTACCACAGGCCAGAGCAGCATCAAAGCACTGAACAGCGCCGACAAAGTCCGCAGAGGCGTCTGGTGTGCGTCCAGTTGGCCGCCACTGACTCTCGGTGCCCAATGAAGTTGCTTGGGCCGCGGCCCAGAGAACATCCAGCGTTTGCACGCAGCGACCTTTTTCCAGATCCCATTGTCGCAAAGTCTTATCGGAAGAGCCAGAAATCAAAGTATTCTTTCGGAAATGCAAAGCCGTCACTTCAGCAACATGAGCGTCCAACGAGTGTACAAAGCAATCTTCCATGGTCGTGGACGGAGGCGATGAGAACACGTCATCTTCATCTTCCTCGTGTCTACCAGTATGGCTGGATCGGGAAACCGTGCGCACGCGACTCAAGTCCCACAGCTTAATTGAAGCATCCATCGACCCTGTGGCTACAATGTTGTCCTCGACCTGGAGGCACCGGACTGACGCATGGTGGCCCTCCAAAAATCCGATGCTCCGGCCTGCGTTGAGATCCCAAACCCGCACGGTATCGTCCAAGGCAGCGCTGACCATGGTCCCGAAAGGATAGTCGAAATCCATGGCGGTTACCATATCAGTGTGCGCTTCGATTTCTTTGATCATTGAGCCAGGCTCAAAGTGCTCATGTAAGACGGGCATGGAGCGTTTTCCTGTTCCCATCAGTTAGATCATCTTGAGCGAGATAACCAAGACTCGTCGGAGGCTTACTGGTAGATTTATGCTTTATGGGCTTTGGAGATGCCGAAGGCAACTTCTGGTAGATCGATTCCGACATGAACGAAGCATCCATAGCCGGGTCTCCCGAAGCAGACGAGTTGTCACTGGTCTCAAAGGTTCTTGGGGTGTCCACGGTCTTAGGAGTTTCCGGGGGCTCTTCTTGAATGTCTTCCAGTTTATTGTCGATCTCGGTCACTGTTTAGGGTCAGATGCGGATTCTTGGTACTTTTCTTGGAAACAGGTATGCACCCACGTTCATTCTCCAGCTCTGCTTCATCCATCTCCAGGCCTGCCAATCGATCCAAAACAATCTTGCGCATGTTATGGAGGTTTGCGATTTTATTGTCGATATCGTGGATCTCCGAGCTGCACATGTTCTTGCGAACACCCATCATCTCCAACCGACGGTTGTGCGTCTCCCGCTCCTTCTTCAGTCCATCCGGAGATGACGGAAGTCCACCCGCAGACTTTCCATCTTCCAGTTGTTTGTTTTTCGATGTGCGCCGCCGGTGAGACTTCCGGTATTCCCGGTCCTCCTGGGAAACCTGAAAACCTTCGAATAGGGAGTACGAGCTGGAGTCATCGGGGATGTTCGCAAGCAACTCATCGGGGAGGGCGCAAACGGCGCGGGATTGGATTTCGGAAGTGGAAAGCTTCGAGCGAACCAGGTCGGTAGGAGTGGTTTGGGTTAACGAGAATACTTTACGTTGCGTATTTGGGCGTCGTAATTCACGGTGGATGCCCACCATAGCATTGTGATAATGAGCATTATTAGTCGAGTCCCCCGATGGTCCCATCAGATGTCCGGCCGTGGAGGTAACCTTGCGTCCAAAGGCTTCGATATGCCGGGACTGGAGAATGCCATCACAACGCAATCAGCAATGACCGGTAGACGCAAGCAATGGAATTGACCTACCGTTAAGCCGGTTCCCAAAAGGCCGTCCTGCTCAATGATATCTGATAGACCGGAAGGGGACTCATCCCGGCGGTGCTTCTCCATGAGTCCAACCAGAGAAGGAACACTCCGGACTTAAGCAAGACCCATACGCAAGTAAGAGAAGCTGTATGAAAGCAGAAGCAAATATACACCTGCCTGAGTCAGGGATAAGAGTCACACTGCAATCTGTCGATGGCGTCGTTGAGAGAGGAAGAAGTGAGAGTTTCAACCCGATTAAGTTCCTACCGCATTCCCGAGAGTAATTTTACTGCCGGGGGTGGTTAGCGTCTCCGTACTCTGTACAGTAAGTAGTAGTAGTATGTACTCCGTACCGCCAGTTCACAAGCAGCGCTATAACAGTCGATTCTATTCGACGGTATAAAATGCGCACGATGGTCTAGCAGGCTATCTATAGAAATAATTCCCCTCCAACCGTTAGTGTTCTCGCTGTCGTGTGCCGAGGGTACTCAGGCCGCTATGCCGTGCAGGTCATGTGACCCCTGCCACGCGATTATTCAGCATACTGCAAGCATCATACAAGAAATTGCTGAAATTTTATGTGCGATTGTAGAGTATATATAGATCTAGGGCTTGTCGTGTTAATCGCGACTGAAAGCCTCATTGTGACATGCTGTTGACTGTGCTCCGTGTAGAACATATACATAATAGCATACTCCAAGGGTACCACCGAGGCGATTGACTATGATCTCCCCGCCTTCGAGCTTCACCCGATGTAGAGATAGTAACATACCATCACCCCTTCCCCTCCCCCAAATTGAACCCCTGCCCTTGCTTACTTGACATCATGGACGCTGCTGTCAGTCTTGGGGATCCTTCCAAGGCGTTGGACTTGGCCAACATCCGATTCCAGTTAATGTATTCTTATTCTTTTCCCCTTCGATCGCAATTTTCCTGCCCCGCTGCAAGGAAAAGTTGACTTACTTGATGGACTCTTAATAGTCGCCTGGAAGATACCATTACGTTTCATCTAATCGAACGAGTGCAGTTCCCTCTCAACAAGACTATCTATTCTCGTGGCGGCGTTTCCATCCCAGGCAGTGAGCTCAGTCTGCTAGAGTACCTGCTCCACGAGCAGGAACGTCTCCAGTCGCGAGTCCGCCGTTACCAATCCCCGGACGAATACCCTTTTTTCCCTGATGCTCTCGAAGTCCCCATTCTGCAACCGTTAAAATATCCCAAGATCCTGCATGAAAACGATGTGAACGTGAACGAAACAATTAAGCAACGCTACGTGGGAGAGATTCTCCCCGCGATCTGCCCCAGGTCGGAACTGGGCGATCGGGGCGAGGCGCAAGAGAACTATGGATCTGCGGCTACATGCGACGTCAATTGCTTGCAAGCGCTGTCTCGTCGCATCCACTTTGGCAAGTTCGTTGCGGAGTCGAAGTTCCAGAAGGAGCCGGAGAGGTTTGTCAAGATGATCAAGGAAAACGACCGCGCTGGGATCGACGCGGCCATTACCGATTCCAAAGTCGAGCAGAAGGTGTTGGAGAGACTGGGGTTGAAGGCCAGGACATATGGTACCGACCCTGCCTTCCCCGTGGAGTCGGGACCGAAGATTGATACCGACGCGGTTGTGTCCATGTACAAGGTGAGTTCAGCACCAACAAGAAGATGCCCGGAGTGCGCTAATATCGTCGTAGAACTGCGTTATTCCCCTCACCAAGGTAGTCGAGGTGGAATACCTCATGCAGCGCTTGAAGGGAACGCAATGGGAGTGATACATAGGAACAGATGAAAGGTTTATGAGATACGCCATGCAGTATATACTAAGTAAATAACGCATAAAAATTTAATCATGGATAGAAATCATGAAACCAGCACATTACTCTCTCCTCCGTTCCAAACAATAGTCATTAACATCATTACACAGGAGGCTTGAGGTATCCAGTGATATCTTTCACAGCATCTTCAAACTTGGAAGCGTCAATCAACAGTAGGCTTCCAGTCGTCTTGACGCCCAGCTCCTGGAAAGCCCGTTTCGAATCTGAGTGTCCTTCGTCGCGCTCATGTGTGTACTCATACGAGCCATAGCATTGCGCATGACGTTGTAATACCTCGTCTTCGGGGTGGAAATAGAACTGCTCCACCTTATTGCCCGACTTTTTATTCTTCTTGTTCGGACGCGCATCCTCCATATCCAATTTCGACTCGACCTCCTCGTAGCCCTTCGACACGATCAGGTAATGCGAGAAGTTGTACGGCTCCTTCTCCTCAATGGCCCAGGCGATTTCTTCCTGGAGCATGCCGTACATCGGCGGAACAACCTCAGAGGGCATGTTGATCAATCTCTCAGTCAGGATCAAACCCACGGGTGGAACAGGAGTCTGCGAAAGGAGAGTCGCCAGCGGCGCGAGGGAGGGAACGGATGAGGCTTTGCGCTGGACGTAGGAGCCCAATTGCTGGATCACAGGCTTGTCTTGGTGTTCTTGGAGGTTGAGGACTGTGAGGAAAGCATATGGATCGGACTCGTTGCCATCGACCTTGACTGTTGACCCCAGCAGTGGCTGCGACAGGATCAAGTCGGCCAAGGCAGAGATGTCGAAGTCCTGGGCATCGGCGTCGAACAACTGACGAAGGAGATTCTTGAGGCCGTGAAAATCCACCGCGGGCTGAGGATCGAACCATTCAAAGTCGACATTCACAATGTCCATCTCCTATACCCGATATCCGTTAGCAAGCTATCTCTACCGCTATCGCATGCGCGGAGAACACTTTGCGACGTACCTCATCAGACTCATCACCCTCGACGGTCGGGTCAGCACCCCCCATAATCACGTCGCCATCCTTGAGCTGCTTGCGCTTTCCCATCTTCTTGTAGAGAACAATGTATACTTGAGTTGTTTTATGTCGAGTTGAGGCGTAATCCGGACAAAAAAAAGTTGCTCCGATGGGGCCCCGCGCTATACCCGATTCGGACTTTTTTTATCGATTTTTTTTATCGCGGGGTGACTTTTTTCTTCTTCTCTTCCTTTGGAGTCATTCCCACCAATTTCTACATTCCTTTTGTCTGGGGAGATATTCTATTTCAATCTCCTTCACAATCCCCAGTCCCAGCATTATGGCTTCCAACGTTGAGACAGCCATTGAGCCGCACAAGACCTTCGATACCATCCTGGTCTTGGACTTTGGGTAAGCCCTGAGACCGTGATAGAAAGATTGTTCTAGGTGCTGACAGTTATCGCAGTTCTCAGTACTCCCACTTGATTACCAGACGTCTCCGTGAGCTCAATGTGTACTCCGAGATGCTGCCGTGCACCCAGAAGATCGCCGAACTGCCCTGGAAGCCTACCGGTGTTATTCTGTCCGGAAGCCCCTTCTCCGTCTACGAAGAGATTGCCCCCCATGTCGACCCGGAGGTTTTTAACCTCAATGTTCCCATCCTCGGTATCTGTTATGGTCTGCAGGAACTCGCCTGGTACCACGGAAAGAACGTCCTGGCCAGTGACAAGAAGGAATACGGACACGCCCATCTGAACATCCACCGTCAAGCTGGCAAGGAGGGCACCATCGATCGTCTTTTCAAGGGTCTTGATGACAAGATTCAGGTCTGGATGTCCCACGGCGACAAGCTCGCCAAGCTCCCTGACAACTTCGAGGTCATTGCTACCACCGACAACGCTCCCTTCGCCGGTATCGCCAGCACCACCAAGCCCTACTTCGGTATCCAGTTCCACCCCGAAGTGACTCACACTCCCCGCGGAACCGAGATTCTCAAGAACTTTGCTGTCGATATATGTGCCGCCAAGCAGGAATGGAGCATGGAGAAGTTCGTGGACAAGGAGATTGAGCGCATCAAGACCCTGGTCGGCGAGAAAGGTCAGGTCATTGGTGCCGTCAGCGGTGGTGTCGACTCGACCGTTGCTGCGAAGCTGATGAAGGAGGCCATTGGCGACCGCTTCCACGCCGTCCTTGTCGACAACGGAGTGTTGCGTCTCAACGAAGCTCAGCAGGTGCATGAGACTCTCGAAAAGGGACTAGGAATCAACCTCACGGTCGTCGACGCTTCCGACCGTTTCCTCAACCTTCTCAAGGGTGTGACCGACCCCGAGCGCAAGCGTAAGATTATCGGTAACACCTTCATCGAGGTCTTCCAGGAGACAGCCAAGTCGATCACCGATGCTGCTGCCGGCTCTGACAAGGAGGGCAACATCGAGTGGCTTCTGCAGGGTACTCTGTACCCCGACGTGATCGAGAGTATCTCGTTCAAGGGCCCTAGTGCCACCATCAAGACCCACCACAACGTTGGTGGTTTGCTCGAGGGCATGCACCTCAAGCTGATCGAGCCGCTGCGTGAGCTCTTCAAGGACGAGGTCCGCGCTCTGGGCACCAACCTCGGAATCCCGCATGACCTTATCTGGCGCCACCCCTTCCCCGGTCCGGGTCTGGCCATCCGTATCCTGGGCGAAGTCAACCGCGAACAGCTGCGCATCGCACGGGAAGCCGACGTCATCTTCATCGAGGAGATCAGGGCCGCCGGCCTGTACCAGAACATCAGCCAGGCGTTTGCGGCGCTGCTGCCGGTCAAGGCTGTCGGTGTGATGGGTGACAAGCGCATGCACGAGCAGGTGATTGCGCTGCGTGCGGTGGAAACCAGAGACTTTATGACTGCGGACTGGTATCCGTTTGACGGCGAGTTCCTGAAGCGGGTGTCCCGTCGGGTTGTAAACGAAGTCAACGGTGTTTGCCGGGTGGTGTATGACATTACCAGCAAGCCCCCGGGTACCATTGAGATGGAGTAAGGGATTTGCATTTTGTTTCTTGTTTTGGTTTATACAGGGTATTGGGTTATGCGAGCACGAATAGATGATTAATTGCATGCATTCAGTCTTATATCTCTCTATATACTCTACCTTAAATCTATACGTAAAGCGTAAACTAGACATCCGGCTCAACCGCATCAACTGTAGGCACCCGGTTCAGCTTAGTCCCAAAGAAGTCCGCGACAAGCTGCACACAATCCCAAATCACCTTCACGTCCTCCTTGGGCACACCCAACCGCCTCGTGCCGCGAATATGCCAATGCGTCTCCGTCTTCAAATTCTGGCTCATGATCGCCGGCAACACAACCAGCTGCGTATCAACATCGTCCAACACCTGCCGATCCGACAGGAACAGTCCGTACGTGATCTCCATGGATAACCAGGCAAAGTCGCGGTGCGAGCGGAACAGATCCAACGTGCCTGATGAATTCCCCGCGTACAATTTCTGGAACCATCCAACTGCACGTTCATGGTTGGCAGTGTCGCATTTCCAGTTTTCACGGGTGAAAGTGTAATCCTTATCCTCTTCGCGCTCAACGCCATTAATAGCCAGAATCGCCTCGATGGGCTTGCACACTCCGACGAGCGGGATGGCTTTGACGAGGGCTTCGCGTAGACGGCGGATCAGAGTCTTGCGTGCGTCCGAGCCCGTTTGTTTAAATTCGGGTTGGTTAAGGAGGTAGAGATAGAGGTTATGGGCATAGTCGGGTTCAGGCCCCGCGACGAGGGTTGCCATAGCTAGGATTGGCCATTTCGAGGCGTCAATAGAGGTAGCGGATTGGAAGCGGGATTTTAAGGTCTCAAAAAGGCCCTGGTAGGCAGGGTCGACGGCCATTTTGTAGTATGGGAGTGCAGGGTACGGAATACTTGGGTTGAATTGGGTGTGGTTGAGTGCTGGAAGCCGAAGTGGGATGTGTGGGGAAATGCTGCTCCGCCTTATCTCCGAAGTATAAAAAGTACGTATAGCCAGTTCAATAGCAACGAGCACCATTTATTAACAAAAAAACAAGTCAGCTACTCGGGCGACATACTAGCAGAGGATCTGAGTCATGGAGCCCATAAGAAACAGTGATGGAGCACAGCATGGTACAAAAGTGCAAAAGACGATGAAGTCAATTCGTGTCTCCCGGTCAGAATAGGGCTCAGTGCAGTGCCTGAGTAGAAGACATGAATCACGTCCTTAGTCAAGAAACATTGTAAGTCCATGAGTTTCTATAAAAGACCACTGAAAAGACGCAAAAATGAATGTTGATCAATCATGCTTGAATTTCCCATTATCAAAATACGACAGCCCACCACTAGCTACACTCACAATCTCCTTGTTAGCGGCAACATTCTTCAGAAGCACCATCACTACGTTTTTTCTCGGATTGTGATGACCAAAGAACCTGTACATGAACCAGATGAATGGCGAATTCTGGACCGTATGCTCTTCTTGTAATGCATAACTCATCACTTCGGATTCTGCGTTGTTGCTTTCTCAGTTACCGTCAGCTTCTCAGAAGGCTGCTCCCGGGTTCATTCTCCTGTAGGGGAGTGATGCCATTCTCAATGTTGGTCGGTGTGATTTTGATCTCGCCAATCTGATTGGGACATCCGAGGTTGGCCACAGTATAGACTCTATTGTATAACCTCGCCATAAAACTCAGATGAGGAGTTGATAATTGTGAGAGTCTCTACGGCGATCTCTTTGGTGATGCTTCGAGGAAGTGGTATGCGCCCTAAGGAAATCGTTAATGGATCGATCCGGAAAGGAAGATGGATCGGAGAACTCACTGAGAATCATAGCGTAGAGAACGGAGATCAGAGTTATAACTGCCAATGTTTAAGTTTATTATCAGTGGAGAGTTGGTGATAATTACGTTAAAAGCATGTAATTATAGATTATTGCCCTCTTCATAATGGACTCGCCCACACCACGACACGAACAAAAGCGTCCAAGCTACGAGCTTGACCTGCGAGCCATAACCCATACGCAGAAAGACTACCATTCTGTAGACGGGCTCGTCTGAAATTGAATGACTGGAGGTTGGTGGGAGGATCTGATTGCTTTTTTAAACAAAGTTGATATAACTTAGTGCGAGGTAATGGATCCTGAGACCCAGACGATGGGAATAACGCTAAATATATCTCAGCCATGTCAGTCAGCGTCACTTCGATTCAGTCTAGCATTGAAATATAACGTTATTACCTGTACGACTCCAGTATCCTAGTCATTACTTCCATGTGTTCATGCGTGTACATATCCATACAATCAAATATGCGAGCAGCAGGTACACGACATAGGATGAATGCTAACAGGCAAGAGGGGGACAAAACCGAACCATATTGGTCTGCTACAGAATAAAAGAATAGAATTCATCATGATAGTCCCCGAATGCTGATCTGGAGGCCTTATCCTTGAAATCAAGCCCATTAGCTTCCAGTGATCAGAATAACAGTGAACATGATATCCAGGAATGGATAGAAGAGTAAAGTCCACAAGAACAACAACCTGATCTCCTTGTAAATTCACGGAGCGTAATACATACGGCACAATGCCCAGGTCATAGAGAGTTATGGCAACCCTAGTGTTCTCATGTTGCCCTGCATACTTCTCGACTTTTAGAAACCCTTTGAGCTCCTCACGGCATACATCAACATCATATGGCAGTCTTCCCGGCAATATGTCGGACCGTTGGGTAATTCACCTTTTTACAAGAGGGAGATCACGAGAAGAATCATCACAATGATCAATGAATATAAGCAGAGTAAGCCGTGGAAGCCGTTCTCAGAAGTTGCAGGGGCGGCGGCACGAAGCTCCTCTGGCTAGCCAGACACATGTCATTCCAGGTTGTCCTCCCCCAAACTATCCAGACGTTGCATAGCATCATCGTGGAGCCTTTTGCCGGGATCACGATGTATGGCATTATAGAGACCACGGACAGTTTCTACATCTTCTGGGTCGATATTCGACTTGACGATGGCGCGCATCTTGGCAAACCGTCCACGAGAGCGCCAGCGCGTCCACTTCATAGTTACAAACTAGTCATCATGATGGATGGTGAAGTCCTTGCATTCGGATAGGCGTTCGAGCCATTCGGGATTTGCGGGACGCTGGGTCCGACATGGATATGTATTTTGAAATAATTCGTTGATGGGAGAAGCTTGTAGTTTGATGTAAGAAAAGGGTTGTGGAAGAAATATGACAGAGGGTTGAGGCGATATTTGATATTTCTCTAATTCTGGCGTAGGACAAGATTCCTAATATAATGGCACAAGCGATATACTATAATCTCAGCTACTCGCTGCATCCACTTTTGCAAGGCTGGTGTCAAAATGCGTTCAACGAAACAGTTCAGTGCATACCGCAGCACATCCTTCAGATGGTCTATCTCCCACAAAGAGTTGGTTATTGCCAGGGACTATACCGATATTGGACCGCAGGCTGGTCATCGGGCCGTGGGTCTGAGTAGTTTAACTATATGGGAGGTGGTGACGAGGGAGATGAACAGATAGTAATTCATAGTCCATGCGCTAGAAATGAGATGCATGGCGACAAGAAGAGATTCTTGTAGTTGAGTTATGCCCATGAGAACTCACCGGGACCGGGTTGTGACTCTTTACCGCCAAGCACCGATGATAATATTCATCTTCTCTGCCCCAAAATAGTCTACAATGGCATCCCCTACAAGTCTACCAGCCGAGGCCCTTACGGAGATCTTCGACAGTTGTGACACCCTCCAGCAAGCCATTGCGCTAGGCTCAGCATGCAGAAGATTCCGTTCTCTATGGCTGTCCATCTCTTCCCCGATTATTCGCCGGCTTGGGAGAGCCGAGATTCGGGCGTTTGACGATGCTTTAGTAGCAGTAAGTCTATTTGTCCGCTTATGGAATTATCTGCGACTAATTACCCCCAGGTTCGCGCCACAGTCATAGCGCAGAAACACCTTGCGGATGGAGAACTACCTCCGGGTCCGTTTCCATTCCACCAGCTCGGTCCAGAGACAAACCCCCCATCGCACGATGAACTCCTGGGAGTCTTCGGGTATGAGCACCTCGCCAAGTGTTTCGAGAACATTATCTGGCATGATCTATTCAAAGGTACGGTCGGTCTCGAAGACTTTGACGAGGACCCCGAGGGGTGGGAAACCTGGCGCGTTGGGTTCCACGCGTCCATGTATCGGCTCTTCCTTATTGGTGCGGCACTATGTCGAGCATACCAGGAACCATTTTTCCTACGCGATGATGACCGTCCTCGTGGCTTCCTTCAAAGGCTGAAGACGGCGATCTCTGAAGAGCAGTACTTTGTGCGGTCTGCGTTCGACTTGAACGATACTCAATATCTGCTCAAATACCCTGCATATAACTTTGGAGATCACGAGGGGCATCAGCAGATCTTCGGTCCGCTTGTCGAATTCCTTGTTTGCCTAAGTAAAGCACGAGCTCAAGGTCACCAGTTGAAGGAGGTCTCGTCGCTATTTGAATCCATGGGGTTCACAAACCCACCTGGCTTTGATGATAACGAAGCCTCGACTGTATTCACTGAGCTCGTCCAACTTTTATTTACATACTATCAGTTAGATGGTCTATATGCAAGACTAGTCACATATCAGAAGCGAAACGGCGAATGCATCCGCTCCAGGACTCGCCTACGAGAAAAGGTCCATTTGCAACCAAAAAAGACGACAGTCATTATTCCGGGAGCTTTCTACCCAGACGAATTTTGTATGCCGCGGCAAATCGAAGACGCCGGCAAATTGTTGAGTGTGAGGCCGGTAGACCTATCAATGAAGACGGCAGCGCTATCCGCCGACTTTCCCTACGAAAACCTTGATATCCTCCTTCAATGTTTGCACCGTGCGTCAGGCCAGCCGAATAAGTATGATGAGTTCTTTAGCACGCACGAGCCGCATTACGAATTTATCCAGTTTCTTTGCCAGAGGCACCTTGGGCTTCGCTTCAGTGAAGAAGCGTTTGATCCCATGAAAGAAGAAAGCCATTATTCCCTGTGGGAGGGGGAAAGAAGTGTGTTCGATCAAACAATGCAAGATATCCAAGCGGCAATGGGAATGTTCACTTCCGCAGATACCGAATATGAGCCTTACTTTGAAGAAATGGAATGTATGATCTAGTTGGATGAGATTCAAGTGTACAGAGGCCCAGCGGGATCCAGCAAGACCCTAGAATAGCATCAAAAAGAGCCAAGTCAGATGCCAACCAGTGCCACTGGGCCTTCAAAAGTGCCAGCGTTAGATGACCCTTATTTCTTAGTCCCTCTGGGACAGTATCCAACCTCGCCCACATCTCCCTTTCATTCAAATGAACAAGGTCTACTGCCTTTCTCATACTACACGGACAGAACAGCCAACCAGGCAAAATGATGCGTAGACGGCTGGCGATAAAGGCTGTAGATCAAGTCCATATCGACTCTTTATTTTATTTTTTTTTTTTTTCCAAAGCAGGAGGGCTATCCTCCTCCAGACTCCCATACAATATCTCATCTCAGAATTCTCGAACTGCCGCAACGAAAGGACAATCCTATAAGGAAATTGGTTAGTGCGCAGAATGAGATAATCGACACATCCTCCATAAATCAGCAAAAGCACAAACAGGGCCGGGCAGTGAAGAAGTTACCTTTTATGTAGGTTTGACGGAAATACATAGATCGTAGGGATAACGGCTAGAACATCGTTAGGATCTCTATTTAATTATGCCTGCAACCGTCCTTTCTCGTGGCATATCTCCAAAGGAGACCCCGGTTCTGGGCCGATTCCAACATGCTAGGGTACTACGGCTTCCTGCAAGAGATGGGCAACTTCTGGGTGTTTCTTTAGAAAATCGGCTGAGTGCATCGGTAGTGAAGTCTCTACAGATTGCTCCATTGTCAGTAAATACGTATTTGCCATTTGGACACGGCCAAGGTGCAGTAAATATGCTAATATAAAGACAATGCAAGGGCCAAACATTCTGGGGTTATGGAACCAACTAGTACAAAATAATACATTCGATCCTGGCACGTCGGTGGTGCCCAAGGCGATCGTACTGTAATACAGACCATATCACATACCATCCATGCCTTGGTTTGTCCCGTAAAATAAGGGCACTATGTTATACAGCACAGGATGAGCGCAATCTACTATTACCATTTTGGGCTCTGTTAGTCACGTGGACGAAGTCGTTCGATGTTCTACTCCGTAGAGAGTATAAACACACAGACTGGAGTAAAACAGCCTTGATACCGCTAAAATCTCTCCGTAACTGGTAGTGTGTCGCGTGTCTTGAATGGGGCTACTGCGGTAGATCCGCGCAACCCTCCCTGTGCGGGATCAAGTACACGGACAGAACATGACACAATAATAATGCCACAGCCTGGTCTACTGTTCCATTTTCTTCGAATGCGTCTTCATACTTGTGTGTACTGGTACAATCCTGCTGTGTTGCAATTCGCCCCACCAAACCACTATATGATCTCACCGATTCAGTATGACATCACAACTTCTGCATCCAGATATGTCCCAGTATAAGAACCCAGTCGTGGCCAGGAACTCTCTACCATCAATCAGCAACTATTCTTTTCAAATAATACCATACACAAGTACGAACACACACACGAACACTCACAATGCAATCCAACACCTCCGGAGCAGGCCTTTCCAACGTCGGCCACGGCGCCATCTACGAAGCCGGTGACCAGCGCAACGTCCCCCAGTCCGAGATCAACGAGCGCGAAAGGTACGAGGAGGGTCAGCACCGGAGTCACAAGAACATTGATTCGAGTACGTTTTGTCACCGGTTGCTGGGGCATAACGATGGTAGCTAACGAGAACAGAGGACGACCGCTCCATCGCCAACAAGCTCGCCGCTCAGTCACAGAAGACCGATTCGTCCAAGGCATCGGGTTCGGGCTATGACCCTGAAGCTGAATTGAGCAAGAAGAACCCCGAGGCGCCGGTATGTTTACGTTGATCCGTTAAGTGGATAAACAGAGGCTGATATAACGTGCAGGCCGTGCTACACGGACACGAACCCTCTCGGGGCGCCCAGGTCGACCACGACCTCCAGAAGGATGATGAGTTGAGACTGCGCGAGAAGGGTATCAATTAAATAGGTGCATGAGTCTTACGATGTCGTTTATGATTGTTTAGCATTTTTGGTTGGGTTGTGTATCATTAGATTTGCCATGGTCTCATGACTTGTATCTTAATAATGGAGATATTAACATGATGGTCTTCCACTCGTAGCAACAGTATGCTGTGTATATTCAGCCAAGGGTGACATTCTGAAGCAAACCGCTGGTCGCGATATGCCCTGGACTCCGGCGCAACTTCCCTTGGGCGGGGGAAGGCATTCCAACCATGCAACAAGAAGCCACACCCATCAATGCGTGGTAGGAATATACGCCTTTTATGGCGTTAATGATAGATCCATGGACCCCGTCAGTCATCACCCCCCGAATTTAGGATCATCTTGATGCGGCTCCGCAAACACATTCTGCCAGTAGTTCTCGACCCTGGCGCAGACCTTCGGCTTGTCATTCCACGTCCGAAACTCGACGTCCGGATTGCAGCTGACCCATTTGATCTCTTCCCAGTATGCCTTCTCCGCATCGTATCCAAACCGCTGCAGTGTGTCCTCGGGTGTCGTCCATGCTCGTCCATCGGTGCCATCGGGTCGAAGGGTCGGGGCGGTTTCCCACTTCATGCCAAAGACATTTTCGGCGGGGTTGAACTTGGGATAATGTGCGTGGATGAAGAACACTCGTGGAGGCTCGGCCACAGACGGGTCCTGGACTCGCAATTTATCCTGGCTCGTCAGGACGTAGTCGTGAATGGGATCTGCTTGTGCCATGGCCGATCCTGAGATTCCGTCTTCACCGTCCTTTGGATGACCGATGGCTGCCACACGTTCGCTCACGGCGTAGAACGGCTCCCCTACAGCCGACGCTGCCTGTAGAAAGGTCTCCTTGTCGCCCTCGCCTGGGCCGCCTTGCGATAGTAGCCGGAAGTAATGCGAAGGGCCGTAGTAGTTGTAGTAGGCCGCCAAAAGCAAGGTCGTGAGATGGGTCTTTTTCGACACCATGAGGGCGCCTGTTTCCGACGACTGTCGTGCAGACATGGGTGGTTCTTGTTGTTGCGAGAGAGCAAAGTAGGCCGGAGACACTGATGACGCCCAGAAGTCAGGCCAGGTGATCAGCCCTGCGGACTTGAACGGGTCTGCGTCGAAGACCTCCTCGGGTTTGTACAGTGGGAAGACGTCCGCATCCATCCAGAGAATTTCTTCAAACGAGGAGAACAGCATGGCGAACACCTTGAGCTGGTAGTGCGCAATAGCCTCCTTGCCCACCACGTCCGCCAGAACAAGACACCGCGCATTCAATTTCGGAAGGATCCCATCACAGATGCGCTTCTCATACTCTGTCGAATCCTTCATGTATACCTCCACCGGTAGTGTAGATCCAACCCGACGCAGCATCCGCAACGACGACAAGAACACGGGCAAGTATGAACCCCCCGCGGTCGACACAATACCTCGGGACCCAGGTCTATGCACCGGTCGCAAGGCCTTCGAATGACGAACATCAAGGACAAAGTTCTCGTGCGCCACTTGCATCGCATTTCGGTCTTGGTCGTTGAGGAGGATCAGGTCGGGTCGCGGATCGGTCGAGGAGGCATTGAAGTGAATCGCACCAACATCTCCGCGACGTTCGGGGGGAGGGTTCGCGGGGGCATTTTTCTGCAGGATCGGATGCAATGCTTTCCAGAAAGCATTCTGTCGCTCCGCCAGAGGCACCTGGAAGGCCGTATTGGGAACCACGGAGGCAGGAGTCGAAGCAGGGGTCGGGATCCAGTATAGATAGATCGCGCTGACGAGGAGAATGGTAATCATGGCCAGGAGGATAGACCTCAGCCTTGCGAGACGGAGAGTACCCATCGCGTAGGTATCCCTGTTCAGATCGACTGAACTAGAGGTCGGAGAATTTAAGAGTGATGAGTTTGATTGTAGCCTCGAGGTGGCCGATGCAGCGCGGTCGCTGGCCCAAAAGGGCGCAACGTTAGCACAGTCGAGGTCAGAATTGGAAACGGACGGGTCACTTTAAGCCACTTAAGAAAAAGAGATAAAGATTGACAATCAAAGGTAACTGGGTTGAAGCTTGAATTGAACCACGAATAGAGCAATGGGGAACAGTGGGCAGAGAGTGTGAGAAGTCAGGAGGTTCACGTGCCACAGGGTCTTCCTACAGTACAGCCCCAGGCGCCGAAGCCAATACAGGAATACAGGGTACGGAGTACCTACAGAGCGGTTACAGAGTTATGGAACAGTTACGGGTCCAATTGGCATGGCGATCAGACAGCCCCATGGCGCGATGACACAAACTTGCTACAGGAACAACACGTTGTGTATGAATACGGAATACGATATTATCGTTCGCGAACCCTTCTACTCCCCTATATATGTGCCCATATCGACAAAATGCACAAATGGGGAATCAGCGGACAATTACAGAGTACTTTCAACTCTGCAGTCGGATGAAGCCGCGTGGATCGTCGCTTATCTTGCGCCTCTCCAGACTTTGGCCGTCTCCTGTTCTTCTTTGCTGCGAACTCTGGGTTCTTCTGTGAATATCCTGAACATCCTGAACATCCCATTCTCTCTGGCATCGGGTTTCTCTTTACTAAGCTGCTTTTGCTGTTCTCTCCCTCCTCTGTATTCTCTCTGCTCTGCATCCTCACCCATGAGACCCCGCAGTCCCCAGTGCCTCCGCATTTCTGGCTCCCGACAATGACACTCGCTTCCAACTCCAACCGTCTCGAGTCGACTTCTCGTGCGCAGTCGCGCAAGCTGCCTGCAAACGCAACTGCTGCGCCCAGGAAACGTCGAAAGCGAGCCGTTGCCGGTGGCGCGTCGGACGACTGCTTCACTTGCGCTAAGCGGAGTTCGCGTTGCGACCGCCGTCGTCCATACTGTTCGCAATGCCTCGATTCGGGTCGAGAATGCGCGGGATACAAAACCACCTTAACCTGGGGGGTTGGGGTCGCCAGTCGAGGAAAACTACGGGGGCTATCCCTGCCGGTGACGGGAGCTCGACCGACCGAGTCTCCGAAACCGTGGCCCTCTCCCTCGGCCAACCAGCCTGAACCGGCGCCTTCGTCGACCCCTCCTCGTTCTGTCCCATCGAATGTCCCGGGCGCCACCCCGCTGGGATCGACACCACCATCAGTAGCACCCTACCAACAGTCTTCTCAGCAACTGTCGCCTGTGTCGGATACTGCGCAAAATGGGATGCCATGGCCACATGGTTTGCCTTTGGCTCCGGAGGTCTGGCCCAGTGCATCCATGTATTCTCCGACGGCCTACTCGCCAGGTTCAGCCACCCAGATCGATTTTGGAGAGTGCCTATCAGCAAACACTCCTCCGTTTTTCGCAGTGGGAACTGAAGCGCTCAGTCAGCCTTCGATGGCGGCGCAATGGCCCAGGCAGGGATCTGAAGCGCAAGAAGCACGGGACTATGAGAATGCATTTGCCTGGGCGCAATGTCCTTCTCCGTCGTATTTTCAGATGCTTCTGTCGAGATCAGTTGGGAACACGCCTCGTCTCCGACACCTGATTAGTTACTATGCCGAAGTTATCGCTCCGATGATTGTGGCGTTTGACAGCCCAACGAACCCGTTCCGCGCGCACATTTTACATCTGGCACGCGATAGCGAGTCCCTTCAAGAGGCTATCGCGACTCTTTCGGCCAGCAACTTGCGACAACGGCAAATACGCAAGACCATGTCTACGGAGAGGACACCGGCGTCTCGGATGTCGTGCATGGCGCATCGGGCGCTGACCCAGGAAGATCCGGGAAGCCACTCGGCCTCGGAAATTGCGCAGGAAGAGCAGTACCACCGGGGGCGGGCCGTGAAAGCTTTGAATGCGGAATTGGCAGATCCGCAACAACGATTGTCGGATTCAGTGTTGGCGACTCTGCTCATCTTGTGCCTGTTTCATGTCTGCGACACGGGGGTTGCCCAATTCAAGACGCAGTTTGCCGGAGTCGCCAAGCTGTTGGCCATTCGGATGCGTGCGAGCGGGAGAGTGACCGATGATCTGAAATGGTTTATCCGCATGTTCACTTGGTTTGACACGATGACTGCAACGACCAACGATCGTGAGAGCCACCTGCGTGGTACCTGTTTGGACATTACCTCTTTATCAGACGGAGACTGGGGCCTTGAGGAGCTGGCCGGCTGCGACGCCAGCCTCTTTCGGCTGGTTGCGCAGCTGGGACGTTTGAATCTGCTCAGCCAGGATCGAACGCCGCGCGGCCCGACCCCCCCGGAGATGTCTGTTCCCACGACGGCCCTTCCACCGTCGATGACCCATCCACAGGGTATGTTTGTCGTGCCCGGCGGCGTTCCGGCAGCGGTCAGTCTTAACGGATTCCCGACCGCGACGCCGCCACAAGCCAGCATGCCCAGCCCTTGGCCGACGTCGCCTGCATTTTGGAGCGAATGGTATTCTCTGCGTCAGAAATTGGAGGCGTGGCGGTATCAGCCTCATGGCAGTGGAACCAGACCTGCACCGCCATATATCTCGCCGCCGTCGTCGCCATCGTCGCTGTCGGCGGTCGCATCCCAACACTGTGAGCAAATCTTCCATGTGTCTGAGTCGTTCCGACACGCAGCGATCCTCTACAGCGAACGACTAGCGTATCCGGACCTACCGTCAAGCCACCCGTGTATCCAAAACATCGTGCAGGTCATCATGCACCATCTCACAGCAGTGCAGTCAGACGCCTACCTGCTCTGGCCGCTTTTCGTTACGGGATCGGAATGTGTCTTGGAAAGCGACCGCAGCCTGATCCGCCAGCGGTGTCGGGACATCTCCCGAGACTCTGGATTCTGCAACAATCTGGCGTGTCTGGATCTACTGGAGAAGATCTGGGCGCAGAACGCCACAACAGACGGATGCGGAAACTGGCGGGCCCCGAGCAAGGCACTGGCTTTTGAACGGGGATTCCGATGGCAGCAGGCGATGCGATCCAAACGAGCAGATGCCGAGTACATGGCGGTTTAAAACGGTAGCGATACCTTATGCTGGCTGGCCCGATCTGGTATCTTTTGATGAAGGTATCCCATACCATGACATGTATATACTAGACCCTGTACATAAGAGTAATAAATATTTCACCGAATACCAGCGGTACATAATGCAAGGCATACCAAAGTCCACAAGCTCAAAACACTATTGCCAAAACCACGCTCATCGTCTGACCACCATCTATCGGTCAGCACGCAACTTTAACAGCCTGTCAGACTCGTGCGTCTGCATGGAGAGAAGACTCGGCAAGGCATGAACATGTCATCTTATCGGGAACCAACCAGCAGAATTACCGCCGTTAGCGAGACAGTATTTGAGGGAAAAAAAAGGTTAATTTGAAAGTGAGGCCGCCATTTCCCATTTCGGCCTGATCGTATCCTGAGTTGTAAGGCTGCATAGTCGGTCTGGATGCTCGTTATACTCCACAGAGTGACGGAGAATCTTCCATGGGCTATGATGTTATGCGTGGAGGAGGGGCTGTTGGAGGGGCTGAGGGGTATTTTGCAGGGTGAACAGACTTTTACGAGAGACTGAGGGGTATCCCACTTTCCTTTCTGGGAGGGGCTTGAAGCGTTGAGTAGTCTATACTGCCATTCCGGTCGAGGTGCTGAATATGTCTATTTTTGACCTTATCACGCAAGTACTGTGTACATACAGAGACGGTGAACATGCAGATGTATGTGGGCGGGGGGTTGTGTATACAGACCGTACCGGTCACCATCAAAAGATTAGCAAATCAACTGATATGGCTGTAGCGGTGATAGTCGGTCGATTATATCTGCTATTTCCTGGTATCATTGTGGATGTTGTGGGTGTTGTCACTTGTCAAAGGGTGGTTCCTGATTACGTAGTTGGATATATATCGGAGTGATATCATTCGAGAGGGTCTAATCAGGAATATTATCCGAGCAGCAGTAGTAGTAAATGCATTACCTGTAGCAATAACGACTACTCCTGGCGTGGTAACAGTATCTGTGGCTGATCCGGCACTGTAGAACAGGCCGGGTCCCCGTTGCAGGACATGGACTGCCAGCATTGTATTTGCTAGTACCGTCGGACCGTTAGTTCCCACGGCATGGCATGGGTCTATAGAACAATTGACTATACACTGGACAGGCTTGAAATGCTACCATAGCCTTGCTACCATGCCCTTGCTACGCCCAGCCGAAGCGCCTTACTGGTGTCACGATACTCGCACAGCAGTCAATAAGGGCGGGTATCTGTATCTGCTCTGTTGCACGGAGTACATAGTACGTACGTTAAGCCTCTCCAGAGGCCGGACGAAGAGCCTTGTACCCCGTCGCACAGCAAGGCTGGCGCCAACCTCATCGATATACATAGCGTAGTTTAAATCTGACTACATGGCAAAAGTCATATACCGATTGGGGTACTTCTAGAGGTAGTACTCTTGGCCCCGTGGCGCATGCTTCTTGGATGGATTATTTTTGTCCATATCTATCCTAAATGAAAACCAATCGAGTGTTATAGTCCGAGAACCCGGGCGATAGAGATGGAGCGTGCAGGAGCTGGACCAGTTCGAAATCCAACCTGCAGATGTTTATTTGCACGGCGTCAGGGTTGAGTCTGACTGCTGGACAACGGACGACACATGAGGGCCGGAACAACAAACAATCAGCCATTCCATTCCATTCCGATATCGAATGCCAACGACAATAACAACAAAAAAGGACACATATCAAACAGAGTCAGGATCACACAAAGATTGACGCGTCTAAATTCTCGGGAATGACTCGGAATCCGGCCCATAATTGCGATATGTCAGACATAGAGAGGATCCTAAGGCCGTGCATTCGTGCATATAGACCCGGAACCCTGGGAGATTTGCACTGTTTGAGCGATGTTGGTGAGTCGGTAGGGGGTGTTTGATATACCCTGCGGCTGATATCGCCGATGCTATATTCGCTGAATCGACGAGTCCAGCTGACCGGACGTCGCACTCCGAACGTTATAGCCATGTTATAGGCCATGGCAGGGAATGGTTTCGATTCAATCGGGTCGGATCCGTCCCCTTACTCTGGCCATAGTAGAGTAGTACTAGTCCACCCCTGTCAGGGGCATTCTCTGATTGGCAAAAATTCTACGAATGAAAAATCTTCAACGGGCCAATGCGGTGCGTGAGAATAAGGATGGACTAGCGTTTTGAATCCTTCTAGATTTTCTTTTTTGTATATCCCATAGTTTGTCCGTTCCAAGTACGGAGCGGTCTGATCAGTGGCGGTAATACCCAACGCAGAGTTTTTAGAGTTGCATACTTGTATGAACCGCGGGTTGGGACGGGAGTGCTTTGTCTACCATGGTACTCCGTAGGATAGTACTGAACTCCATAGGTAGTACCTGAGCCCATAGGTAGTGCCCGGAATTATCCAGGCCAGTCGTGACCGTAGGCAGACAGTAGCTGAACCTGGATTGCCACAAGATAATAAGACATAATAATAGTGAATCAAGCTGAGCCACAATGAGCCCGTCAGGTGATAATACAGAATAATACAAGGACGGCAAATGCCATTAACCCCACGGCCTGTTATGCCCACGGCGCCAATGGCAAACCTACAAAACCCTCGGCTCCCTCGCTTTTAATCACTCACTTTCCCCTTTCTTTCTGGGCTCACCTCCTACACATATCATCACCGGTTTCTTTGCTGGTGCTCGATAGAGACCATATCCTATCCACGCTGCCAGTTCAAATGTCCGCTCGCACCTCAACGATACCCTCTTCTCGTGTACGATCGGATTCCTCGCTTCGGTGACGGTTTGGTCGTTTTGCTCTTTTGCTGCTTTTGCTGGTTTTTTTCTGCTAGTTGTATTATTTGCTGGTTCTGTTTGCATTTGATATCCCTGTATTATACACCTGTGTCGTGTTTCTCTCGGGAGTCTAAAAGTCGTTCTATTTTCGTTATTTACTGCTTCACATAATGTATCATTACAATCCTCCTCCACCTCACCCGGGCTGGTCGGCCTACGACTACGCTTCTCCTCCCACCTCTCCTGCCTACGCCTACTATGCGACCCCGTACGCCAGTCCCTACGTCTCGTCGCCTCGAGGTGCTTCGGGTACTTCGTCCAAGCGTCATACTCGCAAGGCCAGTTATGCCGGCCCTTCCGCCAAAGACTGGGGCCATCCGGCCTCCTACTCGCACAGTTACTATGATGCTCCCCCAGAGTTTGGCACGCCACCACCGCGCAAGCACGATCCTGTAAGTGCTTCTTGTGGCTATCCTCCGTCCTCCTTTCCCAACCGTCGCTATTCTGCCGCGGCAGACCCTCGTCCGCCGCACAAGCAGCGTCACGCATTTGTGGACGTGGTCGACGATGTGTTTGACGATGTGCCGCGATATGTCTTCCACGATCGTCGTTCGCGATCGCCGCTGCCGTCCTACTCGACTCCCCAGCGAGATAGCGACCGCCGGTCCCGACGCCCATCTTCCTCTCAACGCAAGCCTAAGCCCCCAACTGATCAGTATTTTTATTATAACCAGGTGCCTGCATATGATGATGCCGATCTGTCCTCCAAACGGTCTCGCGCGCGTCGCCAGTCCACATCCACCCGCACTCCATCCAAACCCAAGTCGACCTCGAGCACCAAGACCACGCCGGTGGCCACCGAAGAAGATGCCGAGCGCGCTGGAATTCCTGCCGGATATTCGACCAAGAACTGGGACCCCACAGAAGCCCCGATCGTTCTTCTCGGCAGTGTGTTCGACGCCAACTCGTTGGGCAAGTGGATCTACGACTGGACCGTCTTTCACAATGGCGCCTCCACCCCGATGGCCGATGTCGCCGGAGACATGTGGTTGCTGTTGATCAAGTTGGCAGGCAAGGTCAAGCGGGCGGACGAGTGTCTCGATCGGATCCAGCGTCGCGAGTCGCGCGAGACCGTTGCGGACTTTCTCGAAAGCGGCGAACGTCTGTGGATGCGGTTCAAGAAGCTGCTCAAGGCTTGCGAGCACTTTATGTGGAAGGTGGCCAAGCGCGAGGGCAAGGCGGTGTCCATGGGCCGCAACGCCGGGTGTGAATTTGTCGAGTCGCTCTTCGGCCGGGACCGCGAACTCGAAAACACGGAGAAACTGATGAACAGTATCCGTCTCTGGAACATGCGGTTTGACGCCAACTGTGACGAGATTCTCCGCCGGCCATCTGCATGATTCCACAGGCAAAATACAAGACTCATACGGAGTCTGACTACATACGGGCCTCTATAGACTGGTCATAAAAGTAATATCTCTTTCGTTTGTTGTTCTGTTCTCTAGCGCAGGATGATACTGGTACAGGATCGGGAGGCGCACCTTGGTTTTGATTCATTTCGTTTCTTGCATGAGCGCGGCAATCTGTTTTGACTGCTTGCGAAGGGTTCTCGCTATCGCGCGATGCCTGTTTTTTTTTTTTTTTTTTTTTTTCCTTCTCCATTCTTCGTTTCTTCAGCTTTCTGTGTACCGTCGCGTTGAGCATTGCTTTGCTTCGAGATACCATTCTGCGATTGTCTTGGATTGCGACTGTTTGTTTTAATTCGTGGACCGGTTGATTCGCTCTTTACGGCTGTCTCGTTTCTTTTGTTGTGCCTGAGACTGCATAGACACCCACTACCTCCATGACTTATATTATATATTTATTTACCACTTTACTTTTTGACGCTATTTATCCCGGTCTAAACCCCTGTAGCCATGCGTAAAAGTGCATACAAGATGCATATGTAGGTCTATCATGCATTAACCACGTGTCTCGCATCTATTATAGCTAGTCTAACGGTCTATCAAGTATGCTATGCTATTCTATGCTCCCTATACAAAGTAAACTACTGCTCTCCCCACCAACCAAACCACACAAACCCAATCACGAATTTAATCCCAGCCGAAATCCACAGCGCAGACTCCATCCCCCCTGCACTCCGACTCAACCACCCTCCCGCAATCGCCCCGATAAGCAACATGATCACAGCACCGGCGCGACGATTCCGCTTAACATTCCCGGTCGGCCCAGAGACCAGCTTCGGATCACTCGCCAGATCAAAGTACACACTCGTCAACACCACCGAGGGGATCTCGTTATACCCCAACGCCCTCGTCGACGTGATACTCCCCGCGCTTTGGAACGCCAGGAGCGCAATCGGGATCAATTCCAGGAACAGCGGTCCACCGGTCAAACTGGCGTCTTGCGAGGTATGCGGGATAAGGTCTGCTTCGATCAGGGCGACGGCGATGATGATGAGGATGGACTGCATCAGGAAGGAGACGAAGAGGGTTCCGCGACGACGGGGGCCGGCAAGACGCGTGGTGTTGGAGAACACGGTTGCGCCGAGGAAGAAGGCGGCGATGGAGACGAGGGATTTTAGCCAGCCCCAGGGCTTGTTGAACGGCTGGGAGGACGCGCCGAGACCGAGGAAGATTGTGTTTCCTACGAGCGTTAGCGAGCAGCTGGTTAGGGGGTGTAGGGTAAAAGTACCTGTTTGCATAGCAAGGAAGCAGGTCCAGGCATTATAGGCGCTGCTGTCGCATAAACCAGTGACAAAGCAGAGCACAAGACCAATCCAATCCGCGTAAACCGGATCAATGGATTGATTCCATAGTTCGCCCAACGACGACGCTTTCGTCGACTCGGGGTTAGGGTGAGCCTCGATGTCGGACTTCATACTGTCATGTACAGCCTTGACGGGAGAGGGGAGAGGTGTGCGAAGAGCTGAGAAGAAGGGGGGACGGTGGATTTTATTGTCGGTGTATTCCGGGAACGCCGATCGCAGAGTTTGCGGAAATGACCCGCTGCCACCACAGCCTTATCGGTACATAGTACGCTACAATGGCTGAACTAGTGCCTCGGTGCAGACAGAGACTGCATGGAACTTGTAAAATATATCTGCCTGAGTGTTCTAGGCCAATCATGCCCCCTGAATCACAGATCATCGCCCCGCTTCGGATAGGGCTGAAGCGGTCATCATATAATTGTATTGTTTATACACTAATCTAGGGAACCGCGTGATTGACCCAGTCGATGGTGTCATTCGTTTAGCCTGCCTTTTCTGGGTAGTTTGAAGCTATTCAACGGTCTGTCAGCGTGTCAGCGTGTCGCGACCGCAGCTGTGTAACATATTTGCGGTCAGAGTACTCCGTACTTGCTCCGTGCTGGACTCCATATTTCTGGACTCGTGGGTACAGGTGGGTCACGTAACGCGGGCTGTACCCTACTGGGGACATGTGCATACTCCAAACGGCTAAAAGATGCACTGCACTGGGTTTCAACTGCAGGCCTGGTTGACAACAACGGGAAGTGTCACAGGATGCATCGAGCCAGACGCGAAATAGGCGAACCAGACTTGTCCAGCTGGCTGAGATTGGCTAGAATAGACACCGCTAGCCTCATCGAGGCAGTGACTTCAATCGAAGCGGCGCGATGAAGTCACCCAGTCTCTAGTACCAGATCACCGCCGTTGTCAGCGCCAATACCAGACTCAAATGGAATAATAGCATTCACGCCTCAGTGGCAGCAGCAATGGCCACCCTAATGAAAGCCCGCGGGACACATCGGCGTCATTCTGTATCATCGTCGCCACTTGGTACTAACGGAAGTATATAGGAGCCCTTGAACAATGGCTGTGGTTGACAGATCAATCGAAGCGTTTACTCTGCACACCAAAAGCACATCTAACCGGTAAGCCTTTTGACGTTTGACACCGACCTATACCGACCTACACCGACCTACCAAATACTAACAACGCAGCCATCATGCCCTCTTCCAAAACTGACACCGCGGTCCGTCTTCCTGAAAACCAAGACCAGACCCGTCGCCTGCGAAATGTCACCCAAGACCGTAAGGCCGTTTCTCGCCTGCAGGACGAAGCCAATTCCTCCAAGAACAAGGTCGAGGATGTGAACAGCTGGGGAACTGAGCAGCTGCTGGGCACCGGGATCGATGAGTCGGCCAATCCAGTGCCGGACCCTGTTACCTTTGGGAATGGACGCAAGACGAGACAGAATCAGCAGCATCAAAAGGATGAAGCGGATGTTTATGAAGCTATGAACCAGGATTTTGAATAGGTATACTAGTTGTCAACAGTAATGGCATTCTCCTTGTGAATGATTTTAAAATCCCAACTTTTTTTTTTTCATCTGCAACAACATGAAGAACTTGTCATTCTTCACAGTTCTTCACATGCTTATTGTACTTTGTACCAGTAGTGCTCATACTTGTATCATGCTATTGCTATGGCAACCACCGCCTCAGGCACCGATACTCCGCAGTGAAGGACCATTCTCATACTCCACGTTTTGTGTTGATAGCTCGCGCATTTATTGCGGGAGTGTATCGCTGTTGTACTCGCATGGCACATTTCTTGAATCACTTGCATGCTCCCCTGACCTACAGGAACGGCGGCTCCATGGACCGCGGGATCGCCTGTTTACTCCGATAGAGCCTCTGCGCGGACCATCTTACTCGTACTAGACCATCTGGACCTGTTCGTCATTCACTCGTTCTCTCTGCTGTCTTTCATTGTTTTCGCAGTGGGGATCCCACTCGCCCCCCTCGAGGGAAGGCATTTCAGTCATCTGTGTATTTTTCTCCTTCCTTCCTGTCTCTCCTCAACAGGCACCCCACGCCTTCCCTGTTTATCTTGACATCTCGACGTATGTACCATCAGTTACTGTATCGCCAGCGAGAGTCACTTTTTCAAATTATTCAGTTGCTGAGGCATCCCAGTCCGGAAATGGCTCTCGATCCTCGTTTCTACGCTGGCAACGGGGCCGACTCCCTGCCCTCGACCTCGTCCGGCATCTCCGCAGCTACCGGCATCACTAGTCCTTCTGCAGCTTCAACCGCTACGCTGGCGGGGAATTTGCAATCGAGTGCGTCGAGCCCATCTCTGCGTGCGCGCGAAAGTATCGCAGTCCCTGTGACCCAGGATGGGGGTTCGTCCTCGCCGGGAGGAAACGTGCGTGTTGTCGTACGCGTGCGCAAGTTTCTGCCTCGAGGTAGGTTTGATCATAACGCTGCTTGATATGTGCTGATACAGACCCGGCAGAAATCGAACGCGACGCCGAATGCCTGATTAGCATGGACCCCCGCACCCAGACGACCAAACTGCTCGCACCCAAAGTCCACCCGGAAGACGAAGGAAAGCCCAAGTCGCAGGCTCGTGGAAAGGTGCTGGAGGACAAGTCCTTTGTGTTCGACAACTCGTTTTGGTCGCATAATGACAAGGATGCACACTATGCACACCAGGAGGATGTCTACAACTGTCTGGGAGAGGACTTTCTGGACCACAACTTCGAAGGATACCACACCTGCATTTTCGCCTATGGACAGACGGGCTCCGGAAAGAGTTACACCATGATGGGTACCCCCGAGCAGCCGGGATTGATTCCTCGGACTTGCGAAGACCTCTTCCAGCGTATCGAGGCTTCGGAGACTCCCGATGTCAGCTACAGCGTTCGCGTGTCGTACTTTGAAGTGTACAATGAGCATGTGCGCGATCTGCTCGTGCCTCGAACTGATCCTCCCAACTACCTGCGCATTCGCGAGTCGCCCTCGGAGGGACCATATATCAAAGACTTGACCGAAGCGACTGTGAAGAATTACAGTGATCTCATGAAACAAATGGGCAAGGGCGACTCATCGCGTACAACTGCCAGCACCAAGATGAACGATACTTCTTCTCGATCGCACGCTGTCTTCACCATCACCCTGAAACAGATTCACCACGACCTCTCCACCGATGAGACTACGGAGCGTACGGCGCGCATTCGTCTGGTTGATCTGGCGGGCTCTGAGCGGGCCAAGTCCACCGAGGCTACGGGCCAGAGGCTTCGTGAAGGATCCAACATTAACAAATCACTCACTACCCTGGGTCGAGTTATTGCCGCGTTGGCTGATCCGAAGCAGGGACGATCCGGGAAACGCAAGAATCGAGACGTTGTGCCGTACCGTGATTCCATCCTTACCTGGTTGCTCAAAGACAGCCTGGGTGGTAACTCGAAAACGGCCATGATTGCGTGTATTGCCCCCAGCGATTACGAGGAAACGCTTTCTACTCTCCGGTATGCGGACCAGGCCAAGCGCATCCGTACTCGTGCTCGTGTCAATCAAGACCATCTATCCGCTGCTGAGCGTGACAAGCAGATTGCCGAGATGGCGGAGACGATTCGCACACTCCAGCTCAGTGTCAGCCAGGCGGTTGCCAACCGACGTGAGAGCGAAGTCCAGAGCGAGAGCCTGGAGAATTACCAGCAGAAGGTTGAGAAAATGCAGCAACTTATGGAGGAGACCAAGATGGTCAGCGAGTGCAAGATCCGTCAACTCAAGACCGAGAATGAAGCCCTACGCAACCATCTGAAGCTGGCCCTTGACAGTCTGCGAAATCCAATTCCGCCGGTGACTATCGAAAAGCGTAAGAGCAGCCTGTATGCGTTGGATGAGGATGAGGAATCGGAAAACCCGGACCTCACTGATGATAAGGAAGATGACTCCTCTCCTGCTAGTGACGAGGAGCCCGAACCTGATCTTATCTGGGAGGATGACGATACCATTGAGGTTGAAGCTGGCCAGATCGAAGCGCAGGACATGCAGTCACACATGGAGGATCTTCTGAGCGATCTCAGCATGTTCAAGCGCAAACTGGCTTCGGACCATGAGCGATTCCGTTCTATTCGGGACCAGCAGAATCGCAAGCAGCGCGGCGTGCTCCGTGATGTGACGCTCAACGAGTGATCATTAACAGTGCTTTTTCTTTTACTATCTTACTCGAAATCTCTCTTGTATCGAAAACGGTTGGCGTCTAGTGTTTTGGGGTGGGGGGGAATTCTGTTTATTCGGTTGGGAATCGGTATTGGTGTCAGGAATATGGGACGGCAGTAGGGATATCCTGGCATTTGGTACTGGCTTGTTTCTTTCTTCTTTTTCTCTTTTACATTCTTCTTCGCTTTCTTCTCTACGGAGAGACTTTTTTTTGTTAGATTCCCTTGGTTGGTTTTGTCTTCTTTTTTTAGCATGAGAGATGATGTAATGAGTAATTCAATCAATGTATTCTCCATAAGTATTCCAGTGTTTGGTATCTTGTAGCTTCTATAGTGCTACAGTAGAGTAGAATAGGCACTTTTAGGGCGAGATCATAATTCTGCCGTGAGTCAGTTCCCCCACAACTCGCCGCCTTCTCTTCTCCGACAAATCTTCAATGCCCCTCTTGACTTGACCTTTTCCAACACCCTTTTAATTCCGTCCCCTTCACATTCACCGTCATGACGAATCCCGTCGATCCGGCGTTAGCCTCGTCGTTATCTGCTCCGGCTTCTGAAGTGCCTGCTCAGCAGCGCCAGTCGGAGGCACCCTCGAACCCCTCGCAACCGCAACCCTCGAAAGAATCCGGTAAACCAAAGAAAGAAAAGAAAGAAGCAAAGCCCAAAGACACCAAAGACGCAACCCCCGCGACCGACGGACCCGAAAAGTTGACGGGCGCAGAGCTAAAGAAGCGCGCCAAGGCTGAAAAAGCCGCTCGCAGAGCAAAGGAAAAGTCCGATCGCGAGGCCGGTGGTGCACCTGCGCCTGCTGGTGGTCCTGCTGGTGGCGGCAGTGGTGCTGGTGCTGGTGGTGCTGGTCAACCCGCTACGCCGAAGAAGGGACAACCTGCTGGGGGATCCGGTGCTGGCGGAGACAAAGGACGGGGGTTACCCCGTCGGCCGTCTGGGCAGGCATCAGGCCAACCCAGCGCTGCGGAGCAGAAGAAGAAGGCTGAGGAGAAGAATGTTGCGGTGTTTGGTCATTTGTATGGACAGCAGCGACGGGCGACGGTAGCGGGCGCCGGGAAGGAAGTGCATCCGGCGGTTTTGGCGTTGGGGTTGCAAATGAGGGATTATGTAATTTGTGGGAGCAGCGCGCGTTGTGTGGCTACATTGTTGGCTTTCAAGAGGGTACGTTTATTATATGAACTTGGATTGTGTGGGTGCTAATGGATCTAGGTGATCGAAGCGTATGCGACTCCTCTCGGAACCTCGCTGTCGCGCCATCTTACGACCCATTTGTCTCATCAGATCACCTATCTTTCGACATGCCGTCCCCTCTCTATCAGCCAGGGAAATGCTATCCGTGCCCTTAAGCTGGCCATCGCCTCAATTGATCCGTCTGTGCCCGAAGCAGACGCCAAGGGAACGCTTTGCGAGTTTATCGACAGCTTCATCCGCGAGAAGATCACCGTGGCTGATCAGGTGGTTGCCGGAAGTGCGGCGCAGAAGATTCAAGATGGCGACGTGATTGTCACATTCGCCGGTAGCTCTCTCGTGAAGCAGACACTGCTGAGCGCACACAAGCAAGGCAAGAAATTCCGCGTGTCCATCATCGACTCCCGCCCACTGTTCGAGGGCAAGAACCTTGCTCGCTCGTTGGCCAAAGCCGGTTTGGACGTTCAGTACTCGCTCATGAACGGCATCAGCCACGCCATCAAAGACGCTACCAAGGTTTTCCTGGGCGCGCACGCCATGACCAGTAACGGACGGCTGTACTCGCGCGTCGGCACCGCACTCGTCGCCATGTCAGCCAAGGAACGCGCCGGTGGTGTCGAGGTCCCTGTCATCGTCTGCTGCGAGACAGTCAAGTTCACCGACCGCGTCGCGCTGGACAGCATCGTCGTCAACGAAATCGCCGACGCAGACGAGATGGTCACCACCCAACCCCCTCAGCAAGTCACCGGCTTACCGGACCCTGCCGCAGCTGCTGCCGCCGCAGCTGCAGAGTCGTCATCGGACAACAAGAAGAAAGCTAGCAAGACTCCCGTGCCGCCTACGAATGCAAGCTCACTGGAACCCAACCCAGCATTGAAGCATGCGCCATCACCACTGAAGGACTGGAGGGACACACCTAACCTGCAACTTTTGAACCTCATGTACGACGTGACACCGGCCGAGTATGTTGATATGGTGGTTACAGAGATGGGTAGTTTGCCTCCTAGTGCTGTTCCTATTGTGCATCGGATGAGCACTAGTCTTTAGGTGGTCCTTTATCCGTCTTCGTTTTCTTCTGGTTATGAGATTGTTAGAATTTCAAGGGCGCCAACTGATTGGTACTTTACTTATGTTGTTATGTGTTATGTGAATGGTGTATGGTGGTTCAATAGAGTTCAATTCGATATCACGTGCTGTCCGTATTTAATAAATTGAACTGCCGGCAGAATAAGGCGGTCGTAGTATTGTTTGGATCGCTATCTTGACATTGCAGTTCTTCAACCCCAGGCGTGATTGCATTTCCTACTTTATCAACTCAGATTGCTCTACGGAATACTCTAGCCTGTCTCTGGATATACACTCTACAATACCACCCTTGATCGAACGCCAAAATGGTATGCCCTCTAACACCTCCCCTCGAGCCACAAGGCTAACAAACCACAGAGCAAAGACTCCTCCATAACAAACCTCCACATGCACCACCCCCGACTCGCCGACTTTTTCGAAGACTTCACACGCCCGCACACATCCCCAACTTACACTACGCACAACCCCCAATCTCACACCCACAATAACACAACCGTAACCTACGGCTCGTCCTCACCGACCCTCGTCCCTTCCTTCCTCCCGATCGAAGAGATCTATGTCCTACCGCAGTATCAGCCGCCGAATCCAGAAGACGAGGATGATGTTGTGCCGGATCAGCATGCTGCATTTGGAATTACGAGGGCGATGGAGAGGAGGAGAGAGGCTGTTTGGAGGGATTTGGGGATGGAGGGGGTTGTTGCGGGGGAGAATATGGGTGGTGGGAATGGGGGCGGGAGGGGGAGGGGGAGGAAGATTCAAGTTAAGGAGTCGGGGAGGTTGATGGGGGGGAGGAGAACGGTTTGCTTGCGGTGACCTCCTTTTTCTACAAGCATGAGTAGATAGTATGGTGTACGGAATTGGTGGTTGTGATGTATGATACCCATTAAGCTATTATATCCGGTTGATATCCACACGTGTGCGTTCGTAAATCTTATGGCTCGTTTGTTTCTGGTCGCGTTCTTCGTCATCGAATGTTCGTGGGTGCACTGCAAGTTGTGCGTAGGTTCCGGCTGCACGGCGTTTCGAGATTGTTCCGGGATTGATCACGAGGACGCTATCGACGACCTGTTTTAGTTAGCAAGCAGGCTTCTTAGGTAAAATTGATCACAACTGTATGCTAAACTCACCCTAACAAATGGAGGCAGCGCACTCGGCACAATTAACACATCCGGCCGCACATTCCACCACTCCCCAAGCTTCGAATAACTAACGTCCAACATTGCTCCCGTCGCAAGCCCGCTTTCTGCCCCCGTCTTAGGCAGGTTCTCCCGTGCTGTAGGCGGGAAGATAGGGTAGAAATGACGTTGTTCAATGAGATACTTGGACAACCGCGTGAGCAAGTTTCCCTCCTTGGGTCTGCCGTGCACAACCTCCTCTCGTCGTAGCTCGTATAATACGTCATGCGACGACATTCCGATAACTGTCTCGTTGAACGAGAGCGTCACCGGATTCGAAACCACCCGTACTTGCTTCGGTAACCCGAGTTCCTTCTTTGACATCTGTTCCTGCGGCCAGGCGACGTGTTTGCTTAACGCATCACGCACGGATGGCACCATTACGATCGTGATTGTTGGCACCGCGGCGACAAGCTTCTGGATCGGGGCTGTAATGCAGTGTCGGAAAACAGTTGCCAAAGTCGCTGTGTCTGGGTCGTAGCCGCTAACGTCGGGCAGGTCGAAATCTCCTGATGCGACGAGGGGATGCTCGATATCCAGAAATGGTCCTAGTAATACCAGCCCGTCTGCCAGGGTGTCCGCGGCCTTTTGGCAGATTTCATGTAATGGTTCGAAATTTAGGTTTTCGTCTGCCGTATACGGCCCCGAGGCGACCATCACGTTCAATGGTGTTTCACCCACTCGTTCAGTAATGCCGTCCAAGGTAACCGGTGATGATGCTGCTGGCGGAAGTGTAGGAATGGGGAGGACATCTTTGACCGTAAAGTAATTCCCCGATGCATTGATACCTCTCAAAGCCACGACCTGACCAGGGAAGAAATTGGCCGAAGGCACCGAATCGAGTTTTAATGGGACTCGCAAGCCGGCTCCTGATCGCCTCGACGTTTCAAGCACCAGAGATGCCGCGTTGAGCTTCCCCTCGGGACTATCTGATGCGATGCGCCCAATTGCGATAATCTCGCTTGTGCTCTGTATAGATGCGCTACCAAACGCGATATCCTCCGACTCATACTGCGGTTGAAGTAGTGTCACGATTTCGTCAATCCGATCGTCTAGAATTTCTGATGCCTCAGACAAACGCATCGCCATCGGTTTGTATCCGAATTTCTTTAGGTCTGTGTTGGCCGTCGGTCGTATGCGGGCTTCTGGGAAGGGAGCAATCGGGGTCTCTGGCAGTGGTAGATGAGAGTTAAGCGTCTCGAGCGTTTGTCCTGGATTTTGGCGTTCCGCAAAGGCGACGGGTCTGCACTCGTCAGTTCATCATCCACCGGCATAGCAATTGATATTCCGTAACATACTGTAGCCCATTCGCGGTCTTTCCCTTCACTGGCGTTGCTTCAGACTTTCCAATTTTTGATATCGAAGGCGATGCGAAATCCGCTTTGCGCTTTGCGCTATTTGGGGTCTTAGTATTTGGTGTCAACCCGTCCAACCTAAACCGATTAGATAATTTGACCATGTCGTACCCAGTATTTCAAGCCTTACATCCCAAATACATCCGATGCCATCCCAGCCCGCGGGGTTGCGGTCACTGTGCTTCTCTTTTCCGTTTGCCGTCCAGCCCTGCCTCGACTCTCTCGCTCCAGACTGTCTTGGACATCTCGCTTGAACAGCCGAACTGTTTCCAAATCCATCTTGGTCTCCTCCGCGCCCATCTTCAGGCAATATGACTCCCATTTGTAGAATAACTCCTGCGGGGAAATCAACTGGACTCGCAGAATAGACTGCAATTCCGCGAGGACGTCTTTGGGCAGCCCATTGGGGGCAGAGGTTGCAAAGAGCTCATTGAGCTCTGCTGTATTGTCGTCCATAGTTTATCAATTCGTAAATAACGACAACCAGAATATTTGCAACAGAAGATGGCCATCACCGGCAATCAATTAGGACCCGATGGGAGACGCGTGCAAGACGCGAAGCCCTGACCGCCTACCATTTCTGCTAACTACGTGATTGTGATAATCCATTAGTAGGCCTGAGGCAGCCTGAGGCTGAACAGGCAGACCCAAAAAAATAAAAAAAACAGGGGTATCTGCAACAATCCTCATTGCTACACAATTATTGACCCGGGGCTTGCATATACGTATTCCTGTTATCTGATTTCATTATGGCCGCAACACCTTCAGGTTCCGCCAATGACGTCCCCAGTTCGAATGCTGAAGCTTTGCAGCCGAAGTTGGACCTCCCGTCGTCAGCCGCTGATGGTTTAATCCAAAAGCCATTCCCGAAGCCTCTCGCTACTGCACAAATCCCTGCGCCGGAACCGCTCACGGAGGAGCAACAGGGGAAATACAATGAAGTCTTGAAGAATGTTTCCGAGTGGACAACGGTCCCGACTTCGTCTGAAAAGAATGCTCCTACAGCCCCCATTACGGACGACGAGCGCATGTGGCTGACACGCGATTGTCTGCTCCGATACCTGCGTGCGACCAAGTGGGACAAGGCCAAGGGGGACGATGCAGTTACCCGGATACAGAAAACCCTTGTCTGGCGTCGGGAATATGGCATGGAGAAACTGACGGCCGACTACATCTCCATTGAGAATGAGACCGGGAAGCAAGTCATTCTTGGGTACGATGTCAACGGCCGGCCTTGTCTGTACCTCATCCCCTCGAATCAGAATACGGAGAAGAGCGACCGACAGATTCAGCACCTTGTCTTTATGTTAGAGAGGGTCATTGACCTCATGGTTCCGGACCAGGAGACTCTGGCGCTGGTGGTCAACTTCAAAGAGACCCCAAGGGAGAAGAATGCGTCGTTTGACCAGGCAAAGCAGACATTGAGCATTCTCCAGAACCACTATCCGGAGAGATTGGGTCGGGCCTTGGTCATTAATGGTAAATAATTCCTGTTTCCTTTTACTAGGCTTGATTGCTAATCCGATATAGTCCCTTTCCTAATCCATGGATTCTTCAAGCTCATCTCGCCATTCATTGATCCGGTCACCAAGGAGAAGATGAAGTTCAACGAGGATCTTCGCAAACATGTGCCTGCCGAACACTTAATGAAAGCCATGGGAGGCGACGTGGAGTTCCGATACGACCACTCGGTTTACTGGCCAGCATTCAACCAGCTGGTAGAGCTGCGCCAAAAGGAATACCGTGAACGCTGGGTCCAAGGAGGCAAGCAGATCGGAGAGTATGAGAACTACCTCCGGGGTGGTCCCCAGCCCAGCCTGTCACAGACCGGTGAAAAGTCTTGATGGAAACTCGCTCGTTGAGTGTTGTTTTTTCTTGCCTTCTTTCTTTATATATAATTACTTTCTTATCTAATATCGTTGTGAGCTGCCTGTCCTCATTATAATCATTGCATTTCAAGCCGAGTATTTGATAGCATTTTTGGGAGTGATGTTCGGAGATATTTGTTCCATCCATGGATGTTTCTTTCTTTTCGTGCATACCTGGGCAGTCTATCAATTCTTATTGTTCTCGTTATATACATTGTTGTCGTATTATGGACATATATATATAGTCTAGTCAAATTTATTGAATATGAGTATATAATATCCAGGGATACCAGATTGTGTTCTACCAGTACCAGATAACCCCAAGTTTTAAGTCCGCATTGGGAGAAAGTATATATTTTCTGGTTCACATCGTGTCATCACTGTCCTCGGTCTTCCCAACTCCACGAACTAATAAATCAGAATCCGACCCGGAGCATACGGGTAAAGAGAATCTACAAAGCACAACAAGCCACCAAACTGGCAGACGTTGAATACTTCCATTTCAATCGTTTGTTTGCCCCGCGTTGTATTAAGTGACGGCATCACGATTTGCCCAACTAGGAACACTTTTCTTGAGAGATATCGAACGTTTCATTATTAAATTTTATACATTGTCTATATTCTATTTTACCTCTAAATACATGCAATAATCCTGACTCGCGATGAGCATGGCGTCCACTACGGGCAGACAGCATAGCGCCTTAAGGACCGCCACCGCCGACGACGGCACGGCTTGGGTTCGCGGTCACGAGGGGCCCATTGTGCAGCCATCTTCCTACCTCCGCCCTCGAGGACTGTCACATCCAATGGCTTTCGCAACAGCAGGGGCCCTGTCTGAGAGGGCGATTGACCGAGAAGAGCGTCAAGGTCTGGTAAGTGTGTTTGTTGTTGTCGTCGCACTGGTTTCTTCCGACTTCCCCGCGCGGAGTTTAGAGAGGGAGGAGACGAAGAGGAGAGAGACGAAGCGGCAGGAGTGATGGTGGATTATCTCTGTTGAAATTCTGCTTTGGGTCTTTATTTCAAGAATATCTGCTGACAGGACCTGTCTTCTTATCTAGCGTGCCATTCGCAATTTCCTTAAAGTCCGCAACAGTTACGATGTCCTGCCGCTCAGTTTCCGTCTCATTATTTTCGATACCTCGTTATCCGTCAAAGAGAGCTTGAATATCTTGATCCAGAATGGCACGTATTTGTCCTCTTCGCTGCAGTTGTGATGGGCTTCGAAATGATCAAAGGGATTGAGGGGCTGACAGTACATCCGCCGTGGAGGCTACAGGCATTGTATCGGCACCGTTATGGGATTCCAAGACCTCAACCTTTGCCGGACTGTTGACAACTTCTGACTATATTAACGTTATCCAATACTATTTCCAGAACCCAGCCGATCTGGACCAGATCGACGGGTTCCGACTAGACCATCTCAGAGGTACGCATCACCGCAAGTCTCAGCAGTCTGATCTAGAAAAGCTGGAAGCTGATCACCTCTTTTTACTGTGCAGATGTAGAAAAAGCGCTTGGTGTTGCTCCTCCGGAAACCATCTCTATCGACCCCGAGCGTCCCCTCTACGAAGCATGTCGGCGCATGCTCGAATCGCGAGCCCGCAGAATCCCGCTGGTTACGAATGACAGTCAAACGGACCGGTCACATGTTTTGAGCGTCGTCACCCAGTACCGTATATTAAAGTTTGTCGCAGTCAACGTCAATGATACCCAGAAGCTGCGGAAGCCACTCCAGGAATTATTACTGGGAACTTATGATGACATTGCGACTGCGTCGATGGATACCCCGGTCATAGATGTTATTCACATTCTGGTGAAAAAGAGCATATCCAGCGTGCCGATATTGAACTCTGAAGGTATGAGCAGCCATTATCTTTCCCAGGGCCAGTTACTAAAGGAATTCAGGCGTTGTGTACAATGTCTTCGAGGCAGTTGATGTAATCTCCTTGATCAAAGGCGGCGTTTATGACGATTTAAGTTTGACCGTTGGCGAGGCTTTGAAAAAGCGTTCTCCGGTAATTTCCCATCTTCTTCAGTACTGTAATTTCGATCATGACTGACTTGATGGCTCCCAGGACTTTCCGGGAATCTACACCTGCTCACTTACCGATGGGCTGGACACCATTTTTGATACGATCCGCAAGTCTCGCGTGCACCGTTTGGTCGTGGTAGATGAACATTTCCGGCTCAAGGGTGTCCTCACGTTAAGTGATATTCTACATTACATCCTCCTTGAGGGCGAAACCGATGAAACAACGTGATTATGATCTCCTGCTTTTCTAAGCCGTTATATCTCCTGTATGACATCTATTGCATGGAACAGGCGTTTTGTGTTATTCGGCTACGAGTATCAGCAAAGATCTGATGAGTAGCAGTCGGAATGCGATTTTTTCTCTTTTTTTTTTCGTCCATTTTCATTTTTCACTCAAAATGAGTAAATGGATATGAGCATTCGCAGTGTTTAAGTTTCGTAATGCTTTCATGCGAACTGAATAGCATGAGCATACATATAGCAATAGAAAGTTGCACGCTTATTTCGTGTCGAAGAATCTTACTTCCTACAAATGTCATTCACGTCTCCGGACGAGTCTGATGGATGTGCTTTTTTCTGTATAGGGTTGAACCATGTGGGACCCCGACGCTCTTGATAGGCAGTTCATTACACTATCCTTTGATATTGAAACAAGTCTACAGATTTTATATTCCATATTTGTTTTCCCCAATAACCATGCAGGATAATTAGCTAGGCTGAAGGTTCTGGATTTAAAGGGTAGTAGCATATAGGGAAAGAGCGAGCCGGTTCGTCCCTTCCGCTTACCTAGACCTACACCTCGACTCATCGTCGCAACAGCTTCATTCGAATCTACAATTTCCACTGGCCCTCAATCGAAGCGTCAATTTTACCCATTCAGAGTTCGTTACCTGTTCAAAGCTGGCAATGGGGTTCTTCAATCCTTTCTCCTATTGGACCTCGACCACGAACAATGACGACTCTACCAACACCCCTAGTCTCGACAAAGATGAGGTGGATCGGCTCTCGTGGACGGTTATACAAGATAACGGAATCGAGATTGTTTCTCAGAAGACGACCCCAGCGCCTACGACGGAAGCAGGCTTCAAGGACTTGATCTACGCTGATAAACCCGATGCCCAAGAAGCCAAACACTCCTTGGGTCGCCAAGTGGGACAGCCCGGGTCCATTAAGCAGGATCCTCAGGGAGACTCGAAGCTGTCATGGAGAGGGTCAATAAGATTGAGTGGGATCAAGACACTTCTTCGCTCGCGCAGACATCGCTATTCTGACTTGAGTGAATCGGACAAATTCGACTCTACCATTGAACATCCAGTGCAACGTCATAGTCACCTGGGCGTCTTTACCCATCTTTCAGATACTGCTGAGAATCATCATGTCGGTACTGAGGAGACATCCACGCCCACACAAGAATTCAATAGCCAGCTTGCGATCCTCGAGCAACGAAAAGTCAGCGACAAAACCGTCGAAACCATGGAGTCATTCGAATCAGAAAAAACGACTTCAACTGTCTGCCGTCACCCGTCAAAATGCCCGGCAGTCCAGGCCATCCTAGAGAATAGGGGATATGTCTATGAGGAACCATTTGGTGATTTTCAGCAACCATCCGGATCCAGCCATCTGTCCACCGATGCGGCAAGGAACGCCAACACAGACCCCAGGAGGCCATCGATTTCGGAATACGGAGATGATAATCTTTGGGAGGACCATAGCCTTCGCTGTAGCAAGCGTCGAGCCGGTAACCTACCACGGAGGAGTTCCATTTTCAGAGACATCTCGAACATATCGAATGAAAGCACTTGGTCTGCCCATATCGATCAACAGAAGACCGTCAAGGCGTTCAATGATATGGCTGGCCAATTGTGCTTGCGTCCTGTGACATTTGGCGAAGAAGCTAATGCAGGCAAATGTAAGTCCTCTTTTCAAAGTTCTTTTTGTTCGAATGGCATCTGACACGGAACCTCTAGCCCAGAAACCTGATGTCAGCGGTGCAGATAAGCTACATAAACGAGATAAGATACTTGGTCGAATAAGAAGCATGCGGTCCAATATCCAAATGAGGTCTCAGTCCGTACCACCGGAGGCGGAGCAGCGCAGACTGCGTCGAATGAAGACTTTCGCCAACCTGTCGTCTCGTTCCGATCCGTTCTCCACGCTGAAGGGCAAGTCGCTCGAGACACTCGCACGATTGGGAGGTTACAGCTATCTCAAGCCCCAGGCGGACTTTGCTCCTGCAGTACTCAAGCTCCCTGTATGTTTTGCGGCGACTGCGACATATCTGCAAATCTACGGTAGGCGATTCTTTCCATCATTCGCTAAATGAGTTTCACTAACCAAGAGGCACCACACGAAAGGCCACAGGGTAGAGAACCTCTTTTTCGACCCCGGCGACCTGAAGACCGCATCCCGCATATATGAGCACTTCGCACACCAGGTCTTATCAGCAGAGCGAGAAGAAGACAGGATCCAGATGACTATGCGCAGTAACCAGATGCCCATGGATATAATCGAGCCATTGCAGCGAGATACAACCCCTGAGCAGCCACCGCCGTATATTTTGAGCGTGGCCTGGGTCTTCAAGGCATTGCTAGCGGGCATCCCCGATGGAATTCTAGGATCCAAGGAGCTCTACCAGGTTCTGGTGGATATTTCGTACGGACGTCAACCATACATATTCAGCAGGCGGAAATCAAAGAACCAATCGAAAGCACAGCCAGAACCAGAAGTGAATCGACAGTCGAAATCGGAGACAGAATCACAGTCGAAACAGCAGCCAGTATCACCGTTAGAGCAGATCAAGTCACAGAAGCGGCCGGATGATTGCTTGGAGGGGTTGACGCCATGGGAACACACCCAGACCAAGGCGATCGCGCTGGCGATCCTGTCATTGACAAGCAAAATGCATCTTGAGCTCATCTGTGCCGTATTTGGGTTGTGCGAGGTACTCCTCCACGAGGTACAGCGACACATTGAGGATCAATGGGTGCGTAACATTCCGAGAAAACAGCAACTACGACCCAGCTGGGCAGCGGGTCTCCTGGATGTGGATCGGTTAAGTCGGACGTTGGGGCCTTTGCTGGCCAACCGGACGTCGGATGGAGAGGAAGAACTCTGTTCCGAATATCGGACAGTGCCCAGTGCGTTACAGGAGGAGCGGGTGGTGAGGATGCTGTTAGAGCATTGGCGCGGCGTGAGTCGACAGCTGCGATGGTGGGAACACTGCGGTTGTCCTCCGGAGCGGGTGATCTTGCCGCCCGAAGAGGAGGAGCAGAGCATGAATCAGGACGAACAACAAGAGATGCAAATCGAAGGAGGGGGAGAGGAACGTCGTCCGTTAAACGCATACCCTGATGTCTGATTGGTTGATGGGGTGCAGTACGGGAAGTCGAGACGGTGTTTGGTGCGATCATGATGAAATCAGTGGCTGGTGTCTCGCATTGTGACTGGATACCTTGGGGAGGGGTGATATTTTCCGTGGTGTTATTGTGTGTATGTGTTTACAGCTGTCTGAATCTGCCGCAGAGCCGTTGAGGGCTTATGCTTCCATGCTTCCACGCGCTAGGCACGGAACGATTGGTTGATGGGGCGGGAAGGAATCAGGAAGGATTGACTAGAAAAGTACCGTGCATAGAGAATTCTCACTACAGTTGCTCTTCGAAGCTAGGATGTGCGAACCTCGTCCATGATAATCCGTGCTCCGTATCGAGTCCAAGATAGTGAAAGCGATGGGCCCCATCACAGGTGAATCAGGCCTTACAAGAGAGAAGGGAACTAAATTCCGGGTGGGTATACCCCGTACGAGGTCCACTGTGTATGGGCCGCAAGTGTAGAGCAACCGTGGAACCCGAGCAGAGCTTCTGAATCGCCGGCAAAAAAGTCCGACTAAGAAACTGACGATGACGAAACCGAAAAGGTTAGTAAGGAGTTCTAGAAATTGGTTTTGTTTGTTCCTCGTTCTCGTCTTGCTCTCAGACTTGTTCTCTTTCTCTTATGTTGCTAACGTAGAACACTGTGTAAAGGTGTGTATAGTGAGCGTTAACCGAAAGAGGCATCGTCACGGACCGAGCAGAGCTCTGCTTGATAGTAGTGGATGACAGGCGTCTTCCATGGTTCTATACACCTGGAACTCGTCCCCGCCTGTACATGATGTCAACACTTTTTGTACCTTCTTGGTCTCGGCCTTCAAAGAAGATCACTAGTGATTTAACATCCGACCAATCAGTGACCAACACTGGACAAGCAATCCTGTTTAGAGCTGGATTTTCTTACCCTATAACCTCATCCATTATTTATCGTTATCTGTGTGGATGAGACACGTCAGGAGCCTTATATATATATATGTATATACGATTGTTCCGTGGTTGCTGTAGGACTCCCATGGTTACTGCCTTGCTACTACCTGTTCCATCGCTCTTGCCTTTAAGACCTAAGGGAACAATAACTTCTTCGCTTCCTCTGATTTTCCATGTCCGGTTCCCCTCTTTCTACTTTTTCCCTTTCTTCCGCTGTCAACGGCCCGTCGTGACAGTTCCGCCGTTGGTTGCATCTTTAAGCGTGCTCTCTTCCTCCATCCAAACATTGCCTTAGATACCAACCTTCACTCATTTCTCTATTCCTCGTCTCCATTCTTTCCTCCTTCGCCAGAAGTCATGTCACTCAACATGCTCGATCAATCCAACTACGCACGACACGGTCTGTCTATGCCGGAAGGCGTCAGCCCTGGCCTCTCCTCCGCCCTGCAGGGTGATTTTTTGGGCTTGTCTCTCCCCGAAGAAGAAAACCACTGGGGTCTCAGTCCCATCTCACCATGGAATGGCAAGCACGAGCAGGCCTTCATCAATTCCAATTTGGAGAGGGATTTCAAGAACTCTCGTGTTCGCAATGGCCAGCCTACCCCTCCACCATACGATGACACCCGTGCGTCTCAAGAATTCTACCCGCCTTTGCCTCAGTACCATATTGGGGCTTCTACCCCGACATTTCCTGACCATGGTCATCGTCGAAGCTACAGCGAGCACTCGGGCTATGAGGACGACCAGTCTTACGCCGGAAGCAGCAGCAACAGCAACAAACGACGCAGGACCTCCAGATCGTCTGCCATCGACTTTGACGACTCTCACCCGGACCGTGCCAAACGCGAGAAATTCCTCGAACGGAACCGCTTGGCTGCGAGCAAGTGTCGCCAGAAGAAGAAGGAACACACCCAGCAGCTTGAAACCCGCTACAAAGAGCAGTCTGACAAGAAGGAGTCACTTGTGTCGGAGATTGCTCGTTTGCGGCACGAGATTCTAGGTCTCAAGAACGAAGTGCTGCGGCATGCTCAGTGTGGAGACGAACCCATCAAGCTCCATTTGGCTCAGATGGTCAAGAGGATCACCTACAACGACACCAGCACGACGGCGGCCGAGTTGTCTGATGCAGTGGATGCCGTGTCGACCTCGGAGGAGCCGTCTACTCCAACGGCCCAGCAGCAACCCCAGCAGAGCCAGCAGCAGGGTGTCATGTCCTTTGGTTTTGACGATGCTTTGCAGCCTGCGGTCTTGGAGCAGCAGATGCGTCGGGATTCCGAAGCATCCCTGGTTTCGCACCCGTTTTCTTCTTCGGAGGATAACTTTGACGACTTGATCAATGTCTGATGCGTTGGATCTTGTCGCTTTTGCTTTACGTGATACGAACTTTTCTTCGGTCTGAATCGAACAAAAAGGGTGGTTAATTTGTTATTTTTAGCAGGGCGCGGGTGGATTATGTATCTCTAATGATTGTCTCTTGATTTCTTTAGCGAGGATTGAGGCGTCTGGAGTTTGGGAACGGAAACTTGTTTTTGATCTTATACCGCCATGAGTGATGGAATGAACGACCACGTTGCTTTATTGCTGGGATCACCATATATAGTATTCAATTATGTGATTCAGCGCGATTCTGCAGTATTGATCTGGTATCCAACGTAACTGTACAGTATATACAAGTCTATGACCGCAAGGGGGTCTGTTCATCTCCCTTGGGACCATCCTCATCCTCACTCAACGGGAGATATGATGACCCTTCGAACAGCGCCGTAATCTCCTCCAACGTCTTCCCCTTGGTTTCCATGAGAAAGTAGAACACAAACCCAGCAAAGAGCAGATCCAAGATCCCAAACAACAAAAATGTGGCCCACCCAATCCCCGCCATGATGTACGGCGTAGTAGACGACCACAGGAAATTAAACAGCCACTGAGAAGCCACACCAAACGCAACGCCCGGTTCGCGGATACGCGTGGGGAAAATCTCCGAAATGCAAGGCCACGGTAACGGGCCCCACGACAGGTTGAACGCGATGATGTTGAGATAGATCAGAAGAACCGTTATAAGTCCCGCTGTTGGTATACCGCCGTCGTCTTCTGTTGATGACGGGGACAGCGGTTCAGGAGGCGGATTCGCTTTGACCACAAACGCAGTGATAACCATACAAACGGACATAACCACCGCTCCGTAAATAAGACACGGTCTACGACCAAATCTCTCCGCAACGAAGACCACGAACACGAAACATGCGATTACTTTGACACCACCGAATACACCCGTTAGTAGGAGATTCTTATCCCCCGGCCCAACGAGCATAGCGAAGAACTGTGGACCAAAATAGGCAAGGGCTGTGGCGCCGGTGGACTGTTGCGCGAGGAATATAGTGAAACCAAGGAATAAACGATGAGCATTCGGTTTGTGAGTGACTAGTTCGGAGATGTGGAAGTCCGCGCGGGTCTGCAGTTCGGAGTCGACCCCTGTTTTGATGGTGTTGAATTCAGCGTGTGCGTCTGTGCTTCCGCCGCGGATCCAGAAGAGACTGCCCCATGCTTTGTCTCGGAGGAATTTGCTGTGTTTGGAGTCGTTACTGCTGGCGCTGCGGAATAGTAGCCAGCGCACGCTTTCGTGAAGGGTTAGCATGCCCACGCCCATCAGGGCCCCGGGGACGAGTTGCAAAGCCATTGGGATTTGCCATTGCTTTGAATCCAACGTTGGCAATAGTTTAACGACTGCATAATCCACCCAATACGAGACTAGAATCCCAATGGTAAACGTAAACTGGTAACAACTCCCCAATCTTGCCCGGATCTCTTTCGGACTCATCTCACCCAAATAGATGGGTATAATCGTTGCAGACCCCCCAATCCCAAGACCACAGATGGTCCGACCAAGATAGAACGTCATCAACGACCCTGAGCGAATCGTCTCAAGCACAACGCCCGCACAAAAAATCCCCGAGCACACCATCATGGCTAACCGTCGTCCGTAGCGGTTTGTTAGTGGCCAGATGGCGAAGCAGCCAATCAGCGCACCGGCTTGCTGGATGCCCACCGCGATAGAACTGACGCGGGTTTTGGCATCGTTGCTGAAGTTGAAGTCTTGCTGGAAGGAATCAAATGTAAGGACACCGCCTTCAGGCCTCGGGGTTCAATGGTCAGTTACGTTACTTTAGCTTGGTCATGTTGGAAGAAACCCACCGATGACTCCAGAGTCGTATCCGAATAGCGCCCCGCCACAACACAGCACAGCTGTCAGCCAGTATATCCGAAGAGCAGCCTTACGAGCAACACCATGGTCATTACTACTATCGGTATCCCTATGTATAGCAGTAGTATCAGGTGCCACCCCCGGATCACCAGGATCCAGTTGGGGCACTTGACGATATGAAGAGGGAGATCCAGACATTCCAATGGCACATGACAGGTAACAGAAGCTTCTCCCCTTTTGGACAAGTTGAAGCTATCCACCAACCCCTGGCCGCGTTGCTGAAACGATTATGTCAGCGGTGATGACGTAGCCGATAGCCGAGCTGTGCAAGTTGTGGGGAGAATCACGCCATGATAATAAGAATACAAGGAGTGTGTTATAACATGAATAGAGGGAGGGGGGGAGAAGACTGGCTGTGAGAGAAAAGAGAAAAAAGAGAGGGTCAGTTAAGGGGAGTGTGGTAAATTCAACCCAGACCGAGTTCACTGGGTTTCGGGGTTAGTTGTGTATAGCACGAAATAACCCCAGATTAGATATATTGAACATTCAAATGATGTACCTAGTAGTTGATGCCCCAATTATCATGATCTGTTTTCTTCGTAGAGTTATCCCGGCTAATGTAACTATATGAGCATACCGCAAGCCCTAAGAGGCAACAGCACGGAGAATCTCTGTATAAATAGTCCATTCCTATTATATGCGAGGAGCTATATATACTCTTGTTATATGAAGTGAGGATTCTCTGGTTGAAAAATGGGCTACGAATGAAACGGTGGACGAATACTCGTAAGTACTACGCACTTCACATACCCGATAGAGAATACTAGCCGACAACCGACGGCCGAGTACTGCAATGCTATATAGTCCGACATCTCCTCATTCATATCAGTTTCATCCCATCTTCTACGGAGTGTACATTCCTTGCATACTGGTCATGCCTCGTCCTAATTTCCTCGTCGTCGTCGCTGACGACTTGGGCTTCTCTGACATCGGCTGCTTTGGCAGTGAAATCCGCACGCCCAACATTGACCGTCTTTCTAATGATGGTGTCCGGTTTACCGATTTTCATGCTGCTGCTGCATGCTCGTACGTATTTCTCTCTATACTATGAGGATATCCATTGACAATGGATGATGTAGGCCAACTCGTGCCATGATCATGACCGGCACAGACCATCACATCGCCGGCCTGGGTAACCTAATCGAATGGACCAACATCTCCGGTCAAAACGGCCCCAAAGGCTCACAGATGAGCACTGCCCCCCAGCGTGGTATGCCAGGGTACGAGGGCTATCTGAATGAGCGCGTCGTCGCTCTACCTGAACTTCTCCGTGACGCAGGCTATCACACCCTCATGGCCGGGAAGTGGCACCTGGGTCTTACGCCGGAGCGTTCGCCGCATAAGAGAGGGTTTGACCGGTCACTGGCGCATCTACCTGCTTGTTCGAACCATTATGCGTATGAGCCGCAGTTGCAGGGGAGTGATGAGACGCCTACATTCCTGGAAGCGAGCTATATCGCCCTGCATACGGAAGATGATCAATATGTGAAGAAATTGCCCGAGGGGTGGTATTCGACAGATGGGTATGGGGACAAGATGGTGAACTACCTGAAGGATTGGAATGAGAGCAAGAAAGACAAAAAGGACAAGGACCGTCCGTTTTTTGCTTACCTCCCCTTTACAGCACCACATTGGCCCCTCCAAGCTCCTCGGGAGTATATCGACCACTACCGTGGTGTTTATGATGAAGGCCCGGATGTCCTCCGTCAGCATCGTCTGCAACGTCTTAAGGAGCTAGGCATGATCCGCGAGGATGTCGAGGCACACCCAGTCGTCGCGGAAGAGGTCAAGGAATGGAGCGACTACACACCCGAGGAGCAGAAGCTCTCCTGCACGGCCATGGAAATCTACGCGGGCATGGTCGAGTGCATTGATGCCAATGTTGGCAAGGTCGTCGACTACCTCTCCTCCATCGATGAGCTGGACAACACCTTCGTCTGCTTCATGTCCGATAATGGCGCTGAAGGTGCTGCCTACGAAGCCTACCCTCTCGTCCAGAGTGGTGTCTTACCGCATCTGCAAAGGTACTACGACAATTCACTCGAGAACCTCGGCAACTACAACTCGTTCATCTGGTACGGTCCGCGCTGGGCGCAGGCAGCCACCGCACCATCTCGGTTATACAAAGCCTACACTACCGAAGGTGGTGTGCGAGTGCCGTTTGTAGCCCGGTTCCCACGCAACGTCGACTCATCCCATGCCCGTAACCACAACATCACCGACCAGTTTGCTACGGTTATGGATCTTGCACCATCCATCCTCGATATGGCGGGTATCCCCCATCCTGCCCCAACCTACCAAGGCCGTGAAATTGTCCCCATGCGTGGCAAGAGCTTCTACCCCTGGGCCCGTGGCGACACACCCCGCATCCACGAGAAAGATTTCATTCAAGGCTGGGAAACATGCGGTCGAGCAGCATTGCGCTTCGGCGACTGGAAGATCGTCTACATACCTGCACCTAAGGGCCCAGAACGATGGCAGCTGTACAACTTGGTAGAAGACCCAGGTGAGATCCATGACTTGGCCTCGAAGAATCCCGAGCGGTTGCAGCAGCTGCTCAAGTTGTGGGATCAGTATGTCCTCGAGACGGGTGTTATTCCTTTGAATCCGGATTTGGGAACATTTCTCGAGGCGACTGAGGCGCAGATGCCTGAGAATGCTTGGATGGAGTATGATTACTGGAAGAAGGGTGCAAGGGATGAGCCGGAGAAGTTTATGCGTACGCCGGCTAGGTTTCAGCGGTCTGTGAAGCAGTTTTAGTCGAGCGACACTCTAGATCCTACATTTATGCAACACCAAATTGGTTGATGTCAGTTATCAAATGCCGGAAAGGTATCAATAATTCCATTTAGGTATCTAATAAGTGGTTTCATCGCATAACAAGTCCCGAATGCCCTCCGTGGTCCCCGAGTGTAGTATTCACCAGCTGAGCAACCCCATGGCCATTTTCATTAGTTGATCCCGTACGACCTCTGTCGCCTGAACTGACATCAATCTGGTCTGCATTTAAAAGAAGCTGAGCGACTCCTTTTTGGTCACTTCCAGCAGCCTTATGTAGTAGTGTCCAGCCATCGTTAGTCTGTATCTTAATATCAATCTGATCCGTATCCAGCAGCTGTCGAATAACATCTTTATAGTTATCCCTACCAGCCAGTTGCATTGATCGCCTGGTATAATCAGTCTTCTGCTTCTGCAAGGTGGAACTTGCCGCTGCATGGTACTCGCACATGCTCGATGCATATTCGAGAAATGGATACTTCCGATAGTAGTGTTCCAGTCTTGCATCGTGTTTTCTGAGCAAACCATTGATCAAACCGCCTTCGATCAACCCTATGCCGTTCATATAAAGCTGGCACAATTCGAACATGTGAATATTCGCGTTCTCCAAGGAAGTGTGAAACCAATCAACGCTTGACCCTTGCAGCAGAAAATCTTTGACTGATTGATGGCAGAAGTCGACCGTCGCTTCGTCATCTTCGCCGGCGATATCAACGATAGAACTGCATGAGGAGCATATGTCCAAGTAGTCTTGAATGCTCTTGCTGTCCAACACAGAGCCACTTCTGTGTAGTGCAAACGCAGCTGCTATTTCCTTCTTCTTCAGGGGGTGCTTGGCAGCGAGAAGACTGAGCAAAAGAAACTGTGCATCTTGCCTTTCCTCCACGCTGATACTTCGGTTCAAGATCCTGGAGTATATCTGACCAAGAGTGCTAGGTAGCTCACCAAGCTTTGTCCAAATTTGACTTTTATCCGTGTCTTGCAGCTCACTGAGCATGGAAGATACCCAAAGGAAGGTACCTCCAGCTCGACCTGATAAGGATTTCCTGACCTCGTCTTTCAGGTCCTCCCCATAGAACTTTCGCGATGCCAGTTCATCAACACTTGCGTTGATATATGTAGAAATATCGGGATTGACTTCACTCGAGGCTCCCATCTTCAAACAAGTTCCAAGACCATATAGTTCAAATTCAATGTCCCTTATCTCTGGCCTATATGTGACAAGTAGCTTTGCGCTTACCGTTGGCTCCTTTTCGATAAGTTCGCGTAGTAAAATAAGTAGAGTTTCGCGGGCAGGCGCTTCGCACTCATCCAACGCATCAATGAGGATCATTACTTCCCCAGTTCCCTTGTCTCGAAGCATGTCGATAAGCAAGCACCAGATTGTTGATAGATCCTTGAACAGAGCGTCAAAAAAGTCGGCTTCCCTTTGGATCGCTAATTGCGCGTTGATATAGCGAAAGAGTTCTTTTCTTTGCAGAAGCAGTTGCCAGATAAGACTTCGGAGAATCGCAGTAGGTTTTCTTCGGCTTTGGTGTTTGTTATCGCAGTGAAAGTAAATAAACACCTTTCTGGGATATTTCTCAGCCTCCTTATTCAAAGTCTCGACCAGAAAGGTGGACATCATCGTCTTCCCGCTACATGGGGGGCCGACGATGCAGAGAAGTTGCGAACTCTCGTTGGTTCTCCAGGCAGATAATTCTTCGCGCTTTAAGATCCAATGGCAAGTATGCTCCGTTCGTTCCCCTTTTTGCATTTTGATATCATCTAGGATGTTTAAGGGATGCTTTACCTCCATCTTTTCTCTAAGGTAGCTGAGGGAATCATGGTTGTTTGCCCGGCGATGCTTGAGGTTTTTCTCAGCGTCGCGAGCTATTCGTACAATTTCAGGATACACTCGCTGAAACGAAGGATCTTCCAGTCCATAGAATTTGTTGATCTTGAAATGGTCTGCGGGAAGAGATTTGCTGAAATGACCATTGATACAAGCACTGGCCTCTGGTACAACCTATATAAATGTCAGGAAGCATCAAGAAGGGTTATTGGTGCCCAGTGCATACCAAAGTCCTTAAGGGAAGTCCTACCCTCGACGAATAATCGGTCACATGCTCCTCGAAGAAACATACAGCAGGGACTTTCACAGTATAGAGCCAGGCACTAAATTGCTGTAAACGATCCAGTGAAATCCAGGAAAACTCTTCGAGCTCCTTCAAGACTCTCTTCTCGGATGAAGATGGCGTAAGCGATGCGGCCAAAACACCCCAACTTGCTGCAGCACAGCCTCGGAAAGGTGTACCAAGGAATACCACACCAACCGTCCACTCGGGAATACCAGTAAACTGTGACCATCGAAAGGTGGCGGAGACAAGAGCCTATTGAAATTCGACGTAAGCATGAACTGAAACCCAAACTGCAGATTTATCAGTACTAACTTGCTCTATAACAATTCCCCCGAGACTGTGACCAATGAAAATTAATGGTCGACTGCTGCCTTGCTTGTTGCGGTGGGCACTCAGAAGGTATAGTAGATTGTTTGACATATTGGTGAGTCTCGTGCACCGGTTGGTCATGAACCAGTCTGAGCCATAATTGTAAGTCATAACCCGACAAGGGATTTCAGCTTGAGCCAGCTTCATCGGCAGCAATTCCTTCAGCCAGTTGAAATGCTTCTTCGGATACCCAGAGCCCCCCGGGGGGTTATTTTTTGGTTGCCAGATCCAGGCATAATCTGGGTTCGCCCCAAGGCCGTGTACGGCGACGATGCTAAACGATAATCAGTTAGGGCATATCTTTGGAAATGCTGGTCATAGGGCATAAAGTACTCAATAACCGCATTTTCATCGTCATGCAAGACTTGTATAGGCTGATTAGCAGGTGGCGGGGCGCCTTGAGATGTCTTTTGGGGTCTGGTAGAATCACTGGAGAGAAAACCGGTCAGTTTAAAGGGAGCCATTATAATAACAGTTAAGTCCTTGCGAGATTGGTTTCTGATCCTAGTGTTATTCCGGTATAATTGCGGTATAATCCCAGTATAAACCTAGTCTGACGGAGCTTGCCGGAGTTGTCCCGGTCGTGTTGACAATTTCGAACCAAACTGACATGGCGGATGATAATAATGGCCGATATAGCTTATATATCCTCCATTTTGAATAGCAGAAACTCAAAAATAGAAAGAGGAGTCGGTGGGACTGTAGGCTGTGATCGCTTCGCACCAAGTACAGCACAGCGCATGGAGAATCAAAGGCTGACTGCCCGTTCCATACACCTACTTCACTCGTATATCCAGAAAAAGCAACCATAAGTGGGGTGGATATCCCCGCTATGCAAAGTACGGGACACCCCGGCGCTTAACACGATGCCGGGACTGGGACCCTGGCCATTCAGAGATAAAAGTTACTCCGGTGTATAATTTGGAACTCAGAAGCGCGTGTTGGTCAGTTCTGCATTGGTTGAAGCGTACAAGTAGAAGTCTAGTCAAGGCGCTAAGTCTGGAGAAGTCCATGCGATCGTGTTCTGACGTTACGGAATCTTTCCTTCTCGTATACCACTGTCACTATCCAGTTGCTCACAAAAATGCAGAAAAAAAATAAATATAATGAGCGCAATGGCAATCAGAGGGCCCAATATAGAGAAGACAGTAAAGCCGAATGATGCAGCTTGGAACGTATTGCTATGCTAAAGAGCATCCGTAGCCAGCCCAACCTACATAGCAGTCAGGACGAGTGCAATATATACCGTTGCAGACGCCAGCCATGCAAGGTTATCCTGAAAGAACCCCTTATAGTGGTCCCATTGCGGCATGTAGCCGCACATAAAGGCATTCTGCGAGAGACGGTAGATCTTGTTAAGGCGACCAAGGCGTAATTCTCCATAGGCAAAGCGTGCATCAATCTCGGGATAGATATGTTCAGTATCGAGCTGGTCAACAAAAGTCCTCCACCCTTGCCACTGTAATTCTTCTGGAAGAAGGTGCTTCTCCTTCGCAATGCGAAAGTCGCTCTCGTGCATGATCAATGCGGCGTAGGAGAATAGGAAACCGAGCGCCCGCTTTCAAAGCCTATGATTGCATTGTTCAGATCCGTCTACTTTAGGGCAGTGGCAGCCTCTCGCGCAGGAAAGGTAGTCCGTCCAGAACTGAGGCTCCAGAAGAAAGCGTGGGGTTGGTTTCAGAAACATCCGGCCGGTCGTCCAGACGAGATGCATGTCCATTCGTTCCGTGATAAAAATTTTCCGCGAGAGCAGAATCTGATAATGCAGAGGACGTGGTGGCATGGGACGACCTGCGATCCACAACCAGTGCATAATCTTATCCAGTCTTTCCAAGTTGAGCTCTCTCTTAATGCAATTCAGTGGGGGACGGCGGCCCGAGGCCACCACATCATCGGAATCTGTACGAAACGACGCGGAAAGCAGGAATTGGAATGAGAGGTCCTCCTGCAAAAGCTTATGAGCATGGTAGCTATAGTCACCGCTCGTAAGGAGCCGGATGCTGAATGGAGGTGACTGAGGTGAAATATCAGCTTGGTGTGCTAGTTAACCATGCAACAACGGGGATGTAGTACCTGGCCTCTTTGCACTGCCATTTCGAAAGGAGTTGGCATCCGTAATCTTTCTCAATCTAGTCTCCATGATTGGTAGGCATCCTGTGTATATATACCTTCGTGTATGGATATTACTGCATCCCATATTATTGCTGCATTTAGCGCCGGGCCCCGCATGCTTAGCAACTGCAACATTGACCAGCCACATCATTATACGTGCGAAGGATTGCAGAAAATGTAAAAGAGACTGCAAAAGGACAGGTTGAATGAAAAAGGATGCTAGTGAGAAAAGCCTCTCTACCTCCCGATTAGGAAACCGCTAGCTCCATCACATATCCAACATTCACATCGTAAACCACCCTATCCAAAAGTATTCCTTTGCGTCGAAACTGTAATGCGATGTTCTTGAGTCAAACGAGACAAATTTGATGGCGCATTTACTGAAGCTACGGAAGAAAGCGAACGCTCTGAAGCCGGTACTACCGTATTTTAGGGTATCATATCATCACGAAAGAATCAGCAAACAATTCCCGTCTTACGCATCGCGAGTCCGCTCCCGTCCGAGATTCATCCTGCCGTCGTGTCATTTCCTCCAGCAACATCAGCGCCTGCGTCACATTAGGATGTCTCTGCTGCGGCGCAGTCGCATTTTCGGCCATCCGTCGCATCTCCTGTACAATCCACCTCCGCTGCTCTAACGATCCTTCCAGACCGGCCACAAATAATGGCCAGATGAAGCTCATCGGTACCAGATTTCTTTGGTCTTGCTGAGCGGTCTCAGCTCTCGCTAGCTGGATGATTTGGTCCACTGCACCATGCACTCGGTCTGTCCGGGGATAGATAGCAAACGCAACCCGATGCAAGTATATGAAGCTGGCAAGGAAGTTGGCTACATACTGCCGAAAAGTCTGACAAATTTCGATGGCGACAGATGGGCTCAGTGTGTCGAATAGTTCTTCTGGTTTATCATATACGTCCATCACCCGTGGCCGGCGGTTCCAGAGAGTTTCCAGGTCTGCGCCAACCTTGTGTGCGATCTGCAGGACTTCAAATTCGTCATTAAGTGTCCCGCGACTACGGTGGTGAAGATCGATGTAGATTATGCGCCGGATGATTTGCTGTGCTTGGACGTAAAATCGAAATATGGGTCCCGCAATAGCATCATAAATGAGATAGCCCGGTCTAGTAAGTAAATCCCTGCCATCGTCGGGTTCCTTTGCTCGTGCAAAGTGCAGGCTGCCAATATCTGCATGCCAACTCAAATCAGGCTCCGAAAGTTGGCCTAATTCGACAAGGGGATCGCCATCGCGGCCTGCAATTAATGCCTTGACGTCCAGCAAGGAAACCCACGACGCTGTCAGGTGGGCCAGTCCGGTCCATGACCTTGTTCGATTGCGGAATCGTCGGAGCAGTAGATATGCAGAGTGCAGAAATGAGGCCCCGGGATGGCATAAGTCGGGGGAAGAAACCAGCTACGCGTTTTAGACAGGTAGAGTCAAATAAGATTGGGCAACGTACCTCGGACAGCATGAGCAGAAATATTGCCGCAAATATCCTCTTCAGCGTTGACTCGTCAACGTCTCCCAGTGTACATTCTTGAATGCCCAGGCTGGCTCGTCGATGATACGTCGGTGCCAACCTCCATCGTTTCCCCTCCATGATCGCCTTGTGCAAATCTGCGTAACAATACACAGCATTCAACAGTGGGATGGAGTCGAGTGATTGCGATAACAAGGCTGGACGCGCATATTTCCATTCCATACTGACTGGCCCGAAGATCGTCGGAAGCGACTCGATTTCCAGAAAATGCATCAGTAATTGCTCCTCATATGTCGCTTGAGTTCCGTTCTCCGAGACTGTCATCTCCGGTGTCTCTGGCTGGTTTCCGTCTATGGTTTCTGCCGAGACCCCATCGTTTATCGATGTCTGTTGCTCGCCAGGACTGGCCAACGTCGGACTGATAAAGTCTGACACCCCATTGAGGATATTCAACTGCTTCTGTCCCAGTTCAGATGTAATCTCCCCGATGAAACCAAGCATATCAAACGGTCCCGCCAGGCCCGACCCTCTAGCATTATCACCTGTCCCGAATTCCCGCTGCCGTTGCTCGTCCGCTCGTAAAACGGTATCCAAGAAATTGACACTCGGACGTCCCGGAGTCTCAATTGTTGACGTCGCTTCGACTGACACTGTCGCTGGTGTCTCTGCTGCCGGTACCAACGGTGGCCCCGAGGTCCCTGGACTCTCGCTCTCCGAAACCGTAGCAGTCCTACTCCGTCGTCGCGGTATGGCCCTCCCGAAAAAGAACTGGTCGTAGACGCATCCCAGACGGAGTCGGGAGCAATTGGAACAGTGTGGTTTCGCTTCGTCGCATCGGACCTTTCGCGATCTACAAGTCAAGCAGCCTGTTCGTCTTCGCGGGCCGGAGCGACCTGTTCCCCGTGCTCTTGGGGGCTGTGCTGGTTAGCCTGTATCTTTTGGCGCAGTTTTTAGTATATGCAGGGATTACCTCCATCGTAGGCTCGTCTGTAGGTATTTGTGAAGAGCAGACATGGCTGTGTCGAAGTCGATCGAGTGTTGCTGATTCGGGGTTGATGAATCGAGTCCCCGCAATGGCGGCATCGGAGGTGTTTTGTATACTCCCGAGTATATGCGGTTTCACATGCGAATAAGCTAACAGTGCTATCAGTCAATAAAATATAGGTTTTCTAAGCTGTTGGTGAATAGCATTGTAGTATGAGACAATTGTTGAGCTACCCTCACAATACATCTGAGCAGGATCTGCATATATAAACATACAATCTAATTATGCCGTAAATCCAAAGAACTGCTCAGCCTCTCCATCTTATCAGTCCCATAACAAAACTTGGACAAATGCAGCAGATGCCCTCGCTCCTTTCGAACATATCCTGCGAAGCAGATAAGTGCTAGCACGATAGCCCCGTAGCTGATCAACACCGGATACTTGAACTGCTCCGGTCGAGAAAATATGATGGTTGTCGCAAAGGACAGTAGCTCGAAAACGTTCTGCAGTGCCATCTCGGTAGAAGAGAATCGGGCTCGGGCGTGTTCATTGATATTCTACGGCAATTAGCTTGAAGAGCTGGGAAGGGAAAGAAAGGAAATGCTTACCTCCTGCACCAAAAATTGCACTGCAAGATCAAAGCCCCAGAGACCAATCCGACTCAACGAAACACCAGCAACCAGACTAGCTGCTACCATCCGGGAACTCGGATCAAGAAAAACATAACCCGCTGCGGCAGCGGCCAAGCAACAAGATTGCCAGTTGAGAAACCACAAGCCGGATCGAATGGGTCCGATTCGGCCCATGGTGAATGGCGCTGCCCAAGTACCAGAAAGTTCCGCAATAACGGAGCCAATTCGCATGCCACTAACCTCGAGAGGACTGAAGCCGGTGTGAAGCAAGTAGGTGACCATGGTTGCGCCAAACGAGAGCACAGTTAGATAGAGAAGGCTCAGGGAGAATGACGCCAGGAATACGGAATGAGAGCTGTATTCTCGCCAAGGGATGACTGTGGCTTGTCTGATGTAGTCGACTAAGCTGTGTGTTGAGGATTCACTTTCTTCCAGAGTGATATCATCGTTTTCATTTCGTGCCAGTTCTGGGACTGTTTTGTATACCTGATAAACGTCAATGAAGATAGGATGATGATCTAGAGAATGCCTACCTGCGCAATAGCAACATATTCAACCACAACACTAGCAGCATTCATTCCAAAAATGGTCCAAATGGCAGCCTTCGTCGACAGTCCATCCAAGAGGGAGATAAACACCGGTGCCAGCAATTTGCAAAAGAGATCTATACGTCTCATAGATGCATTCAAATCTGGACTAGTCAGTTACGTCCATTCGGGTTAAATAGGGCATACCGTACCTTGTCTCGACACATCAAGACTATCTGATATCACGACAGCCTATGACAGTCAGAACGGTGCAACTCATGAGGATAAACCAGAACATACCCAGTCACGCTCGACAGACACCGCATTAGCCATGGCAGCCAATTTCTCCACGCAAGCTAGCAGGGAGACCCCAACGAACAAGCCATGAGACACAATTGTGGGCGTTTTTACCATCTCCCAAATGACCACGAAGCATGCGCATGAGGCAGCAACGGGCACTCTTTGCCAAACTAGGCCGATATTAGTATCATAAGCCATTCATACATATTTAGGTAATTGAAGAATACCAATAGATTGTCGAACAGCCCTCAATCGGTTCGCCCGATCCACTACCGATCCCAACCGGGACGAGCACACCACAGCAGATAGCGAACGAACCAGCGCATAAACAGAGGCATACAGCAGTGTTCCTTGAAATATGGAGGACAGAAAAAGCACAGCTCCGAATTCAAACATGCGCGAGTTCCATGTTGATAAGAAGTGCGAGATGTAGAGCCGGATCAAAACCCGCTTAGGTGACCGGGGAGATTCAGAATCTGGGCTTGACAGTAATGGCTCTGCAACGCTTGAGCTCTCCATTGGCGGTTCTTCGGGTTCTTCTGACGGCATTTTGTGGCTTTCTACATCACTTGAAAAATTTTGAATTACGGGTGTTGGTGTTGACGTTGTTTAAAACGACAAAGAAATCACCGATGCCCATCACTGGCTATCACAAAGTGGGCTGATGTTCCACCAAGGTCGTTCTACAGGCTCCCATGACATGCGAGATCCCGCTAAATATATGTAGAAAAATTGAAAATAATATAACTATGCATTCAATAAAATACACTGGGGATAATTGGTTTCATTAAATTCTCTCTGAGTCCCACTTCAATCCTCCCTTTCCGTCGCTGACCGTCCGACGAGCGAGAACCTCGGCCACCTTCTCCTTCACACCTTCCTTCTGACCCCATTTGCTGACAAATTCGTTGACCGTATCGTTTCGGCCCTTCGATGTATCCCGGACAAACCGCTCGATCTCCTGTTCAGAGGGAAGAGCGTACTGGGCATGGGGGTATTTCTCGAAGTTGGCATCGCCAAATAGTTCCATCCGAGATTCGCCCTTCGGCAGTTTGAAGAACGAATCAACATACTCGTTGTTCACTTCACTGAGAGTCGCGAGCTGCCACGATGCCTGGCGCGGCGGCTTGGACATGAGTCGGGCCTTAACGCCCTCCACAAAGTCTGGATGTCTCATGAAATGTGCCGCAATTCCATGCTCACGCTGGAAGGTCTCGTCGATAGTCCATTTCTTACCCAAGCGCAGAGCGCGCAGAGCCACCTTGAGAGACGTGGGAGACCGGATGGACAGGGTCTCCAAGGTCTTCTGCGCCCATTCCTTCTGTTCCGTTTCTCTCTCAAGAGCCTGAAAGATCTCCTCCACATTGTTATACCGGAAGCAGCGGTCGATGGCATTCCGCAGGTTTCCGGCCAGGAGGATAGGCTCCTCCTGCACGGAGGGCAGGCCCGTGGAGAATTCGGAGATGGTCTGGTTAACCAGGTTCAATCGCTCTCGCAAGTTAGAGTAGTCCTTGAAGACCAATTCCGACAGACGTTGCGTCATGTTGCCCAAAACGCTCGAATGGATGTAGTGAGTAGCAATGCCGGAATACAAGGACTGCACACCCTTCAGCCGCTCCGAAGTCAGAGCCAGGTAAGTTCCAATTTCACCGTCAAGACGGGACAGGAAGAAAGACCCTCCAACGTCTGGGAAGTACCCAATGGTGGTCTCGGGCATGGCGAACAATGTCCGCTCTGTCGCAATTCGGAAAGGAGCGTGCACACTGAGACCGACACCACCCCCCATAGTAACGCCGTCCATGACGGAAATGTAAGGTTTCCCGTAGCCCGCGATAGCGTGGTCGAGGCGGAATTCGAGTCCAAAGAAATCGGACGACTTCTTCTGTCCTTCGATACCCTGCTCATTCTGCAAAGCCAGAGCAGCAACATCTCCTCCTGCGCAGAGAGCCTTCTCCCCAGCGCCAGAAACCATGATCACATTTGCCAACTCTGATTTCTCCCATTCCTAAACCCATTCAAATTATTTAGCAACCGGTCTCTTCCCACGCAACGCCCACTGTAGTCCCGGGGTGCCCACCTTCAATCTGGGGAGAATTTTCCGTGCCATCGAACCGTTCAAGGCATTAAACTTTGCAGGTCGGTTCAATTCAATCAATCGGACACCGTAGAGAGAGTTAAAGAGGACATCGTCGGGTTCGTCCCCTTCCTGGGGTTTGGTGAGCTCTGCCAGTGTTGACATCTACAGCTGTTAGCCCGACTGTCCAAGAAAATAAACATATACAAAAACACGCAGAATAACATGAGCAATACTCAAATACCATCAAGCCATACGTACCTTGGCAGGAGCTCCGAAAGCTGGGTTGGTCAATTTGGCGCGAAGAGGCATAGCAATGGATGGAGAAGCCCGCGAGATCCAGCTCGACGGCGTAGAGAACCGGGAGAGACTGTTTCGAAGTAACATCAAGAATAGATGTGAAGGAAACAAACTAAAAGAAAGGAAAGGAAAGAGACAGGGATCAGAGGATCAACGAACGGCAAAGGCTGGTTCTTCTTCTCCGCTTGACGAAAGACCTCGGGAGTTTTTTTCGCGGTGATGATTTTCCCCCGCCGGCAGCGTCACAGCAGCCGAACCACAACGTTACCACGCATGGAATGTAGAAAGACAAAAAGCATTGGTTTGAAATATGTATCAATTGAACTTCTAGAATTATTAACTGGTGTTCTACGTGCATGCTATGTCGTGGCAATATCCCATAGTTCTAAGATCCGGTTAAGCGGGATTGACGGCAATCGATACAACCTGTTGAACTGTAGAGCGTCTAATTGTACATGGCAAAGATACTAAGAACTAAAAACACAAAAAGGTCCATATCGTCAAAGTCACATCACTCAATTCCCCTCGTTTAATACAAAGCCCGCGCGGGCTTGCTGTTCAAATCCTTCGAATGCGTCGCCAACAACCTATCCAGCGCCTTCTTTTCGATAATCAATCGGCCAGTCTCCAAAATATCCTTAACATCGACATCCGGACGGTCCAAGATCTTCGCATGCTGTCCCACCTCGCGAACAGTCGAGAATAGATGTTCATCCAACTGTTCTGTGATCAGCGTAGAGCGGCCAAACTCCCGGCCCCAGTTGTTGACCTTGAACATATCCGTAATGAGATGCGGTGTTGCGTCCTCGGGAATCGAAATCTCGTTGTCCAGGATAATCAACTGCCCCCGCTTGTACCGGTAGCTGAGGGCTATCCGCCATGCCTGGTCGTAGATCTTCCGCGGCAAATCAGAGGAGAAATCACGGGGCTTAGGACCAAAGGCAACACCACCACCTTTCCGGATAGGCGATTGCTTGTTACCAACACGTGCCCGACCTGTTCCCTTTTGCGGCTGCAACTTTCGGTGGCTTCCGTGCACTTCGTCCCTCCACTTGGTGTTCGCGCTACCTTGTCGGGTTTTGTCACCTTCATATACAACTGCTCGGTGTAGAATGTCTTTTCGGAGGGGCATCAAGAGATGGTTTCTCGAGTATTCGACGAAACGGAGGGGTTCCATGGAGGGGAAGTGGTATGCGGTGGCCTTGACCGGCTCGGGGTTCAACAGGGGATTCGAGGCGATCGGGGCTTCTCTGGTAAGATATTCTGTCGAAGCTTGCGTCTCAGTGGCCGTCGATCGCGATACGGAAGTAGAAAGGCATCGTATCTGCTAGCATTGCACTCGTTAGGACTCAATCAATTCTGAGAAAAAAGCAATTGAGCGCACCGTTGTCGCCTCGGGCCTGGCGAAAAATCCACCAGGGCTCCGCGATAGCCACCGGAGCATGCGAAGAGCCTCGCTTCCCGGCATTGTTCCAATATTTTGTGTAAATAATGTCGTTGTCCTTCGTGTCTAGCGACGAGGCGACAATAATCACCGCAGAGCAAAAGTCGGGCGGTGGATGTTGGGGCTTGGCAGAAAAAAGTTCCGTCCGCCAGAGATCACGAAGTGCGCCAAACACCACTTCCGGCCACGCCCTCGTCTCGAATTACAACCCCTCCACTCTTATTTTACTGCTACGATGGCCCATTGCGAGCGGGTGTCGAAGCCCTTGCTTCAATGCCTGCGGAGTACCCCTACGAGGGGTCTTCCTGGCTTGCAGTCGGCACGAGCCTTCCACTCCACCTCGGTGGCCCGCGAAGATGCTCAGGTCGAGACCAAGAGTCAACCATTCCATAAATCGCCTGACCCGGAATTGGTGTCGAGTCCTCGATTGGAGCGACGGCTTATGAGACAGGGCCTTGCTCCCGTGGGTTCTCGTCGACGTCGAGCGGCATTGCAGAACTCCCCCAACGTCCCGTTTGAGCAGCTGCCCTATCAATGTTTCCAGGAGGCACGGAATATCTTGCAGGCGGATCGGATAGAGAAATTGAAGGACATTGAGCGGATCAGGGAAAGAATTGCTAGATATGAGACTCTCAGTCCTGAGCAAGCCGGTGGGAAGCAGGTGCAGAACTCCAAGCTGGGGGCCTGGAAGGAGCATCTGGAGAAGCTGAAAATTCAGGCGGACATTAATGACCCAATTGTCAAGAAGAAATTCGAGGATGGCCAAGGTGTGATTCACTATACACGCTAAGCGGAGGTTGAACGTAACGGATGCTAATTGCTTTCTTGGTTAGGTGACATGTCGAAGCCCATCTACCGTTTTCTGGCCGATCGGAAATGGAGAGAGTATCGACGTAAGATTCTCGTCCAACGAATCACTCAGATGAAGGTGATTCCCGATGTGCTCCCTCACTGTGACCCGGTGGTGGACGCCAAGCTATACTTTGGCCGCGGTCTGATCCAGCCGGGAGACTTTGTCGACTCCAAGGCCAGCACAACCCCACCGAAGCTTGATGTGCAGATGTTTGAGGGCGGCAACAAATTGGTGACCATTGTGGTGGTCGACCCCGATGTACCCAATATGGAGAAGGATGGCTTTGACTACAGAACGCACTACCTCGCCGTCAACGTGCCCTTGTCAGCCACTTCGACCAAGGTCGATCTCTCCAAATTGTCAACTGAATCCCAGGTTGTCCTGCCTTGGGAACCACCGGTTGCACAGAAAGGCAGTCCGTACCACCGTTTGTCCCTTTTCATTTTGGAACAAAACAACTCGCAACCGTTGGATTTCGCCGCCATCAAGGCCAAGGAGACGGAGCGTCACAACATGAGTCTCCGGCCACTGCAGACCCGGTATCATCTGAAGCCGATCGGAGCACACCTGTTCCGCAACCAATGGGACGACAACACGCTGGAAGTCATGAAGCAGATTGGGTATCCCGAAGCGGATATTGAGCTCCGTCGCAAGAGGGTTGAGCCTCTTCCTTACAAAAGGAGAAACCCTTCGACGATGCGATGATTTCCTCTTCTTTTTTGAGTATCAAATGTTATATCACATGGTTCGTAAATCTGTATTGTACAATGAAGATGTATGAATATGCGCAATGAATTCCGCAAAACTCCTAACTCCTCCCAAGGGTATCCTCCGTATGTTTGTAGGCATTGATCACTCGTCAGATAGTTCAGTTGGTTGCATTGGATTCTGCACCCATTGCATCTTTGACAAAGGCCAGACACGCGCAATAATCTTTCCATTCACAAGACCTAACGGAACGGGGCCATAATTTCTCGAATCTCTCGACCAGGGGAGATTATCACCAGCGAGATATACATGACCTTCGGGGACCTACTCACACGTTAGCTCTGAACAGACAAAATCCCAGCAATGCTCACCTGAATCATCTCCCTATCCACCCCAACATCCGTACTAAACGCCGGGTCCTTACTGACAAAGTCCCCCGGCATCCCAAGCACCCTCTTAGCTCCATTGACGCCCAAAAACGACGGATGGTAGAACCGCACCACATCGCCTACCTCAATCCCGCGTCCATGCTTGTGCCACCGTGAAATAAGCAGATAGTCACCCCGGGGACTGAACGTGGGGTACATTGAGGGGCCTTCGCTGAGCTGCACGGTGATCAGATGCTCCCAGATTAGGGTGCAGGCGCAGAAGAGGCCGACGCCGTCGAGGGCGAGACGAAAGGCGCCACCGGGAGTTGAGCGGCGCAGTGTTGAGCGAATGAAGTGATCCATTAGGGCATTCTTTTCTTCTATTGTCTCTTGCTTGATCGTGGGGTATCGATTTGTTGATATTGCTGTATCGGAGGTTCGGCGCCGATGGGTCACGTGCACTATCATATAAATTTTCTTGTGCGGAGATTTTTCTTCTCCCACCAACATAACTCTCAAGGAGTCTTTAAGCACGACACTCCAATTGAAGACCATGCCTTAGTGAGCAAGGATGCTTGATGTTGCATTCTACTCACTAATTCCTTTGATTTGCTCTGATACAATTGAGTAACGCTTCTAAAAATGCTAGAGCTCGTCGTCGCCGAAATACATAACCAGGACGCGCGAGTGTGGACAGTGAAGCAAGAAGAACACGAGTCTCTATACCATACGTGGTGAGATATCCCGTTCGATCTCCTTCAGCTTTGACCCCATTTAACTATGGGACTGGGAAGCTGGGGAGTGAGAGGGAGACACTATTAGTTATTCCATAGATTTTGCAATAAGATTCTTCCTATCAGCTCATTTAATTTATATGCAGATGCAATCCACGCAAGCTTCTAGTGTTCGAATTATCACCGCCACATACCATCAGCCTCTATCAGAGCATTAGCCTCTTTCTCACAAATCCGGAATGGACAGAACTCACCAGGATCCTTTTCAGGGGACGGTATATACTCCCTCTTCTGCGCCTTAACCGAAACATCAACTCCAAACCTCTCGTCTCTCTCCTTCACCAACCCCTTTAACCCCCCCGGATTTGCCAACTTCACCCTGTCCTCCGACGTGAAACTGGCCATCAACTGCGGTGCCCCCAGAGGCACCGGATGACCCCGGTCCACCTGCCAGAGGTGGTATATCTTACCGTACAGTGGGATGACGTCCTCCATCTCGGCCGTTTCGGCCGCTTCCCATGCCGCATTGGGTACTCCAGCTGGGGAGGGCATGATGAGCATGCCGCTCTTGACTTCGTATTCGTGCGTGTGCCAGAGTTTCTTTTCTTCTGTGGGGAGGGTTTTGAATAACCGCGGGGTGATCATGTATTCGATACCGATGAGTTTGGCGTTGGGTTTATCGGATTCGTAGAGGAGGCATTGCCTGACGTCTATTCTTTATCAATACCTGATTCTATACCCTGTAGCCGGGGCGGCATACCCTCCGTAACATGCGCACAGTAGTGATTCGCCTCGACGCACCGTGTCGGATCAGACGCATAGACATGGAACGCATTCAAATGAGCGCAGATTTGCTTAACCGGGGTGAAATCCTGGACCATCCGTGCGCCGGTCTCGAGCACCCGGCTTTTAGTCGATAAGGGGTCACCGGGATTACCATTGTCGTCGACGGGGAGGCCTTTGCAGGTCGTCATTTTGTCCATTGTGTGCGTATAATTCGTTTCTTTCTTAATAAAGCTACGTTTAGATACGGTGGCTATTGATATAGATGCGATTTGTCTGACGTCACGATGATAATGGCCGTTGACTGGGACATTTGTTGGAATAGGTTGTCACATCGTCTATTCGTCATATGGGACAGGCTGGGCTGTCAATAGTTCAAGCACATGTTCATGAGAGGGTAATGGCTAGGTATCAAATCGCAATCTAGTATCATTTCTAGGCTACCTAGCTACATAGATTAAAAATGACGTTACAAAGATGTGAACGAAGCATACGCTGCCTATTAGACTCAAGTAGTGCCATGGCAGCTTGTTCGATTGTTTCAAGTCAACAAAAGTGGTAGCGGTGCTATACATGCGTTATACTTTTTTTGACACGTACTTCATACCAAGTTGCCCCAATATGATGGCCAAGCTTGGCCATGGTCCATGAAATTGCCTTCAACAAATGTAATGTGATGGTTTCCGCTGGTACCATTTTCTCTCCAGGAAACTTGGAATGCGTTTCTGTCGAGAGTAGGCTGCACTTGCTTCAAGATGATTGTGTTGGCACAGTCAAGGATCTACTGCATATATATTTGCCCCTCAGATGTTGGACTTGAACCAATCATACAGTTAGTTTAGATCGGAATGTGTATAGAAATAGAATGATAGAAATAAAGTGCAGTCCAAAGACGCACGTCAGAAGATCATATGGAATACCATCACAGTTAATACATTTCTATCAAACGGCAAGGCTAGACATTCACCCGGGAACTTACGTGCAATTATCACTTATATACAATGCGCGACCTACATAGCATTTTTCATCTCTCTCAACGCCGCCATCACATCCACCGGGTTCGTCTTTCCTGTCTTCTTCTGAATCTCGGGGTCCTAGTCTCGTCAGTTTTCCCTCTCGCATACCAGCCAGGATAAACCTACATTAACACGCATAAAAACATTGTGCAATTTCTCATCACCGATAGTAAACTTGCCCTGCGTCTGCTGGTTCTGCGCCGCAAATGTCTGCAATTTCTTGATTGGCTCAGACTCCGAAACGGCCATGCAGAACTTGACGTTTCCTTTTGTGTACTCGTGGCCGGGCTGTTTCTCGTTAGCCGTGTCCAGGTGTAACATGGGACACTACTTACGTAGACCTTGGTGTCATCCGGCAACGCGGCAAGAGTTTCGTTCAACGCTTTGTGCATCTCCTGGGCATTTCCTTCGAAGAAACGGCCGCATCCTATCATAGATTAGATCGTCATGTCCAAAAACAATCATGAATGAACAAAGACCCACCTCCAATAAAAAGGGTATCTCCTGTAAATACCACGCGCTGATCACCATCCTCCATAAAGTAACAGATGCTATCCTGAGTGTGGCAGGGGGTGTGGAGAGCCTTGGCCGTAATCCGCTCGCCGATCTTGAACGTCTCACCATGCTTGGGAGTCGTCGTCACGGATGCGCTGTCCTTTCCTCCGATGACAGGGAGTGTACCGAATTGTTCAAGCTGTTTTGTTAGTATTTTGTTAATTTTCATGGATATGTAGCTTACGATTTCATTATTCCCGCCGGCATGATCCCAGTGACTGAAAAGTCAGCCTCAAACCTAGTCAACCAGAAAGACGCGACATACTGATGAGTGTTCACAATGGCAGTGAGATTGATCGTCCCGTTTCTGATCTGCGAATTCAAGACCGGCGCAACTCTGGCTAGTTAGCGTCTACCGCGGTACTCAATACCTGTGGGGTAAGATAAGACATACTCTGGTGGATTGGCAGGATCAATAATCACGGATTGTTTTGTCGGTTCGTCAGTCACCAGATAGGCATAGTTATTGCCCTTTCCGGTCCCTTCGAGTCAGAATTAGCATGCCAGGTATGCATATGTATGTTTCTTTGGCTACCCACACATCGGAATCGAATGGACGTGCATTTTTCTAGTCTGTTGTGGCGTTCTTTGGGCTTGGGATTGACAGAAGCGAATAGACGGTCTGATTAATGTGCGCGTCAAAGTCATCGACGGTGAGGGAAATACAACAGAGCTGTTTATCGTATGCGGGGCGTTGTACTATGGATACTTCTATGAGAATCGAGGGATTGTTCAGCAATGACGGTAATATTAGTCATCGCACGTGATCCGCAGAAAGGAATGCCCGTTGAAGTCAGATAGAAGATGCAGAATGTTGACTCTGGCAAGAAAGGTGTGCGTCTAGTGATTCTACCGGGCTAAGCCGTTTGATATGCACGGGGCTCAGCCTGTAGGATATATCGTTCGCATGGAGAACTCGCATGTACTCGATTGGGAGTACGCAGGGGATGTCCCGGAGTGGTGGGAGTATGGTATGCAATGCAGGTGTTGGGCAGCATGTGCAGAATAACGTCTATTGCATTGAGTTGTCCTTTGTCTGATGCAAAATTGGAATCTTGTTAGATATGATCTGGGGTATCCTGTTATAAGCAAGGGGTACTCAGGTGCTGCACATGCTGTATATATTATGTACATCCAATGACATGGTGTCTAAGCAACACCCAATGGCCGACTATCCCACAACTCCAATGATTCCCATCCTAGATCCCGCAGCGCACACGCATCTGCATCTGTATTCTCATCTACAATCTTTGCCTCAGTCTGTGTCTGCGTCTGCGGTACCGATACAGAAACGGCACCCTTAGCCCTCTTTGCCTCCTCCTTGAGCAAAACTCTCTTCAGCGTATCAGTCCAATGGTTCGGGTTCGCCTCACACGCAGCAAGGAGGTAACTGAACGAAAGCAACCGTCTGCTGGATCTCCACTCGGTCGAGCGTAGGATGTGATCCAACCAGGTGTAGATTGCTTCGTGGTAGGCGTTGTTTTTGGTATCTTTAATTTGTACCGAGAATGCAAGATCGTTAACCATTTCCTCGGTTAGGGCTGATAAGAATGCTGAATGGCTTTCTGCGATCATTTGCAGGAGCTGCTCCCATTTAATAAAGGTATCGTGCAACGAGTCTCCTAGCCTGTATATCATTAGCGTATCATTCTCCACCGTGGCAAAAGAGAAATGCTTACCTCCGTCCAGCAGGGACTAACACCGACTCATCCAACAGCACTCTCGATAAAATAATAGCCCCCTTCCGCGAAGCCTTACATATCGACACCAGCTGTGTCGCGGTAGTAGTCTGGTACTGAGCCTTGCGTTTCTTCCTCGGTGGTTGCTGTTCTTCACCTTCGTCACCCTTCATCAACTGGCTCAGGGTATCCCGAATAAACTCCTTGACTCCTAGTTCATCACCATCATTCTCCTCGACATAAGCTGAAACCGGAACTGAAACCGGGGGGACAGGAGCGGCATGCGGATCGACCTTGGCCCAGTAATAATCCCACAACCACTCCAGAGATCGCTGAGTTGCATTCCGGAGCACAATCAATGAGGGAAGTTCGCGATGTGTAGCCTCGTGCCGCAACTCTACAAACGAAGCCGGAAGACCGAGGTCAATGGCCCTCTGGAACATAGTCTTTCTCATGCCGGGGATTTTGGCGTCAACGAGACCGGTGACAAATCTGTTATGTTAATACCGTTTTCCTTTCTTCTAGAGACAGGGAACGTACCGGCAAAAAGCAGCAGCATAGGTCGCGCGAATAGAAAAGATAGAATTTTTTCCGGCATCGTCGTGCAGAATAGCATCTGTTAATAATGCCGTTGCTTCAACAGGATGAGGAAGGCTTCCACGTAATTTCCAGATCGACACCTAACAAAATCAACATACATTCAAATAATAAAAAAAAACAAAAAAAAAAAAGAGAGAGAGATAGAAGATATAGATACCTTTGCGCAAGCTTGAGAGCGCAAATCTGGTCCGTTGTAGGACGGCGGGGGATAGAATTGGTCTCGCACCGCGAGCAATTGAGCCTGGGTTTTCCAGGGCGTGAAGACGACTTTTGCCATGCTTCTATTATACAGGATAAAACAAAATTATGTATCTACAACCCTATTTCTGTAGAGAAGACTGCTACTGATTTTTGCGGATATGGTCGGGTCATCATTGTCCCGGGTAGATAGTTTCTCCGTGTCTATACGCAGGTATGTATTCATTCAATTCATCTCGTCAGATAGAGATGGAGATATATTAGCTCTGTCTCGGTACTCACAGCACTTCTCATTATGGATAATAACGTGCAGTATGCAGCGTGATATCATGCACTACAAGATCTCCTCACCCAAGTTCAAAATGACATCCTTCAGACGAGGAACTCAGAACCCGTTTACGATAACGTCAATTCAAAATAGGGAGCTCAGATCACTGACTCACTAACCGAACATGAAGAAATAGAATCATCCAGACTAAGCATAAATTAAGAATTCCTCACGCAGGTGCTATGGATCAAAATAGCTTAACGGAAAACCACGGATGTCATCTCAACTGATTTATACAATAAATGCGTGATTGGAGGGACAATAATCTAATAAATCGAGAAGAATCGAAGCTACTGAAATTAATCACAAACAAACGTCAGTATCATTCTCACTCTACGGACATCTATTATTAACAAACAGTAAACGCCCCCTTTAGCGCCCCGTACCAAGACCCAAGGAAGACACCGGATCTCATGATAAGACCAAACAATCAGCACCATCCATCATTCGTAATTGAGACTGGCTGGACCAAGTCACAGCCGCGCATGCTCAACGACACGATCCTGTCGTTAGTGGAAGGCCGACCGGATGTGAACATAGCGATACTCCTCAATTGGTCGCAAAAGGTAAACACGAGCTAAGTGGAAGGTTTCGCTGGGGTATGTCAGGGATACTATGGGGAGTCTGTACTAACGTACATGATCTTCATTCTTGTAACAATCATGACTGATAAGCTGTAGACAATCTTTTCAGGCACACCGGAGTCTCCGATTCAGATCACCTGGGGTGGATTGTTTGGTACTGCTTTACCACAGGATTGCAATCCTGTTACCTTCCGTTGAGCATTGACAATCTCCGGGTCGAAGCGCGGGATGCACTTGTGCACATGAACATGGTTCCCGCGGTCTAATCCATGGTCCAATAACAGCTTACGAAGGACGGAAGTTGCTTGATGCTAAATTGATGACGTATTGAGCTAATGTGTACATGAGAAGTCAAATAATAATCATCCAATCCCGGGTATCCTCTCATGTATGTATGTATGCTAAACGCCTAGCTAAATAAAGAAAAAACATAAACTCCTCGCTATGCAATAATAAAACGTAATTGTCGTTAAATCCATCCGTATCCGTAATTCATGCATGATTGTTCAAGAGGAAGAAACGGCTGCGTGTCCGTAATAATATGTTGGTCAAAAGAGGAGTCATCGTCGAAAAGGAATGACTGAGACAGCAGGTTCATGTCCGGCTTTACCGGGTTCTTAGGGGGTTCGTAGTACTGCGGCTGTTCCGGTGTCCTTTGGACGGACTGGTCGTTGTTTGCCTCTTCGTCATCATCTTCGCCATCCTTGGCGTTGTTAGGAGACGAAGGTGTAAATGTTTCCTCCAATTTGAGACCTTTGCCCAGGACGCCGCCGTTGAAACTCTCCGGTTGGTTGTAAAGTCCCATTCCAACTAGTTCATCCTCATCGTCCTGCATCTCAGGCTCAAAAGGTTGCATGGGAAGCAGATCCGGAGTCGGAGGCCCGGTCACCTCACCCGAAGACGGAACACTGTCGTATCCGGATGTGGCGTCCAGCGAAGGCATGTTGTTGTTCATAGACATCATATCGAACGACCAAGCATCGGAAAGATGGGAAGTGGTCGACAAATCAGGCACACTGCCATCCCAGGCCGAAGACTCGACCTGCGAACCCTCATCCATCGGCAAAAACGGCGCCATGGTGGAGAGGGGCTCGTCGGAGAGAGGAAGACCGGATAGAGAGTATGAGGTTGATGGGAGGATCATATCATCGGTGTAGAAGAGAGGGTCATCGTTCAATTGTTGAGGGAGTGCCATAGCGGAGAGGTTCATCGAAGCGGTGGTGGATGGTGGCATATAGTTCGGAGTTGCATGGCCGGCGGGATGCCAGCTCATGGGACGAGAGCGACGGCCTCTTCGAAGTAATGCTGGATCGAAGGAGGGGTCATAGCATGGACTGGGATCGGTAGAAGGGTACATATTGGAAGAAGAAGACATGGCGGTGGTGATAGCTCTCCGTCTGTTAGCCGGGGCAGCGGTATTGCTATGCAATTTGGAAGTGGGCCAGGAAGGCGTCCATTGAAAAGTGGATTGCCAGTGGGCCATGTGTACGGTCGAGTTATATAGGAGTCGACGTAGTAGACGTAGAAATCGTACAAGTATGTAGTGTAGTGTGGTATGGAGAAGAAAGGTGCGAAAGATGGATATATAATCAGTAGGGAAGGAGGTACAAATACGGAGTACAGGCAGGCATGTTAAGAAGTAGGCGGCAGGTGGCCAAGGCGCATAACGGGTAGGCTCCGGAGATATTCTGGACTAGTCTCTCTGTAATGATAATCCAAGATGACACAGGGATGGACACAAAGTTGCTGCCCGTGAGTCGGCCAAGCGAGAGATTATTGGCGCATGGTCCATCATCCGGAGGTATCCCAGACGGAGTCGGAGCCCGAACAGCGATGGGGCGCATATGATGGACCAATTATGAACATGATTGATTTCTTTAATCTGGACAATGGAACCGACTATCACTACTAAGCTGAAGGTAATTAATATGGGACCAACCACGCTGGCCGTAACTCCACCGATCCCATATCCCATCTGCCCAACGCGTCAACCGCCCCCGATCCAAAGAACCGAATCTTCCGTCCATTGGTACGCAAGGGTGACAACAACAAGACCAGGGGTTCTCTACGACTTGGTCTTAATAATCTTCAACATCATTGACTCAGTCATCACTCATACTATCAGGAACATTCTCCGAAGTCACCTCCGTAATACTTCCGGAGATTACCAGGACAAGACGACGATGACCCGGACGACGGCAAACGGACAAACCGGGCGGTATGAATGGACCATGAATGACTCCACTACTAAGGGGGGGTGGTGGTTGGACTCAGGAATTAGAACAGAACAAATTCCAGAAGGATTTGCAGTCGGTCCGGGTGGGTGCATTTTCTTCGCCTTCGTATTAACTGAAAAAAAAAATTCCTTAGCGCTAGTCAGGGTCCGAATGAGAATAGCGGTGGCCAGGATCAGGCTCGGAATCATTACTGAATCACATCATGAAAGGTCAGAGTTTGATCGGCCACTATGACTATCACTTATCAGTAACTTATTACTCGTCTTGGACATGCACTTGTCGGCAGAGTGGTCCGGTAGGTAAAGAAGTCGGATACGCAATGCTATATGATTGGTGGCATGTGTGGTGCTGTGTCTGCTGTGTCTTGCTGTATCCTGTACAGGAGCATGGCACAGACGCTACTCCGACCTTAATGCAGGAATGTGATGCATGCACATGGCACTTGTATTACCTTTACTAGTGCAGAATTGTTAGTCTTGCTTTTAATCTTACGCTTAGTTTTACAAGTATGTACGGAGTCTTACAGTGGGGGTTGTCAGCTGCATTGTGAATACAGTTGAGGCCACCCGACCGTAGACCTCAGCCCACCCTCTAGCTAGTCACGTGGGATAAGGTCACCCTGGCCCACGAAGGTGGGCTGAGGTTTTTCAATACCTTACAGAAATCTAGTTCTCCTATATAACTTTTCTTTCTCACATTTCTTTTACTACTTCCCTCTGTTTTCTTTCTATTTCTCTACATCTGTCTATCTACTACTCCTCTAATCCGTACAAGCTCGGCCATCCAGAATGGCGAGAGTGAAGACGAATGTGAGTTAAAAGTTATTATCTAGTTCGGAACTAGTTTTCAATCGGAACCAGTTGTTTCGTTGGGATCAGACTAACGAGTATTTTTAGGAGGCATACAAGCGATACGTTGAGCTAGGCAAGGAAAAACTGTATCTACCGGATTTTGAGGTTACGGTAAAGATACGAATGCGGGTTAGGAACTAGAACTAGTTAATAACTAGTTCTACGTTTAGTCTATGGGTTACCTGGTGCCGTTTGTTGGGGAGGTCTATTGCCGTGCTGAAGGATGTGAAAATGTGGTGAGAACTAGCTCACTAGTACTAGTTAATAACTGGTTGCTGATGGAATGAATTGAACCAGACCAAATTTATCTCCCTCAACAATCTCAAGAAGCATATTCGAACGAAGCATACCCATACCTATGATTTGTTGGATGGTGAAAGTGGTGGGCGCCCTGACCAAGAGGCAGAGTCTGCAGCAGTCAGTAAGTTAACTGAGTTCCAATTCAGAAACTAGTTACTAACTGGTTCCAGAATTCTATGAGGCGGTGATCAAGAAATTTGATGCCAAACAGTCTGCCCCTGCCCTGCCCCCTCTTCCACGCCGCCGTGATGGTGAAGTAAGAGAACTAGTTTTCTTTGTTTACATGAACTGGTTATTAACTAGTTCTAGGTTCACATGACTGAGATGAGACGTCTGGTCCGCCGCATGGGCCATGTGGTCCCCTGTGAGAGTTGCAAGGATGCACACAAAGCTAAGTGTAAGTAATGATTAACTACTGATCCTGAACCACTGACCAACCAGTTCTACCAGTGTGCTGCAAGTATGAGGAGTGTGAGCACTTTGCACTTTTTGATAGTGGTGACCAGGGAAAGTCCTCTGAAGAAGAGGAGTCCAATGAAAGTGAGGATGAAGACTAAGCTTTTTCTGTTGAATTTTGCCACAGGCTTGGTAGCTATTAGATGTTAATGAATTGATATTCCTATCTAAACCAACTAGTATGTGACGGTTTGACGTCGTGTCTATGGTTTGACGTCGTGTCTACGACTCGACGCTGCGTCTACGACTAAGTATGACAAATGAATTGAACAAAGTCGACATGGATAGAACCATACCGTACAGTCATCTATAAATAACCCCTTCATCTGCTAGATAGAATTCCTTTCCTTTTGCTTCTTCAGATTCGATATTCCCGTCGATGGCTACTAGTTGGTTTAGATAGGAATATCAATTCGTTAATATCTACTAGCTACCGAGCCCGTGACATAGTAGCCATCAATGAGAATATCAAATCTGGAGAAAGAAAAGGAAAGGAATTCTATCTAACAGATGAAGGGTTTTTTATAGACAGCTGTACGGCAGGGCTCTATCCATGTCAACTCTATTCAATTTGTTTGTCATAATTAGTTGTAGATGCAGTGTCAAGCTGTAAACACAACATCAAGTTGTCACAATTTCTTTCTATATTGAAATGTTAGGGTTTGAACTCAAGTTGTCTTAACCTAAAGCTACCCTTTATTATACAAGAAGGAATTGTTGAAGAAGAAACAAATAGAGCTGAGACAGAAGCCTTTTTCTATGGTTGTACAGGAATGATATTCCAAATAGTATTCTCTGTGGTCCCTCTCAGAGGTCAGCAGTTGGATGAAGGGGTCGCTGGAAGTTCTTGTATGCCAGGGGATCGTATGACAGTCATTGATAGTTTTTTTGGGCCCTTTCTGGCTGCTTTATGTGCTGGCCTTGGCAAAACAGTCATCCTTTGGGTTCATACGCGAACCCTATAACATGAAAGAGGAAGGTTAAATGGAACTATTTAAGGGTGGGAACTAGTCCTCCCTCGTATAGCCTGAAGTTGCTCCTCAAGCTCTAATTGCCTTTCCAATAACCTTACCCGCTCTCTATCATATTCCAGATCTTCTTCTTGCTGTTGGGTTTGATATTGGAATTGAAGATTAGTCATTGCAGTCTGTTGCAGATTTGGTGTCCTGAGAAACTAGTTAATGTATGGACTAGTGAACTAGTATATGGAGATGACGTACTGCATATGAGTTGATCTTGCAGATGGGGAATTGACAGACTGTCTATTTATATGAGTATGAAACTAGTTCCGAACTGGTCCTTAACATACCTTGACCTTAAGGATACCACAGATGGTGACCTCGAAGCCTGACCTCTAGAAGAATGAGAGCTACCTCTTCTTCTTGCAGGTATAAATCCAGAGGAGCTAGACTGAAACAGGATATCATCTCCTATATCTGACTGTCGAGAATTGGA